TAACACAGCTAGGAAATTAGGAAGACAGGTAATCAAATATAAAAAAAAAAAAACATCATCTCTTCATTATAAAAAGTTTGTGATGTTAAAAAAAAACACGGTCAAAAGTAGAAGTGAAAATCTAACCTATATATAACATTCACAGCATTCAAACTTGAGTTTGTACCTTGTGCCCTGTACTGCATCTTTGGGTAATGCCTCAGACTTTGTGTATACTCTATTTTTTCTCTCCTGCAGAAAGCAGAAAAAAAAATCTTCATTACATTACAACTGTAATTTTTTGCAAAAATTTGAAGCAATAAAATTAATCGAAGTATTGCTTTTATCTCAAGAAATATATTTTTTAATTAGGCTACCATATTTCCCTACAGGTAGCAATTTCTCTGGTGCCTGCTTTATAAAATAACATTAATTAAACTGGAGCGTATACTGCTTGAAAATATAAACTTACCTGATGAAGGTCTGAGGAAGGGGCATTACTCATAAAATGAGTGTGCAGCAGGATTTTTTTGGTTTCATCATATGAACTCCCTCCAGTAAATCCAGTAAGTACTAGCAATTAAAAACGGTAGTTAGCCGCTAACAGCTGTACTTACATGAATCTGTAAACTGCTTCCTGAGCGCCTCAGCATTTTGATCCTTAGACCATGATTGTTCTTTTTGACTAAGCCCCTCACACCCAGGCTGAGAAGCAGAGGGTAAGCAGTGCTTTCAGCCTGACAAACGACCAGAGAGTTCTGGAGTTGATGTAGAGCCTTTTCACTCTGCACAGTAGGCAGGTACACTGCCTTCATGTTTTATGTATAACATATTTATCAACACCCACACCCTCAATACTTGTGCAGAAAACCTTAAAAATATTCAGCTGGAGGAACTGCTGGAGCTCAGAGAGGAAGTGGTTTCAGCACTGCCCTCAGGTATAGGCACAGAGGAGAGGGGTAGTGATTATTACTATGCTGTGTGGTATTATTGTAAAGCTGCTGCAGAGCCAAGTGACACAGTATCCTCCACCTCACATCAAAGCTTTTCTCTTAGACCCAAGCAAGGAAATGGTTGGGAGGAAATGACATTCATGAAGGTCAGTGTACCACAGGCGATTGCAGAGCAGCAGTTTGGGATATAAAATGCTGTAACCAATGGCAATATTCAGATTAAGTCATGAAAATTCACCATTGTATACGCTCTTTTTCCATTTTCCCCCTCTTCAGAGTGGAGAGTGAGCTTTAATTCTCAGACACCACCATGCACTGCAGGTAAAACCAGCACAGGAGGGCTCCTTTATGTCTTCTGAGGACAGGAGCTCAGACTGCAGATAGGTGGATTTGTGGCACAGTCTCCATTTTCACCTGCATGTGACACTCCTGCTCTGCCTCGGGCTCTGATTTATGCTCCGTTAAAAAGCGGCGAGTGAAATGTAAAAGATGTGTAAGGACGCCTGGAGGAAGAGTGAAAGTCTCTCCCTCCTTGTTGGCATTAAAGAGTAAAATGGGACTCCTTGCACTCGAGTCAAGAATGAATGGAGTGGGACAAATGCCCAGTCTGTCTGAAACTTTAACTATATCCACATCCTTTAGGAGCAGTCAGACCTACTTTCTACTGGCGAAGTGGTACAACTGAGTTTCAAACACTGAGAAATAAATCAGTGCAGAAGATAAACACAGTTTGTTTTGGGTTTCTTTTCCTATACCTGCATAACTATGCAGTAATTTTACTAAGATTTTAACATCAAACACGTAAAAACATCATCTGTATTTCTACCTGTACATTACCAACCAGTAGATAATTTTCAGTGCAGCCTTGGAGTTTGGTCAATATTTTTAGAGACGCATCAATATAAACAGACAGCATCCTCTATAAACATCAGTCCTCTCGAGGTTTGAAAGGCAGGAGCGTCTCACTTTACCTCTTATGAACTGAAAAACAATCCAGCTCTTCAGACTGCAGTCTCACAGCTGTTCAGGAGGCCGGCGGTTGGCTTCAGAGTTGATGGTCTGATCCCAGACTTTTTAGTGTGCTGGAACAACTCCAAATTGTTCCCCAAGAGCTGGCTTACAGTAGATTGGAAAAGTTCTGCCAAAAAGTATAATCTAATATTTGGGACCATGGGAAATGAAATGGACAGTGCAGGGTGGAGAGGTAAAGTGTCTGGCAAGGTGTTGACTTTGATGGTATAAAGCCAGTCATTGTGAAAACCCATGGGTGTGCTTTTAAGTTATCTCACGAGATAATAAACTCTCCTTTTGTTTTTCTATTTCCTCAAATCGCATGCATAGTTTCAGCATTACGATTGGCAGCTTAACCATAAATTTGCATGAGCTGTTATAGTTGATGCCGTTCTGTCTGTTGGTCTCTGTCTTTCTCTTTCTCCCTGCATCTCCTTCTCACAGCAGGTGGCTGTTCAGCTTGAGTCTGGTTCTGCTTGAGAGTTCTGCTTTTTCCTGTTATTGTTACTCACTAAATGTTGCCTAGTGCTCTCCATGGTTGAGTGAGGGGCTGGGTCCACTTACACACTTATTTTGCCCTGGCACAAATGATTTTATTTTCAAACAAATGTAGTTTTTAGGTCTTTTAATCACTCTGCGTTCTCAGCATTACCCCCTTTTCTATGTTGCTGCGCTATCAGCTCTCTCTGTTGAAAAAAAGTTTAGCTTTTGAGCACCACCATGCTCACTTCTTGAAAATGAATCAATCAAATCCAAGAAGGGGAGTGACTTCTGATACTTTCTTTGTTGACAACAATGGCAGAGCTCCATGTGGAATAAAGAATAACCACTCATTATTTCAAGGTTCAGTATCTTGGTCCAGACCTCATACTAGTGAGATAAGACGATTTCTATCCAATATATTACAGTGTTCTTTGTAAAATGCCATTCAGTGAAAGCAAAGAGCAGATCACCAACTACTGCAGCCAGGTGAGTCTGCTCACCTTATGGCACCTGTGGTGGTCATCTACTGGTGAAGACAAAGTGGGAACGTCAGAGGTAACATTTTCTTCACCTCTGGAGACATGTTAGTGGAGCTTCATTGCTGACGTTCTCATGTTTTCTGACCCTCATACTTGGCAGAGTCAGCTAACTTCCTCTGCAAGCTGCATGGTGAAATGGGGACTTTAACTGGTTGAAACTCAAGGGAACTTTTGCAGGGCAGTTGACCTCACGCATCCCGGGCTGGCACTTAACAAACACTCTGGTCTTTAGTGGTAGGAAGAGAATTAAGCCTGTCAGGCCTCCTGCTCATTTTCCAGAGCAGACTTACTGTAAATCCCTTGGCTGCAGTTCTAATGATCAAATATTTATTTATTCTGTCTTTTACAATCCACACATCCCCATACTCAGAGCCTGCCACCAGAACCACAGTCTGCACCACTATGCAATTAGGATCACAATGTTTTTTGTACCAAGTGTTTTGGTGTTAACCTTCCTCCTGTGTTAGCTTTTACTACCATGTTAACACTAGAAGGACCAGCATTTTGTTGCTTTTGAACCGTGCCTTAAATCAGCTGTGAATTACACTAAAAACAATTCTAGGTTACTAGGTTACCTTGTTAGGCTTCATTATCTATGAAAATATTGATTATAATATTTTTTGTAGTGGGCCTCTGGGCCTTTCTTTGTCAGTATACCCCTCACACAGACATCTATACTGAATTGATCTTGTCTGGACATGCCCGACATTGTTTTTTGTGCAGGGAAAAACATGGAAAAATGAGAATTTCCTAAATCTCAAATGATTGGAAGAGGATCTGACTGTCATTGTGGTGCCTGACAGTGCACATATGATTTTGATTTTTGCTCTGATTATTAAATATTGATCCAACCAGGTCAATAGCGACCCTAACATGACAAGTGCCATAATTTTAATGAGAGCATTTTATAATTTAGTAAATTTAATTTTTTTATTTTTATTTTGTTGAATTAAAGGTTCCTGACAAAGTCAAAAAGTCTTGATGCAAAAAAGCTAATTTAAGTGGTTCTTTTAAGCGTTTAAAATCAAAAACGGGTCAGTGCAGACTCTAACACAGGAGGAGGGTTAAAACTGACGTTTTTTATTGGGTATGGATATAGTTTCAGGTGCTACTGGAGACAGCCTCAAGTGGACACCCAAGGAACTGCAGTGTTTAGCACCTCAATGTTGGCATCAATGTTGGTAGCATGTCCCCTAAAGGTTGCCCTCATTTAGCAAACAATTAGAAGATTAAGAAGTCTAAAAAATGCAGGCCCAAAAAGATAAACTCTGAAAGCAGTTTTTATAATCAAATTTAAAAATGAAGTTATCGCTTGTTGTGATTCTTATTTAGTTCAATGATAGGCTACTTTTTACGGTGGCCGAGAACCACCACTGCTGCAAATAAAAAAAAATGCAAAAAAAACAAAAAAAAAACAATGGAAGTTACTGATGCAAAATAAAGAAACTGAATCCTGCTGCAAATAAAAAAAGAACGGTGTAGATAAAAAAGCCACAATGGAATTAACGACGCAAAACAAAGTGGTGATGGGAAAAAAACAAGTTACTTACTGTGAAAATAAAATAATGCAAATAAAAAAGCCACAATGGAAGTAAGCTGCCAGGGACCAATATTGATGATGCACTGGTGTTTTACAATCTAGGCACAGAAGAGGACAGCGAGAAGACAAGCAAAGAAGTAAGTGGAAAGGTTATTGTTTCATTTCGCTTTGTGTGCTTTCCAATGTGTCATTTGGTTAGGCCATGTACCGCCTGAGTCGATGTCAGTTGTGGTTTCTTCTTTTGCATTCTTTTTTATTTGCAGCAGTGGCGGTTCTTGGCCACCGTAACTTTCATTCATCTCAGATTTGCTGTATTATCATAAATTACTTCGCAGCTCATTGTTCACACAATATTCATGAGTAATAATTCAATAACTCTAGTACTCCCTTGACGTGTGCTATATATTTACTTTGTCCCTGCAGGGTAAACCCGCCACTTGAAAGCGAGCTGAATTCCAGAGTAGGCTAGATGTCTCGGTTTCCGTTTCTCCCACCGGATCTGAATGCAGCACAAAGCAGCCCGAATACGACAGGAGGGGAGCGAGAAAGACAGTGAGCGCAGCAGCAGCAGTAGCAGCAGCAGCACAGATGAGCCCGAATGAGCAGCAACCAGGTCCTCTTTCAAACGCGCACATACACACTTGGGCGCGCACACAGTGTAGCGCGCGACGCTCCACATCCCACACACACTCAGATGCCAACACACTCACACATGCAATCCAATAAGGAGAACTCCGTCAGTCCGAGCTGTCTTCCGCCGCCGGTGGCAGCCCTCACCGCCTCTACGAGACACAGAGCCCGGAGACCGCATGTAGAGGAGCTCCCGCTGTCTTCAGAGCACAGAGGAGGAGAGTGGAGATCCAGGCAGCTGATTTAGGAAGCGGTAGATAATTCAACAGCAGCTCTAGGAGGGGGAAAAGAAAGAGGAGAAAAAGGTGAGTGAATGCAGTCCGGTCCAGTCACTGTTGCTGCTGCTGCTGTTTGGGGAGGAAGAAGAAGAAGAGGAAGAGGTGGAGGAAGCTGAGTGTCTGGAGAAGCTGGAGGTGCAACATTACCCCTGCAAAGACCCAGCAAGAGCAGACGGCAAGCTGTGATCAGAGCATCTCATCCAGGCTTACAGATGTGGAAGGAGCACAGTGCAAGTTCTAGTCCTGGGTGAGCCAACTTCACACACCTTTACAATCACACACTCACTCATCTGCTGTGTGACATTATCTGCTGCACAGAGAGAGAGAGAGAGATCATGCACCTGCAGTTTATCTGATGTGTTGCTTTTACCCTGCATGTGTCTCCCCTTTGATCCCGTTTGATCTGTGTGTTTGTGTGTCAGGGTCCACTTTAACAGATGACCTGCGGAGTGAGTCTCACCCTCTGATCACCCTGACACTACTTTATCCTCTTGTCCTTTTCTCTCCCTGTGATGGTGCAGTCCTGCCTGATCGATTCCCTCTCTAACTCACATGGACATCTTTCTCATTTTATCACGCCGGCTGTGCTTTCCTATTGTCATCCTTGAGATTGTGCATCCATGCAAGCCCAGACACTCTTCCTCTCACCCCTCTTTGTGAGTGTGTGTGTGTGTGTGTGTGTGTTTCATACCACTTCTCAATTAGGTTTTAATGATGTAAGAGGGAAAGGCAGCCTTTGATCGATCCCTGCAGTCATCTCAGTGTGAGAGGCTCAGTGCCTGTCGTCGGTGTGACACATCTAAGCCCCTGCCTGTATTTGCTCAGCCCCTCTCCTCGCTCTGCTCCTGCCTTTGTGTGGCTCTGTTCGGTGCTTAGCGCAGTGAGAAATAAGCTGGTTTTATGTGTAAGGTCTGACTACAGTTTGACTTTAATCTGGTTCCTGGACTGACTGAGACTTTGCTTTTTGGCTGTACAGGCAGTTTTTATACTCATAACAAAGACAGGTATAACTATCTATGAGGCAGAGCAGCTGCCTTTCTAAGACTACTGTAACATCTCATGACCTACAGGGAGAGATTTGTACTTTTGATAAATCTCTCCTCTACTCACTGATCATTGTAATGTCAGTCATACAAGTACAGCAATCCCTTTTGAAGCACAGGTTCAAATCTCCATTTAAAACCGAACCACTGTTCACTAGATCTGTGACCGAATCATATCCAGGTTCTTTCACCACCATTATCTTGAAACATCTCAGGTTTTAGATCTGTGTTATGACAAGATAGTTGGGAAGAAGGGTGCATGAGTATTAAAAAGTATGTTTCCTATCTCATTTTTGGGCACTGGGAGCAGGTTAGTTGTTGAATCCTGACTCCAGCTAGTTCTTCAACATGTTCTTGGGTTCATAAATCTAGTTTATACTTGGCATTTATATATCTCTAGAGTACTTGGATCATAAGTGGACAGCTTGAACTACAGGTCTCACTGCCCCCCTGAGAGTGGCTCAAGGTCTGATGACTTATCCCACATACGAAGATTCTCTAGGAGGCATTTGTCCACATTGGTCTGGTTGTGTTACGCTTATGTGTCCTGGACCTCCCACTCTATCCATATCCACGGCAATGATCACGTGGAGTGACACACCACCTGCTCAATATAGATGGCTGATTTAATATTACTCTGCAGCGCTGGCAGTAAATCTTCAGTTTTTGATTTCTCATGTCGTTTAAACATATGAACAGAAACCTATTAGCCTGTGCCAAAATACTAAATAATTAATGAGCATATTTCTTCATTAAGACTTCATTTAACCTATTAATAAGAAATGATCCTGCACTGAGGAAAGATAGGGGTCCATAAAGAACATGATCTGCCCTGTTTCCACGCATAGCCGGCTATAATGCAGGATCCATGTCCCGCCATGTTGTCAATGACATGTTTGAAAGAAGTGACTCATGAGTATTTAATTAGAGTTGCAACAATGCAACACAATGATGATACTAGTGTTTCATAATGGCCATATGTGTGATAACTGAACAGATCTTATTTTTGCTGTAACAGAGACTTCAATCTGCAGTGGAGTTCTTGTTTTGCTCAGGAAAACCAGAGAGCTGTAGATGAAAATAAGTCTTCATGATCAAAGTCTTGTACTACGTCACTACTCCGGTCTGTATTAATTCCCTCTCTGCTGCTGTATATGAGCATGAGCTCCCCCTTTGCTGTTAGTATGCAACACTGTTTGTATCTCTGAGTAATATTCTTTTAAAGACTAATGAAGGTGAGTGAGGCTCTGGGTTTATTTGCATGTGAAGCAATAAAGTGTGATTCAATCCCAAGTGGTCACAGGGGACGTATTTGAAGATGCGTGTTGATGTAAAGTAAAATGCTCGTACTTAAGTCTTGTCCACACAGGATTTCATTACGCTAGACTGATTGTAATTCCGGGTATAAACAAGGTCACAGTGTTTGTGATGATGGTGGAGAGAAAACTTTCTCTAACGTTTTCTTTTTTCTCCTGTTTGTTTTTATTAAAAGAGCGGCTTTGTGCAGACATTAATGCTCAGCACATCATCACGGTGTCATGGGTTGCTGCTGGCTTGATGAGAGCTGCACTTAATGGTACCCGAGGTGCCACTTAGCCTCTCTATTTGTTAGATTTATGTGCCAGTAATGAAAAGTGTGCTGACAGGTCTGTGTGGTCCTCAGAGTGCTCTGTTGAATCAGTTAGTCTTGTCCATTACAACACCTACATGTCCCTTCGTATTTTGATCTTTTCTGTCGGACATAAAACTATCAGCCGTGTTCAATAGTGACACTACCTCTGTTCAGCTCTGCCAATGACCAGCCTCATTGTTTTTCAACAGTGGAGTATTTACGAGGGCAGTAAAAGCAGAGATGGATCTGTCGTCTGCAAGATGAGGGCACTGCTCTTCTTACGGCGAGGGCAGTGTGTTGCAAAGAGCGAGGTTTTAAGTGGTGGAGAGTGGAAGTCAGATACCTGCAGGCGCGTTGACATGTCAGCTGTCTGTGTTAAGATGTCCAGCTGGAATGATCACAGGGCAACATGTGCTGGCTGTCCTCCCGCTCTCTGACTGCTGTAATGCCATTATACACATTCAGATTAGGCTGTAAAGTAGAGCTTAGAAAGCAACCAAACCTTTACAAGTCTTCTATTTGCAAAACAGTGCTTCCTCCTTTACATGTATGAGTTTAAAAGGGGCATGACCTGGTGACACATGCTCTTGAAATTTAATCTGCGTGACCTCAAACATGGGTGGGAGTATTTCAGTCAGCACAAACAGTTGTTGTGGCTCAACCTTTTTGTTCCATTTCTCTGAAAAACATTTGCTCATACAGTGACCAGTGGTTGATTAGTAATGCCTGCCAAGGACAGCAGTGTTATGTCAGTCAAGGGCAAAGGAGGAATTATCTGTTTAGATCTCTAGTGGAGATATTATTCAGTAAAAGATGAACTATTTATATGTTGTAGTCAACATAGGTCGGATCAATCTGCCAGGTCCCCAATTGAGTGTTAACCCACTCTGGCTCAGCCGCTGGGGCATAATCTGGTCATCATTTTACACTGATAGCGGTTGAAAGTGATCAACATGACCCCCTTTATTTTCATACTATAGGAATTTTATATCACCTTGACCCTGGTGTGTGCAACCTATCTGCCCAAAGTGTTGTTTGTCACACTGTTCATTCTGTTCAGTGCCGCTCTCTCAGCTCTTATCTCAGCCTAAAGGACATGTGACTCATGTTTTAATGTATTCTGTGTTATTTGTGTTGTGACAACATCAGATTTCACCAGGGTAATGTAGTGTTGACCTACTCATTATCAGTTATGAAATCCCTGCACACCACGTCGTCTTTGACAGCAGTGGAGTAGGATGTAACAATATGCTAGGCGCTGTGACATAATCTAACTAGTATGGCTGCTCAATCATGGCGAGTATCATAATCATGGTTATTTTGATTGATATTGTGATCATGATTATTAAAGTGTCAAAATGTAAGCCCTGCTCCTGTGTGTGACCCAAACCTATGTAATCAATGACACTTATGTTAGACCCCAAGACGAACAGAAAGGGGAAGCGGTCCACAGAGGTGACGGTGCGACACAGCTCGGGCTCGTTGGTGCCCTGCATTGCGCTGGTTTTGATTGATATTGAGATCATGATTATTAAAGTCAATCACTTATTATATGGTATCTACATCACCTGCAGTTATGAAACTTAAAAACCTTTTAAAACTTAAAAAAAAAATTCAGATTTAGTCTTATTGAGAGGCACCCTGCATCAGTTTTCTCTTAAAGAATTCTGACATACTTATTCCCATGTGCCTAAAGGGACAAAGTTACACATGGTTTGTAAAAATGTTAATTCCAGATTTAATAACAGGTTTGTGCTACAGCCATTTATCCTATATTAATTATTTGAATTTTATTTTTTGGTAACAGTTCAAGCTATTTACACCATTTATCCGTCACATTATTAGACTATTAATCCATTGCTTTAAGCACCTGCTGCATTACGTGGCAGTGGACATATCAGTGCAAGCATCCCTGATTAGCAGCAATCTGATAATGAGCCTCAATCTGTAAAAGGCATTTAGTATTAGAGATTAGATTCAGATTTGAACTGTATTTTTTTCATCACCATACATTTAACCTGTGCCAGAAATAGACCGAGGCTCCCTATACACAAGCATGGCAGTGACAAGTGTGATGTTTTTGACTATATGTGCCTGTTTGTTGTATGAAGTGCTTTTCTAGGAAGCGCATCGGAGCCATTAATATCTGCAGAGCTTTTGTTCTGTTCTTAAAACCAACAAGATCAAAGAGAAGCATCAGAAAACCAGAAGTGCTCTGATGTTGAGGAGTGAACGTATCAGACGAGTATGTTTTCACTTTATGAATATGATGCAGTTTACCCAAGCGCCCTCTCAGAAATTTTAATCATCTATAATTTAAAACTTTATTAGGTTACAGAGATTGCTAGTTGCACAGGCTAAGTGTTTTGCAGCACATGCACATTCACAGCGCCACAATGGCTGTCTGACTGCCCTAATCTGTTCCTTGCATTTGTTGGATGCTTTTACTCAAGTTTGTGTCTCCATATTTTTCGCATAAGTCATCACTAAATCGAATTCGGCCTGTTTAAGCAGAAGTTTTATCTGACTTTTCTAGATCAGCCCAGGAGGACTGGAGCCTTGCTAAGCGGAGATACAGAGAGGAAGCTGAGGGGTGAGGAAAACAGTTTTTGCTCTTTGGATGCTGCATATTTTATGTCTGCTGAGGTCTCCTGATGAAAGAATGTGAGATGAGATGGCCGTAGGATTATATAAGTGCAGAGCCAAGGAAACACATGAGTGTTAGTAGGCAGTGCTTACACACTTACAGTAGCAAGGACTTTAGAAACTACTCCACATCCTTTCATCCTACGCCGGGTTATTTTCATATGGGCTTTTTCAGACGTAACCAAGAAAGTCCTCTTTGTCTTTAAAGAAGCAATGCAGGATCAATCTCTTTACTCAGTGGCTGGAGTGGAGGGGATATTTTTAGTCATGTGTCTTTGAGTGAAGACACTTGAGATTTGCTATGGGATGAAGAGCAGGAGTTTATATACTTGTCGCTCGCTCCACCTCATTTCATTTTATGTATTTCTATTGCTGCTGGCAGCTTGAAGCGCTGAGACTAGCCAGCCATAAAACAATATTCTCCACCATGGATCGACCGTCATGACTCAGATTGCTGCAGAAATTAGAGTTCAGGGCTCCTGCTGCTCAGGATAGAATCCTCCGGTATCGCTCTACCTGACTGCAGAGAAGTCTAAATATTACATTCAGTAGTGGCACTGACAGAGAGTAGATCATGCATGATGGTGACTGATTGATTTTGACCTTTGAACCGGGGGCTTATGCTCCCCCTTAGTTATCTTTTTCGACCAACACCATCATGACAATACGGTAAAATACATTACCTCTTCTTCTGAGGGGATTGAAAATCATCAAGGACAGGCTTTTTGTTGGCACTTGCTGCACATTGCTTGGTTGTTTACATTTCGAGTTATTGGATTTTGAGAGCTGTTTTAAAGGGAGAAATTGGGGTGCTGGTTTGGCCCGGAGACTAAGATGAAGCTGCAGTCCTGATTCCAGCCTGTGGCCCTTTTTCCTACGTGCAACTTCTGACTCTCTCTCTGGCTTCCCGCTCTGTCTGCTATCCTATCCTCAAAAAATAAAGGCATAAAAGCCTGAGATATAAAATTTTAAGAGGAAAAAAAGCTGTTAGCTGAAGTTAAAATAAACCATTTGTACTTTGCATAAAGCAAAGGCACTCAGAAGGCTGCCTTCCTAATTTAACCATAAGTAAGCCACTGAGGGGTAAATTAGGGAAGGAGTTCATTAACTATGTTCTTAAAGAAGCAACCACCAATTTTCAGAGGGAATCACTGTTTAAATTCTATATTAGAGCCACTGACAGTATTCAAATGCTCATCAGTTCAATCAATCTATCAATCTTTATTGATACAGAGCCAAATCACAACAAATGTTCTCTCTGTTGTTGCATAGCCCATCAAGGTTTCAGCTGTTTAATATAAAAATATAACATAAAGCTGATAAATTTTAAGCTATAGTAACAGTGACACCCAGTTTAAATTAATTTAGATCACATTTTTCTTGTGGGCGCCACTTTAAGTTTGAGGTAAGGGGAAGCTTGGCCTTGCTGTCCTAGCTAGCATAATTGAGCATTCCATAACCACAGGTATCTGCTTGAAATGACCTGAGAGATCTTCTTCACTGCTTTATGGGAAAGCTCAATGCATGTTTTGGTCAGCAGAAGTTTCATGGCGTCAGTCCTGTGGCTCCACCAGCCAGATTGCTCGTGTGCATGCCTTAGTTCCACCATCCCAATATGCCCGGCCCATGCAGGCAGTATTTTCCATTTAAATATCAGGAATGGAAGAAAGGGAGATGCCATGCAGTCCTCGAAAACCACGTATAAACATTTTCTTAAAAGTCATCTTCATGACTCATCTTCAATTTGGACTGTGAAAACCTACCGGGTAAACTCATTCCTGTCCTGTCCTCGCTGCGCACTCTGCATTGTCCTGAAGTGTCCTTTTTCATCTGTACAGAAAGTATTCATATAGCAGCACTGCTAGCAGTGAACATCTAATGAGCTGTGAGCCAGAGGAGGCAGATAAACAGAGTAAAGGGCATTTGTACTGCAGTGTATCCTTATCAGATTATGGGATCCCTGCAACCTCAAGCGTTGTCTTCACAAACACCCATCTTAAAAGAACAACACTTGATCTATAACTAAGTTGTGTTCAGTCAAAGGGTTGCAGCTGCATCAGCAAATTCATAACCTATGAGTCATTTAAGATGTATGTTCCAGCCTTTGTTCAGCACCTCAAAAAGCATGAAGGGCACCTTTTTATTGTCATTGTCATCATATAAAATACTGTTTGTCTCTTACTATCTTTTAAATATTTTGGTGCTTTTGGTTTAAAGAGATGGTCTCAAGTTATTGAGACAGCTTTGTGAAAACACTTTGTCCAGATAGAATTTCATCTAAAGCTCTTGCAGCTCTTATTTTTATGATTGCATAATCACACTTTGAAAACTATTACCCAAATTCATCTACATTTTATAATGGATTTCTTCTTTTAATCCCTATTTTAAATCAGCTGATAGAATTCAGACGTTTCATTACTTCATCCTTGAAGTGTATCAGTTTGTTATGAAGCACATTTGAAGCAGCTGAGGCGTGCAGACATGGCTGACTGTATCTGTGCAGAGCCAGCTGTGTCCTGCGGGTTGAGTCTAGTTACACACATCTTTCAAAGCATCTCTCCACGGGCCCTGCACATGAGATAGCTCTTTAATCAGCTCTCTCCAATTATGTAATTATGAATGAAATTGGATTAACATATGACATGCAGTGTGTTTTCTCCTGTATGATTGATTTTGAGGTCTGGGCGCCAATACAGACATTTACCAATTTTAATTTTTCATTTTCTTGTCAGCCCTGAAGCTTCACAGGCTTTTGTGGGATTTAGAGAAACAGCATCTCATAATTGGATTGAAATAAGTAATCAAATTTAACTGCCTGTAGCGATACCTTTATGTTTACTTACAAAATATGCACACTACAGCCCCTCTTAATTAATTTTGCATGTTTATCAGTCAAAGTGTTTTCTTTTTACCGTGACCCTACCAGTTTAGGTTACTCTGATATGAGTATGTTTGTTCACGTAAATTTTACTCTGTGTAAAGACATCACAGAGTTAATTAATCATTGGGGTGTATTTGAGCGTTCAGTTAGACATGTTTGAAGAGATGATGATGCATTAGCTCAAAATTAATGTGAGTAAATGTGCGAAAATAAACACTCCTACTGTACCAGAGATCTACATCTGTGTTTTTGTTTATAGAGCTCTCTCTGGTATTGTCTGCCTCCCGCTCTCATCCTCATTAAGAAATTGTTCCTTGAACTTTGTGAACCTATTTTAAATGTCCCAGAGAGCCGTCAGTATAAATGAAGATTACAGATTCACGCCTCTTTGCATCTTCATATCAGTCATTAACCCCTAATGCTTCTCTCCCTCTCAACCCAGCGGATCACACCATGGAAGCTAAAGCCATCTTTCATCTCCTTCTCAGCTGCTGATCAGATAATCACTTGATCAAATCAATCTTCCTGAAGTGGAGATCAGTAGAGCCGAGAGATGAGAGTGAACTGCTGCGTGAAGCTGTTCTCTCTCTCTCTGTCTCTGCTTGATTAAACATCCCATTTCTGCTTTTTTTAAAAATGTATTCTTTGTTTGATTCCTTTGAAAGCTTTCATGTGTGCTTTGTCGCTTGTAAGCTTTCAGAGGACTAAAACAAGAGAGTAAAAGCTGGGATTTAAATATTTCAGTTATGCCATTGCTTCAGTGACCCCATTAATTTGATATATTTTTTTAAATAAGAGGGTAAGAGGGTTGAACACATAGACTGTATAAACTGTGGACAACTTGGATCTGTCTTGCTCCAGTTGATGGATTTGAAGCTGAAAAGCTCTCGGTAATTGTGTGTTTTTCCTTCACTTCCTGAAACCGAAATTGCGCAGTAGTGTTGTACACATTGGGCAGGAGAGTCACTGTGATGACACTAGACTCAAACAGCGTTTCCCCCAGGTGAGCTACGCAATCCTTGTATGTCCATAGGCTGTATCAAGTGTCAATCATAGAAAATATGAACCCCTAATAACTTTTAAAAATGGAGCTGTACAGAAAAAAGAGGACTTGAACACAACCCAGTCTTACAATAACTACATGTCAACATCACAAGCAGGGGGGGGAAAAATGTATATTCTGTGTAATTAATTTCTAAAGTTTGTCCACAACTCCATAGAGATTGTTGGAGGAGTCGGGATTTATAACCTATACTGCAGCCCGTCACCAGAGGGTGCTGTTTTCGCAGTGGCTTCACCCAAAGAGGAGGTAGATGCTGTCCATTCTATGTACAGTCTATCATTGGATAAGATCAACATCAACCTCAAAATTCAAGCAACAATTATCTAGTTAGCTTAGTGCAGAAATTAGAAACAAGAGAAAACAGCTACCGAGCCTCTGTCCAAAAGCGACCAAACTTACCTACTACCACCTTTAAATGATAAAACTAAACAGTTTTACAGAGGGCTATTTGATTGTCTCTGAACAAAGTCTTTGTCCTCAGCGACACCAGGATATTGACTGCAGTCCAGCTGCTTCACAAGTACAGACTCAAGGGTCTAGAGTTCAGTTTGGGAGGTTTTTAGCTTCTGTTTGTGGCTCATTTGCAGTCTAACTAGTAAGAACTAATCACTTATCTTTATTTAAGATAAACAGCCAATCAAAAATTTTTGAAGGAACATTTAAATGGAGCATATATATTTTTAAGTAGTTTTCCACTCTGCAAGAGGACAAATTAGACAAAGCTTGCATCAAAGATCACATCATAATAAAATTAAAATGTCTATTAGAAGTGAATTTATCCATCCTAACCAAACAGTTGTATGGCAGGGACAATACCTGTCGGCATTACTACATCAAAATGCAACTGATGAAATGCACAAAGGACCTGTAGTCGCGGCTAATTTGCAGTCCTGGTCCCCGGTTAGGCTTTTGGAAAGAAAGCAGATGATCCAGCACTTTTTAAATAGACATAAAAACTAACAATGAAAGCACACACAGACACAAGAGTGAAGCCTCTGTAGGAGTGAGTGTTACAGTGAAGCTTTGGCTCACCAGATAAACAGACTCTACTCCTTAGTTTGCAATGCGCCAAGGAACAACAGTGTCTGCTTTAGGGACATATTTAGAGGGCAGAGTTTTTCACTGAACCATAAACAATGCAGGCTTCATGGAAGGAAGTCTTTACTGGAAGCTGTTAAATGCTAAATGCCAGCTACACTGATGTGCATAGGAAGTGAACATTATTCCCAGAGGTGCATGGGTTCGGAGATCGCATCTCTCTCGAAAAGGGCCGCAAGGCATGGAGGAGGTAGTTTGTATCATCATTAGGATTTTTATCCCCTGAGGGCTTCGGTTACATTCCTCCTCACTTCATACATCTCAATAATGTTGAGGTCGCACTAAGGTCAGAAATGTCCTCTTGTACGTCCTGTGTTCATTAGTGTTTTAGAGCTAGTAGCTGGAAGGTGTTTTGACCATCTGCCTGCTGCCAAAGAATGTAACACATTACTTCTTTATTGAGCTGTTAATTGGTGCTGGGCGGCTATTTTCAGGTGACCTTTTAGTTTGATGAGAAACAGGGGGTTTTTCATTCTGGATATCTTGCTTCATAGGATATTGAACTTGGCTGCTTGAGAGTGATTTGGAATAAAGCTGTTAATAATTTGAAACTGAGAGCTCGCCTCATTTTAATACAAGAAAAAAAAAAATTCTGAATACTTGAGTGATGAAATGTCACCATGTTGAGGGATGTGATGACACATTTTTGGCTTGATATTTCAGGATTCTGACATTTTTTCGCGCGTGTACCTTGTGAGATGTGTCAGTTGTGATGTACAGCCGCAGAGAGAGGGGGACGTTTTTTAGTCAAATGCTTTCCGCAGACTGTCGTTTGAAAAAGGATGTCACAGCCTGAAAGAAAAATCTCCCCCCTGTTTTGTTTCTGCATCATTTGAACTAATAAATCTGCAGCTGTATGTGTCCGTGCGTAACTGTGACAGATGGGTGTGATGAGATTGTGCTTAACAGACTGTGGTTCCTCTTCCTCCATCGCCTTCTACCCCCTCCTCTTTCCTCTTCTCTCCTTCTCTATCTCTGCGAACAGAAGGATCGGGCCTGCCTGTCAGAGGTGTTTGATCAGAAGTTGTCTGCTGAGAATCTCAGCTTTGAACCAACTCACTGCTGTGGCGAGTTTCTTTTCCTTTGTTTGGGGCATCATAGAGGCTACACTCTTGAAGAAAAGCCGAACACTGTGTACTTGTTCTGTTGTTATACATGGAGGCAGGAGGGCTTGCTGCTTCTCGAAAGTAGAAGGTGATATTAATTCTGTGAATTTTTGTCGATGCTGCTGTGAGCATAAATCCATCTTTGCCAATTTCAAAAAAAGATTTACTCTTTGATTTTAAATCATAAAGACTCAAACTGGGCACTTTATTTGTCATCATATTGTTCTTCTATTGTTCAGAAGTCAACTTTTCAGAACAAGAGGGTGGAAACCATCAACTGTGTAGTGTGACAGACGCTGTGCCTCCAATTTTTCCCACTGTGAGAAAAGCAAAAATACTGCCTTGATGGGTACTGACATATTGCGCCGCAAGAGCTGAGGCATGCGCCAAAGGGATATGACAGGATTGACGTCAAACCCTTCCACTAACCGAAACACTGATTTGGTTTACTCATACCAGTGCAGCTTAACAAATAAGGATGTCTCAAAAGGTTTTTTTCTTCAAACAGTGAAACGTCTGTATATTCTAGATACACACACACAAGGGGAATCAATTAAAGGCTTTTAAAAAAAAATCTTGATAATAATGGCTCACAGCTCACAAAAACAAACAAATCCACTATTTCAAAATATTCCAAAGCAGCAATCCAGGTCAGCAGTGGCCATAATAATCACTTCACATCATCTAAATTTACAAGTTATAAAAAGAATCCACCAGTGTGTGTGGGAAGAGAATTATAAGCTTTTTCAGACCACTTTTTTTTCTTGCTCCAGGCTGTAAACATGTTTATTTTTGCTGTAGAGATAGGATTTTTGAACGGGTGTGTCGGTGGCTTGTAGTGCTGTTAGAAACTTGAGTTTTGAGCATGTGTGGATCATTTTCATCATCTGAGGCAGTAGGTTGCTGCTTGGTTAATTTTCATTAATAGGTACAAACAAGTCAAAGAGAGGGTACCTGTACCTTTTCCTTTTAATTTATTTAAAAAAAAAAATAATGGGACTATAATTTGAAAAAAAAAAAAAAAGATTTCTGTTGAAACTGAAAAATTGAAAGCATAAAATTGTTGGAAATGTTTCCTTATTTATTCTGGTAAAAACATTAGGGGAAATGGGGTCAATGTCTCACAGATGACTGCAGTTACAAACAATTGTTGTGCCCCACTGGGTTTAGGTAAATAAGCCAGAATAGTGATTTAAGTTTCTTTTGCATCGACCTCATTCTGTAGATCCAGAGGCTAAGTCTACGTGTTTTACACAGCTCATGTTCGTAATCTGTGCTGATGCCACACTTTGAGGTGAAGAAGTCACGCTGCTTCTGGACATTGGAGGAATATCATGAATTCATCAAAGGAGGCAGCAGGGCCGCAGAGGGAGAGCACTAGATAGGTCTCACACTCATCTTCACGAGCCTGTCACTGGTTAGAGATGAATTATTCATGGTTTTTGATTTTTTTCTTAGAAAAACGTTGATCACAGAATGAAGGATCGGCCTGCCTTCACGACAGCCCCCTGTCAGAATCAACTCATCTCCCTCAAAGACATCTCTGCACGCTCTTCTTTCTCTCCATCCCCACCGCGATCACCCGTAGCTGTCTTACGGAGAATTTCCTTTTTTCACTCCTACTCCTGCTTGCTTTTGTCTCATTCTGAAATGTCTCATCAGAACCACTTTACATAGATCTCTCCGTGTGGGGAAGATGGCGAGTAAATAGATTCAAGAGAGCCCGTGAATAATTCCTGTCAGGATGTAGCTGTGGTTGTTTCTGTTTGCATGAATGAGTTTCTATTTTTCATGTTTTTTTTTTTTTCTTCTTCTTTTTTTAGTGTGGTGCAGATTGTGTGTTTCTAACTCCATCCTGCATTCTGTTTTATCCCAGTACATCCAGTGCTGAGTTCCTGTGTCGGGACGGATGTATGTTTAATGAGCAGGCAGAACCCAATTACTCCGTGCCTCTAGCTGTAGACCTAGAGACTTTAGAAAGCCCCACTGGCATGCCAGATAACAGGCAGCGATGTCGTAATTGCCTCCAGACACGGCTGGTGAGATGGCATGGCACAGTGATCCCCGTTAAGGACACTGATTGCTCATCTCTTACTCTGGAATTTGTTGTTCTCCTTAGGGTACATCCCCCTGAAGAGTTAAGGCTCCTGTCTTTTATTTCAGAGCGAAATCTAAAATGACTCTCTAAGGAACAGAGGGAGCATGATGCCACTTTATTCCTCTCTTCTTTCTCTTCCTCCTCGAGGTCTTCAGGGAGAGCAGCTGACTCACCATCTCCTCCTCTTCATCCTCAGTGTGCCCCGGCTCCTCCTTCCTTCTCCTCCTTCCTTCTGTTTCGCCTTCGTCGCAGGAGTTGACAACCTGGTGTCACCTGCCGGGGTTCACTTCTGAATCCCTACAGAGCCTCAGCTGACAGTGCATATGTGGATTTTTGCAGAATTTATCAGTGCATACTTGTGATTGTTCCTGTCAGCGTGCACGCCGTCCTATTAGTCAGCGTTGTCGCGTCGGACAGCAGCAGCCAAGCCGTTGATGAATCCTCTGTTGAGTTGAGATTTACACCAGAAAGATAAGAGAGCTCGGCTGTCAACCCGCCATCTAAGGACACACACTCTCATATACACAACTACACGAGTACAGTCGATGTTCCCTCTGAAGTGGCTCACTTTTGTCAAAAACATTTCCAAGCCCTTCTTCCTTCCATGGTGTTGTCAAAACGTATAATCCCTCATCACCCTGCCTAAGCCCGCTCACATCTCTGCGTTCTGTTTTCAGCTGTCATCCTGTTGAGAGAAACCTTTCTCTCTTTTTACATCATCCTCTATCCCTAACCTTGTTCTTGCACGGTCACCTGTTTTTGTTTTTAAGACATACTTAAAAGGTCAGAGGGCGTTTCTTTTCTCTATTTTCTTTTTCATCTTTAATTTTTTCTCAAGCACTCAGCAGCTTTCTCTCTTTACAGGCGCCTTTTCTTTCTCTCTCTTCTTCAAACACTTGACTTCTTGCTTCCGTTCAACCAGGAGCTCATTGTTGCATTAGCTAATCTCTCAGAAGACGTGGCACAGATACAGGATCTACTGTTCTTCTACTTCAGCCCACGGCCACAGACGACGAACATCCTTTCTCTTTTTACCTGCAACGCCGGAGGAAACAGGAGAGACGTATACATTTTTGGATTCACAATTGAATAATTATCTTTATGGATTCTGTTCAGCCAGTTCTGTAAATGCAAAACCTTGATGTGATATTGATGTTCGAGGATAAATCAACAATTAGCAGGCGTGATGTGCCGTGAGACTCCTTCTGTGTCTCTGTGCAGTGTGAGCGGATTCATTGCCAGTGTTGTTGCTTGAGATTTTATAATTGCCTCAGAAATCTTCCTGTAATTAACACTCTCGGTTAATTACGCCAGAATCCCAGACCTCGCTATTCTCACATTATTAGGCTTGGGGCAGCAGGAAGAAAAACATGCACACACACACACAAACTGTCAAAGCATACATTGCAAAATTAGATTTTCTACTGCTCTTTTTATTGAAGGCTTTGAGCGCTGCACAAAAAAGTGGTTTCACCTCAATACCTTTGTTTTGTTTTGTTTGGTTTGGAAAGAACGGGGTCACATTTTAGCCATGGCCGGATTCAACAGTCAGTCGTCCCACTTTCAGAATCTTGACCGTTTTGAGATTAAGGCTGAGTTGAGAGGAGACGGGAGGTGGACAGGGCAGCGTGGCAGCTCCCAATGGCACGGGATTAGAGGTTGGGATGGTGAAGTAGGCCGTACAAACAGGCTGAGCTGAAACATGGACAGCGGACCATAACGCAGACAGAAATGGATGGCCTAGTACATTTCATCAGCATGTCATTATGCTGTAATCCCAGGCCGGCCACGCTGCTGGCTGCATGTGTGTGTCAGACCGGGTGAGTTATTGCTCAGGGACACTTGTGGATATTACTGTTTCACCTTCATGCTGTATTATAAGACTTTGACTCAGACATGCCCTATATTTTATCAGATATTGAATTTTGTGGGGCAGGATTGCTTTGCGGCGTATTTGTGTTTCAAAAATGAAGAACCCATTTTGATTTTACATGTTGCCATTTAAGGTGACAACGACTGAGAGCAATCTTGAATCTAAATGTAATTTTTCTTTTTCCTAAAAATGCATCACATAATCTGCTACCCCAAACCCCTCAGATTTGATTAGGCTAATCATGTTAAAATCAACTATTGGGCTGTCTTATAAGTAGTCTTCTTTGCAGTTCAGAGTGGCGTATTTTCTTTTGTTAGTGCCTTATGTTGTGTCTTTGGGCACAAATTTTTCTTTTTGAGTCCTTAAAATCCCACTCGGATCGTTTTTATCTCCTCTAAGTGTTCTCAGTGGTCTTTAAATTGTGATTATGAAGTTTTTAGCCGAAATCACGTTATTTGTGTCATTTTCAAGGGCTTTCCTTTTGCAGAGCTCCAGTAGATCATTAGCAATTTGCCTCTGAGTCATCAGCGGAGACAGCGCTGCTCTGCACACTCCTCATTATGTTAGCCTGCAGCCTAATATTGCCAGTGTAGTAGAAGTGGCAAGTAACATAGTAGCTATTCAGCTCTCGGAAACTTATGTCTTTAGGGACATGATGAAAGCTAATATCCCAATCAGCTTTCTTACGAGCATTGCAATCCGCTTACGTACACGCTGTTTCCACAATTGTCCTCTCTATTTCTCTAAGTGTGGCCTGCATAGCGTGGCTCTGGGGGCGGAGCTTGGAGTTGTGATGTAAGAAATCTCTGAATCTGAAACTGAGCCTGCTGTTTGGGTCTGCTAGAGATTCACATCATTTTGAATGCAGAAATACTCAAATGTAATTTCACACTTATTTTTCTCGTGATATGTCCTGTTGCATCAGAAAAATGCCATATGAACAGGTAGACAACAGGAAAAACACAATTTTCATTGGAGTGGGTCTTTAAAGAACTAAACTAAGGACATATATGTCTTACCCGCTTCGTTGTGTTTCTTGAAGTGTGAAAATTGTACAATAACACAGCCTCTGTTGGGTCAACCAAGTTTGAAAAGTCTTCCCACACCCTTGCCTGTTTGTGATCCTTGATCAGAGCGAAGCTAACCAACTGATAGCATTAGCTTTCCATTTATCTCCCCTGATGTCTCTGTCAGTTTATCACAGCAAGAGAGCAAAAAGCATATTAAACAAACTGGCAAACCATTTCTTTATTTCTAAACCTGAGCTTAAATTTGAGCAGGTGCGCTCTCTCACGGTCAATTTCATCCTTTCTTTTTCTTGATCTTTATTTCTTCCCCTCCCTCCTCCCTCCTGTTTCGACTTCACAGTTTCCTCCTCACCTTTAGGTCACTCTGGTGTCAAAACCATGAGTGGCCAATATGTTTGAGAGCGAGCCAACAACCAGAGCGACCAAAGTCACCTCTGCAGTGTACAGTATGTGTTGTTACCAGACAAGCTGTGAGTGTTTCTGCAGGGACATTTCTTCAAATTTGTGTACTTGTGAATTTGTTCCAAGAAGGTGAAAGGACACTGCAGCCTCTCTTGAATGTTTCTACTTTTAGTATGCAAGTTATTTTTCTTTGTTTTAACTTAAGGAGCCAGTTCACATAAATCTAACAGTATCAGTCAGGTTGAACTTTGTTCTCTGTAAGCTCGCCTTTCTGTCTTCTTGTCTGTTAGCATCTATTCTTTTGAAAGACTCTGGCTATCATCCAACACTGTCCGCATCAGCTTGCCAGAAGACTGTATTATCCTGGGTCCCATGTAAGGGTACGTTTTCAGGTTCAGTTAAGATCATGTCTGAAATAGTATTTTGATTGACAGACTAGGTGATACATTTCAATAACAAACCAATGAATTCACTACATGGAAAAGAGAGCGTACAAATACAAGGCTGTAGGTAGGGACTGTCTTATCTGACTCTGCTGTTGAACTCAAAGTGACCATGTTTTAAAGTGTCTTTGAGCTTCATATCTGAGAAGTTAACAGTGTTGACAGTAGAGATGAGTGATATGAGCTAAAAAAAATTTATCACAGTAAGATTTACCATTCTGGTGATAATGATAAAAGTCTGGATAAAAAATATTATAATCCCAGTCTGTGTTTTTGACTCGTTCTGTCTTGAAGACACCAGCCGGCATAGTCAAATAAAAAACTTGACTACAAGTTTAAGTGGTAGGTTTCAATACTTATTGAAAACTCTTATTGCACACAGTGAACGGCAGGTCAGGCATACCTGATCGCACTCGTCTAAACCCCAATCTTGAAGGAAATCCCTCACGTGGAGCCTCGTTCAGCAACAAGCTGCTCAGAGACGTCTTCTTCACCACCTTCAGCCATGTTTGTTTGTTTTTCTGATCTGTGTGGGCTACAGCTGCAAGTCTGTCACTTGCTTTTATGTCATCAACTTGCATTTATCGCGTTTATCGTGAGATGGCAAATATTGATCGTGGAGGAATTGTCTGACGATAAATCTTGAGCAGTAATTTATCGCCCATCCCTAGTTGACAGCAAACATAAAGTCCTATAAAATGAACTTAACAGTACCTACCCAGCACCTGAAAGTTCACAGAAAGGGTCAGGGACTTGGTCTTTAACAGAGTTGAACCATAAACTGTAGAAAACATGCATACAGCCTTAGTGACATTACCCATTGGTTTCTGAAGCGCTGCTTTAAAGCCTTTTAACTGCAGTCACCGTATTCTGAGTTGACTCTACCTAACCTTTAGTTAACCCAACTGAGGCAAAGAGGTGGAGCAGAGGCAGGTCGCACCAGCAGCTTCAGTGTGTCTACCTGTCAACCTAAATGAGCTTAAGAGTTGAAAATAAATACTAAGTTTGTGTCTGCAGCGTATTTTTACTTCTCAGAGTGGCCAATTTATTAGGGGTTCAAGCTTGGGTAGTTCTCTCTGGGTCTGATAAATGAACTTTCCAGAGTTTATGGACAGATGGACTCTCTTGTGGTCAATCAGGTAAAAGGAGTAAAGGCGCTGCCTTCAAGAGCAGAGGCTGATTCGCTTGATTCTGCTCGTGCCTCTCTCTAAAACATCTCTTCTTGGTTTATTACTCGGACAGAACTTTCTCCACCTCGCTGCTGTCGAGTGATGAATTATGAATAGATGTGGTTCCAGCAGCACTGCCAGCCAGGCCTGAGGATTACTTTCAATTTGCACACCGCTTCCCTTGCTCCCTTGCTCCTTCGCTGGCTTGCACCGCAAGTCAGACTTCTTTCTCTGGGGACTCTGAAGGCAGTATTAGATTGCTGCCTGAAACTCTAACCCCTGCCAATCATGTAAAAAGTTTGAGGAATGAATCTCTATGGATGCACAATGCACTGTATACAGTTACACAAGTGCTCGTGTTGCTGCCCCTCTCTTTGACTCCTCCATGAGTGGCATTGCTTCTTACCCGTAGATAACATTTCTCACTTTCCTTGTGAAGGAAGACAAAGGCGAAGGGCATGTGTGACTGCAGATAACTGGTTGTAATTGGCCTAGCTGATGAGCAGGCAGCAGGCAGTGAAAGGGAAGTAGAAAGGACAGGGATCTATTTAATGAAGCCAATGAGAAGGACACGGAGAGCCCGAAGGCTTCAAGAAGGATTAGAGCAGGCTCCAGCAGATTTAGGCTTACAACGCTGCCACTAGTCTATCAACCTTGAGTGCTGGTAAAGGACAGGGGTCAGGTTGTAAAACTAAGGTTCATGTCTTTTACACTGTATGTGATATCTCTTCTGTGCAACCTTGATCTTTAGCTGCTCTCCATCCAGAGTTGTCTCTGAACAAAATGGTTTTTCTAAAGGTTAAGTCCCCAAGATGCTAACCTTTTATTATACAACTGATACACATCCTTCTGCGGGCTCATGACTGTGTTTTCCACTGTTTTCATGTGGGAATATGCATGCTGCCTGTCAGCCAGCACATCTTGGTGCATTTGTGCGTTTTCATGTGTAAATTAGGACACATAAATCTGTCTCTGTGTGTGTGTGAGTGTCTGATGACGTGAAGCGTGTGATGTGTGATGCCGGCCTAATATGTCCCATCTCTGCCTCTCTGGATATGGCAGGCAGTGTGAGAGCGACAGAGAGCCGAGCCAGTTGGCATGGAAAGAGCCGGGGTTGAAGTGATGGCTGGTGACATGGCAGACGGGCTAGCCAGGCAGGAAATAGTTGCCAGCAGAAACACTGATCCCACTCACCTCCACCTCTTGATGACTTTGAGTTTCTCGCCCAAGTCTTTGCAAAGCACCGTTTGACAGAGGTAAACAGCGGAAGCTGTGCATTTTCAAAAGAAATTAAAGGTCGCAGTCTTGAATATTCATTGTTTATGGGAGTTGAAGGCGGCAGCGAGTCGTTCAAGCGAACAAAATGACTCTTATTAACCTTTGACTCGGGTTTGAGTTTGCGCTTTATGAATATGCATTCTCCAAGGATATTTTTATGATAAGCTCCTGGAATCACTGTGCTTACATTCCCCTGTTGTTTTCTCTATTGGCATGGGCACTATAAGGCATAACAATACATTTTTATGATTTGTGCAAATTTACACCGGTCTGGGTCTGCTGCGTCTGATCCAACTGAGCAAGGAGGAAAAAAACACAACAGAAGTTATCTCCATGAAATTATCCCCAGTTCTCTATTTCAGAAGCATGAGGGAAATTAAAGTGTATCACACAGTTATAGGCTGAACAGGTGCCATGCATAGTAGAGCTAATTGTGTCGGAGGAGTTGAAAATTCTGATAGTCGCAAAGTAATGGATGTTTCTGAATCATTAATTTTAATATTGATCAGAGTGCTTACAAGGACACAGTCTTGTGAATAGATAGCCTCTGGTGCCTTTAAACTTGACTATGTTATTCTGTCAGCTTAGAGATTGCCAGACTCAATCAGCGCAGCAGCCTTGTAAGAAATTTCTTTTTTATTTCCCCACCTTTAAAAAAAGCAGCCCCCTCAGATTTGGACAAGGACAAAAGAGCATTCTGGTGTGTTCACCAAGCACGAGCAATTCCTCTGTTGAGCCGCTTCCTCCAATTATGTACCCCCTTTTCTGGTGGTCTGTCACTTCTCATCCTTTCTGAGGTGGTGTTAGTAGCCAGGGATGGTGCCTGGGGAGGGGGCGGCTGCCTGGCTGACATACTCAAATCCTGCAGCTTAAAGAGAGGATGGCCATTTAATAGGCTAGCTGCCAGTAGCAGCTTGTCCGCATGGCGAGCTTGCTGAAGAGACAGACGAGTGTCTGACCGCTGTCGGCTTTCCAGCATGACACCCACATCAACGTTTCGATTAGCAAAGTGTTCCAGAAATCTCCATATTGCGACTAAGCCCTTTAGTTTTCACCAAAGAGATGTGGCTACCATCGAAAAAGAGTCCGACACTTTTTGAAGATGTTAATCATAAAATATAGTCAAAGTACGGCTCTGATAAGGTTTTTTTTTTGACCTTCTGAGAAATGCACTTCCTTCCTAATAATGAGATGAGATCTTTAACCATTGTAGATCTGTAACATTTGAAACCAGCTCCAGAAGATGGTGGCTTTTCATATCACAAAGTCTTACAACAGTGGGAAACAGATAGCTCAGCTATCTTTTAATGAATCGGTACCTTTGCTATCCCAACTGTATTCAGCAGAGCTCATTGGTAGCATCAAACCTGTTATCGCCCCCGTAGCTGACAGTTGCTTAAGAGAAGGTCTGTGTCCTGTGAGCTGGGTAAGCATAGTGCCATTTCCTAAGGATGTCCTGATTTTTTGGCCCCCTATCCTAATTCAAGTTTTTTGATATCAAGTATCGATTCTTGTTTTTGCCTGGATAATAGAGCGTCTTTAAGATATATTCAGCTTATTCACTCCAGTGTGCAGGAGTGGTAAACATCAATGTCTGTTTTAAAACTGACAGCAGTCACATCATGTTTTAGATCATCTCATAAACAGTCAAAAGCTTTGCCGTACTGCTCCAGAGAGGGCAGTGCCTAAAATGTGTTGTTGATAGACTGTTGATCCAAAAGCTCTAAAACACAGCTAAAACCTGCGCTCTCCACAATGGGGATGGACTAATAGACCAAAGTGATGAATTAAACCACTTCTCTGGATATTTAAATCCTTCCTCGTTAAATCCAGATGAGTAGATTTGGCACAGCAGCCTTTCGTTTGTTGTTTTAGTGACTTCTGCTGCGTGTTAAGTTTGAAGATGTCATATCATATTGGGTAACAGAACGTGACCCAACTGTTATTGCCGCTTAAATGATTGTGTAGTGAGTGATCATTATTTTTTTAAATGTTGTCTTACAAAATATTTCCACACTTTGGTGGTGGATTGCTGATGCCACGATTCTTCCCTGTTAAGGTTCTGCTCCATATTGCGCTCAGTTCATGACATCTGTACTATATATTATCAGTATGAAGTGATGAGCCCATATTGGTGAAACCTGAACAATGTCCTTATCAGCTTCAGCCTGATAAATGAGAATGTAATCTTGACAAATCTGGTCTTTTTTACTTGTGATTATTACAAAGGTATTACCAACACTTCCTATGATCCCATTGTTCTTTAAGATGCTTTTATCTGACTCCTACCATACTATTTTAATCTAGTCTATAATCGTGTTACTGGTAATATCCTTTCTTTTGTGGACACAACACACCTGTGCTCATATACTTGCAGCATGTTGATCAGCTGCTTGTGTCCATAAAGAGGTTTTTGCGAAAACTCACTTCAGCGTAATTCTTTCAGTGTTTTTTGAGGCTTAAAGTCCCACTCCAATCCACGTTTTTAGCCAAAATCTCATTACCTGTGTCATTTTTGCCCCTTTGAGTCGTGGACGGAGACAGCTCTGCTCTGCGCTCTCCTCTTCATGCTAGCTTGCAGCCTAACATTGCCGTTGTAGCAGAAGAAACAAGTAACATAGGAGCTATTCAGCTCTCTGACACTCATGTCTTCAGAGACATGATGAAAGCTAAGATCATAATTAGCTTTCTTACAAGCATTGCAATCCACTTCCACACACGATTGTCCTCTCTGTTTCTGTGAGTGTGGCCACAAGCGTGGTGCGGAGCTTGAAATTGTGACGTAGGAAATCTCACTGAATCTGAGCCTGCCGTTTGGGTCTGCCCAAGTGATTTGAATGCAGAAAGACTCCAAAATGCAATTTCACACTTATTTTTCTCATGATATGTCCTGTAGCATCAGAAAAACGCCATATGAACATATAAAAAATAAAGACTCACTCCACTGGGCTTTAAGCTTGAAATGAATAACCTACAGATGGGAAAAGATTGAAGCTCACTGTTGAACTCTTGCTTGAATGTTGCTGACTGAAAGACACTATTTGGGTGAAGTAGATAAATTCAAAGGAATTTCTTAAACTCTTAAACATCAGCTAAATTTCCAAACTCTTTCAGGCATGTTTCGCCGCTTATCTTAAAGGGAGGATTGTTGTTTTAATGAAAAGTGTTCACGGCTAAATTATCTAATATATGAGGTAAACTAAAGAAATGTGTAATTGGATTTTTATATCATCATCATCAGTCTGCTCACTGTGAGCGCTCAGGTCTCATGAGGCCTTGAGATAAATAAGCATGGGATTAATAAGTCAGCCATCCATGTAATAGGCCTAAATTGATGGAGGAGAGTAATGAGTTACTCTTGCACAATTTTGCAAATAAAATTGTGTTAACTGTTGATAGGACAACACAGCTGAGGGTACTCTTTAGCTGGACGACCATGACCAGAGGAAGACACGTCATTGTGTATTAGTCACAGCCTGTAGCCCCCCAAAGACTGGCATCATACTTAATGTTCTTTTGAGCCACAGATCCTCTTGTGTTAACTCAAACTGACTGTGCTTGGATTGATTTGGATTGTGCCGCAGTATTTGTGCAAGACCCCCAATATTTGCTTTAACCTTTAGCTGCGAACATGCCTCAGAACAAATAGATAAAAAACACCAGACGGGTCAGACCCTGTCTTGAGGAGTACTGAGCTGAGAAAGCATAACAAACACCCGAGCTCCCACTGAGCCTACTGGTGGATGAATTTGGTGAAGAAATCTAAATGAGAACAAAAGTAATATCATAAACCAGTTTGTTATCGGGGCTTTATTCCTACAATGAGGACATACGTGATGCGTATCTTGTATAAATAGTTAAAATCTGAGTATGCAGATGAGGTCTAGTTACACTGTCCTAATTCCCCATAGCAATGTGTTAATATTCCCAGTACACAGGAACATTTTTATACGTAAACAAGCAATTTATTTTATCATTTGTTTGATTGTTTGTTTATTTATTCAGGCAAATGGAAGAAAGCATAAACTAGTATGCAGGAATGTGGTAGAAATTTTTAGTCGTCTTATATGAAAATCAATTATTGAAGGTACTACAACACCAGGAATACAGACTTAATATCATTGTTTACGTGTGAAGAGAAAGCTGTTTTCACATTTCAAAGGTGTTAACAGGTGCCATGTATATGTTTGTGGCATCAAAGAGAGACTTATTTTTGTGGGACAAAATCAGTGGCAAAGATAGATGCATGAGATATTTGGTTCACACCAGGGCTGCCTGATATCTGACCAGGAATTAATCTTTTTTATACAGAGGAAATTTTCTACCCTCCACTGTTTGATCAGGATCAAAACATTTGCAACTGACAAACTTATGTCCAAAACAAAGAAGGATACCTAATTTATTATATGCAGAAAAGATAAATGTACATGTTTTAAAAATGAGGGCACTTGATATGAAATAAGATTACATTGTGTCAAATTCAGAAAAATTAAATTACTTATTCATGGTGTTTACAAACTACTCATTTTTCTTTGTTCTACTTGCATACATTATGTAACTGGAGTCTGCAGATCTGTGAATTAATGAATGATGCCTACTTGTGTTTTTTGCCAGTTAGCAGCCTGTTAGCAAAGCTAGAGCATTGTTTTATGATCTCTTTAAAATCCACTGCAAAGGTTAACATTTGGATAATATAGCAACCTTTTAAATGACAAAATTAAGCTGTTCTCCCAAATCTAGTGAATGATCAATCTGAGCTTTTGAAAAACATACTGATGAAATGCTTTCTCACTAAACATGCTTGCTTTAAAACCTTTGGATGAAGGCTTGGTTATGACAGCCATGCTTTCATACACCACTTTGAGGCAGTCAGATGAAGCTAAAGGTGGCTATCTGCAGCACTGTTTTTCAATTTTGTTTGGACAAATGCACTCTTGGCATCAGTTTGCTTTTCATGATTCATATCATCACTGCAGCACCAAAATACGTATTGTGCAGGCCTCCTTTCAGGAACTTGAAATATGGGAAATTGAACAACAGTGCTCTCGTGGTGAACAGTAAGGACAATGAGCATGATTAATAACCTCATTAGCATGGATATTATTTTCAGATTACCTGAGGAAACATTTGTTAGCTTTCCAGCTAGCATTTGTCTTTGATTACTCTTTCAGGAGCGCACACAGCTAATAAACATCTAAGAAGCCACTCAAAATTTACAGAGCAAGGATAGCAGCCTTTAATCCAGTTTCAGAAACATACATCACAGGCCTTTATTGAAACTAAAGCATTACTAACTTCATAACTTAATGGCAGAATTAAAAACAAGCCATCAGATGTATCTATTTATGCTGTCAGCTGAGGTATAATAAGTATCATGTGTAAGCCTCTCTGTGTCTTTGGGTTTGAGGCCATTCAGCTGCGGCTAAGGTCAAAGTCTCCATGTCAGTGGGACATGACCGTGCAGTATAACCTTGTCAATAATTCAGCCCCTGTTCCTCAAAGCCTTTACATCCATAAGCCCAGTAACAGTTCTCACTTATTAAAGATTCATTGCACAGGGCAAGACACATCCTTAATCACCCCTTTGTGTCCTTTGGTTTCACTGCTTATGCTTTGCATAGGATACAAGTGCAATTTAAGAATCCCACTGTAATACATTATGATAATTAAAATCCCATTTGGCACCCTTTGACTTGTATTTCATATCAATCTGCAGGCAGTGTATGGCTGTAATGGATTTTTTCTTCATATCTGATCAGCCCACTGCAGCAGTTTTTATTATGCAGGGCCTGAGGACAGTGCCACATTAAGAGGGTGGACTGTTCGCACACACTGCCCCTCATCCATCTCCCATTGACTTCTACTGTCACTGCAGTGCCCACAGCTGCTGTGTGGTCGAGTACTTACTCATCTATGCTCATGTGAATCCATGCTACAGCTTCTTTACTTTCCTCACAACTGGATGCAGTGATATTGACACACACACACACAGCACAGCAGGTGTTTACACTCCAAATTTTTCTGTTCTTGAAGCGGCCGCTTATTTGTCCTTGCCTGTGGGTGCCACGGCCCAGCCTGTACTAACGATCCATCACCAGACTGCAGAGTGGAAGTTAGGGTCATAAAACTCCATCCCCTTTCTCTCCCTCTCCTTCTCTCTCTCTCTCTCTCTCTCTCTCTCTCTCTTTCTCTCTCTCCCCCTTTCTCTGTATCAGCCTTTCTCTCTCATCAGGTGAGCATGAGGTTGTGTGTGTGTGTGCGTGTGAGTGTGTGTGTGTGTGTAATGGCCTGTGTGACTGTGTTTGTGTGTTTCCTGGACCGTGCACTGCTAGCGGCTTCAGGGTCTCCCTACGCAGATTGATGGACAGTGACGATGGCTTCCCTCTGTGGAGAGGGGGATGAGTAATGTGTTTTCTTTGGTGGACACACATACGCACATACACTAATACACACTAACAGAGTATGTGCTTATGTAAAACACAGTGAGTGGGCATGGTAAAAATGAGTGCAGCCATTTGAGGAGCTTTTTGTGGATGTTATGCCTCGGCCTCCGTGCCTTTCTGGAGAGCGCTCAGCTACACCTACACACTCTTGAACACTCTTCCTGCTCATTTGTCAGCTGTGTGTCCTACACCTGCAGCATGATTATGGCTTTTGCAGTCTCAGTTCTGCTGCTGTTGCTTCCTTGCAGAGGCTTTTTTTTTTCTAGCTATAAAGTACAAACTCACACCGAGATTTATATATAGATATATACTGAACATGTCTCCATCTGAAGGCTCTTATATAGAGCTGCATAGAGATGGAAATGCTTGGGAACAATACCCTACATCACCGTGAAGTGTTCGAAAAAGCCTCTTCTTTTTATGGTGTTAAAAGATAGGTTTGGAGATGTTTTATATATCTTTGTGTCAGAAAATCCCATAAAAACCAACCAAGACTTTTCTGCGTGTCTTAAGCATGAATAAGCTTAACAGTTTGTGCTGTAGAGCGCTATTTTTTATTTATGCGCTTCCCACACATACTCTCTGCCTCTCGAGATCCTCACCAAGACATGAAATGGTTTGATCATGTCCACTACGAATGCACTTTCTGCTCCTGTTAGGGGAATTTATAATAAAAACCCAGTTCCAGATGATTTAAAGGTTAAAAAGTAAAAGTTTTTATCTGTAAAAATTATTATTGTAAACTTGAGTATAAATAAACTGAAACACTAGGGGGAAACTAGATTAGCATATTTTAAGGATTTGTCAAAATTAAAAACCTTTTTTAAAACATCACCATCTTTAAACATTTCACATCCCTGCAAATACAAGCTGAGACACATGCACACAGCTCTGCATTTGCATGCAAATGCCCAGTCTGCTGGCTGCCGGGCTGCATTAAAATCTCTTGTCTATCACACACACACTCACACACACATTTTAGCTTATTAGAGAAGCATTATGCATACATAAATGGGCTGTGTGCGTGTTTTATATCTAAGTTTGGGATGAACATCAGCAGTGCCCTCTGTCTGATCCCACCCTAATGCGCTCATGTTGAAACATGTGGAGGCCTCACTATCTATTATTCTGAAAAGCCAAGGAGGACAACGTTTGCACAAGGATCATTAGCCTAATTTAGTGTCTTTCAAGCCCTAATGGCTTCTGTTTATACAAAAAGAGTTTGAGGAGGAGATGAGGCTGGATTAAAGGAGGTCTCAAAAATGAGCGATGAAGCAGTTTGCGCAGGAAGAGGTGGTGAGAAGTGGCAGAACATCACACCGAGCCCCCTGCCCCTGCAGCTTTGCAGCCCACTCCACTGTCTAAATCGAACTCTGCTGCTTTCTAACCTGCTCTTAGCTTTTTTTTTTCTCTCTTAAAAGCCACACTTCTGTGCCCACCTTCACTCACCAGGTATCCGCGGTGGTTGGATGGTAATTAGACTACAGTCAGAGAGCAAATGAATTCCAGGTCATCCAGTCTGCCATCTGCAGTTTATGGACTATAACAGACGACAGCTGTAGAAAGAGACACCTGGCAATCTGAGGGGAGTGATAAAGGATGATGAACTGTTTTAAGACTCTTTTTAACAACAGAAAATTAACCTAAAACTATTATGAAAACTTCTGTCAGTAACTTCTGTGTAGGGACAAGTTTGGCGCCCCCTGTGGACAAAACAGGACAACATACCTCTTTGCTACATGAATGTTATATTTCCTGAGAAGAGACTGAGTAGTCTTTTTTTTTCCATGTGTAAGACATGAGAGATATTACATTTTGAAAAAATCATATCTCTCATGGTCTTGTATGGCCTTACAGTTCACATGTAGTGGCCAGGAAATCAAATTTAGTGTGTCCCATAACAAGGTAAAACCTTCTCACAGGAAAGAGAAAGACTATCTTTCAGATAACTGGGACACAAGCAAAGATGTGAAGCGAAGACACGTTTGACTCCATATGACACAGAGTGAATGTTTGCACAAGCCAGCCAAAGACACTTAAATAGTCTAGATCAACAACAGTCATTACTTAACTTACTTTGTGTAAAGTGATATATGTTCAATCAAAACACCAGCAGACAGGGCGACTTGTAATGTCTAATGAGTCATTCAAATGTGTGTTTGCTTAGCATCGACATGTCTCTTGATCCGAGTTTGACAGAAGGCGACTATCTGGCAGTAAACCTCCTTTTCAGCTGCTCAGTGACTGTATTGAGCTAATTCTGGCATGAGCTAAAGGCTAATGTGCTTGTACTACAGAGCCAGAGATGGTGTGAGCTCCTGTTAGTATTGGACTGACATAAACACAGTGCAGTAACTGAGTAGGATGATGAGCATTTGCAAGCACTTATTTGCTAGAAAGTGTTCACTTTAATTCTGAGGGGTTGAACAAGAGATGTGGCTTCAGTGTTTGTTGTTAGACTGATGAAGCTGTTGACCACTTCTTAAAACATGCAGAGTGCTGAAAAGGGAGCTTTTGATTTGTTATTCTCTGACTGCCATGTTTGTTTAGTAGCTGTCGTGGATGTTTTACAAGGATAAGACATTAATGTCATTCATACACCGTGAAAAAAGTATTTTTATACTACACAAAAAATGCAGTTGTTTGTAAATACAATTCCAGATACTAGTGGTTATGACAGCAATGATGGAAGTCAATTTTATGATATGATTGGAAAGCATATCATATCCAATCCTATCCTATATCATATCATATCATATCATATCATGTCATATCACGTCATGTCATGTCATATCATATCATATAATGTTATACCAAACCATATCATACCATATCATATCATGTCATGTCATGTTTTACCATATCACATCATGTCATTTCATGTCATGTCATGTTATACCATGTCATGTCATTTCATGTCATGTCATGTTATACCATGTCATGTCATTTCATGTCATGTCATGTTATACCATGTCATGTCATGTCATATCATGTCATGTCTTGTTATACCATATCATATCAAATCACATCATATCATGTCATGTCACGTCATGTCATGTCATCTTATACCATATCATGTCATGTCACGTCATGTCATGTCATGTCATGTTATACCATATCATATCAAATCATATCATATCATGTCATGTCATATCAAATCATATCATATCATATATTGTATCATTAAGTCATATCATAAATATCCTATTATATATTATATTTGTCTTAAGCACTTTGTGCTCCATTGTTTTTTATGAAAAGTGCAAATAAAGATTGATTGATCATTTCATATCATATCACATCATATTATCATATCATATCATATCATATCATATCACATCATATCTCATCTCCTATCATATAATGTATCCTAATGTCAAATTATATACCATCATATCATATCATATCATATCTTATCATATCATATCATACTCAGAAACATTGCTAAATTAAAGCTGTGAAAAGGACCCGAATTGCTCAAAAATGGCACTGTTACATTTTAGTTCATAGATTCTTTGACTGTGCAGAAGAGAGAGAGAGAGAGAGAGAGAAAAAGTGCAACTGGAGGTGAAACTTTAGTAAAGTAGTCTTAAAGTTTTCCAGATAAAAAAAAAAAATCTCACTGTCTCTGTACTGTGACTCTTTCCTTTCAAAACTTTAACCAAAAGTCCCTCCTGTCTTCTTTGTGTTGTGAAGTCCTTTTGTCAAATAGCAGCTGACACTGGTGACAAGCAATAGAAAAACTGAAAATAAAAAGTCAGTTCTTGGTAGTCTGGTTTATTTTTTGGATCATGTGGAATCCAAAAGATATTCGGGCCCTTGGATGCATTATAAAAATATTCACTCTCCAAATGAATGTATGACTAAATAAATAAATAAACTTCAACCAGACTAAAGTTGAAACTCAAGAAACTGAGTTTTTTTTATACGCTTCCGTATTGTCTGAATTTATTAACACTCCTTGTCTTCATTGCAGCATACAACAATGACATTGCAGTGTGCAGATTTGACTGATCATGCAGGCTCAGTTTGAGACCATTTTTTTTTTACTTTGTGAGGCTGTATTGGGTAACTGGGTTGCTTTTTAAATAATTGCTGAAGGCAAAACATTTGCATGCTAACATGTTCATAATGGCAATGCTTTTACATTTGGATCTAATACATTACAATGCAGAGAAGCCAGGGCATTCAGGGACAGCTCAGAATAGAGAGAAATGAATCAATAAAGGAAGTGTTCCCAACAACTCATCTGCATCTCTGTTTGCATCAACAGGCACAGTGTATTTCATACACTATGAAAAAAAGCATCAGCAACAGCACTTCCTTTTTAAGTCTCTGATGAAAATTTAATATCATCTGTCCCCCGGAAGTTTCCCTCGGCTCTCAAATAAAGACCTGTCAGTTTTCTTACCAGAACAATCACTGCATACAACTGGCATTAACCTGACACATAGTGAACATTATACGCTTTTATAAGCTCTGTTGTTATTGCATGTAGAGTTTTTGATAGAGTTTCCTCCCATGTTCTCCAGTTTCCATCTTATATATCTGTAAAAACATCTGGAGGAGTCTTTAAATGATGCCACATAAATCATCAGCAGGAATGTATCTCCTGTTGAAAACTTGTCAGATTTATGTCACAAAACAAGTGTCAGCTGCAGTTTTAAGACTCACAAGAGCAGCCAACAACAGCATGAAGCCAACGCCTTTGATTTGTGCTTTCACTGTGTCTTTTACTGTGATGGCAGCACAGCTTTAGTCTCTTTCTTCACTACTGAGTGAAGGTCTTGGATGGATTTTACCTCCACAGGGACAAGAATCACATAATGAGTTTTTAATATCATGCCATGTGTTGGCTGTGTACAAGCCTGCTATTGTTGTTTCATGGAGAGCATGTTTTCGGCTTTAATATTCCTTGTCATTTTAGTCTCTCACAACCAACAGATCAATCATGCAGTGGTGCACTTTTCTTTTGATAACACTCTCATTTTTTTTCCAAGTTTGCTGTGGAGATAAAAGAGAGATATTTTTGATTTCTGCAAATCACATCTAAACATCAAAACTTTGACTTTTCCTGAAAAGAAACAAAGATGGTATTAAAATGATTCCCTAACACTATTTTTCTAAAATGTCTGCTGAGAAGAAGATCCTCTATCCAACCAGTTCAACACTGTCAGACTTTGAGCCTCCTTAGCAACACATGTGTGAGACTTCCATGCTCTGCACACGGCCACAATAATTTGCAGCTGACGGTGGTGGTGTTTCTTTAAGCCCTTTGGCCTCACAAAGTCATTACACAAACAGTTTTATCGTCTGTTGACAGCTGAGTTATCCAGATATAAGAAATTGCTGTGGCTAACAGCAGAAAACTCACAATTTCAACTAAGGCTGCACGATATTGGAAAAAAATAATATTGCGATTTTTTCAACCCCGCGATATATATTGCGATATTAAAAATACAGGAATTTTCACCAGATGACCTGAATAGCATTTAATGTTATGCTGCACTGCTGAAATCTTGAGGACAGTTACCCTGCACTGATCTTACCTCTTTTTGTGAATGTTAGAATGGCTTCTGTCTCAGAGATATTTTTAGCTTTTATTGTGCTGGGACGTTATTGTGGCAACAGATTAACACAGAACACGTATTTTGGTCCTTCTTTTAACCGAAATAATTCCAGATAACTGACTTTCCTTTTCTTTTGGGCAAAAAATCTTCATTTTCGGTGGTTTTCGCTTGTTCGTTGCGATCGTTGTTGTTGTTGTTAGCGGTGTTGTGCCGAGAAACGCATGTCCTCCGAGAATTGCATGCACCTCGCAAAACGCGCACCGCTTATAGTAGAGTGGTCCACGGAAATGTACAATTTAAAACCCATACAGTTCTTATTTGTTAGGCTTAATAGTCAGGAGTAAAGTTCCGAAAGTAATTCTCAGCGGACACACGTCTCTCTCCATGTGCAGAACATGTGCAGGGGTGGGTTTCCTCCTCTCTGATTTTGATTGACAGCTGGCAGGGTAGTCTGATTGGCAACTGAGTTAAGGACGAATGTGATTGGTGGATCGCTGCAAAGCACATGCAGAGTCACATGCAGTGTATCGCAGTCAGTTACCCTTGAAATTAAATGAGTTCATTCACCTCCAATATCGCAGGCTCTGCGATGTGACTATCGCACACACGTACATCGCGATGACGATAGTCAAACGATATATCGTTCAGGCCTAATTTCAACTACAAAATAGATGTTTCAAATCATTTCACTCCTTATAAATATTAAAACATTTCCAGAACAGAACAGCCTGTTAAGTCTTTTCTGATTCAAGGGACTGGTTGATTTAATGTTGCCTGGCAACCAAAATGATAAGATAAAGAAATTTGACCTCTTGTCTTTTGCCTTATGATGAGTGCTGAAAGTGAAATTATAAATAATTCATGAGTGTGACAATGACAGACAATAGCTATTATTATTAAGTCACAGATTTTCGCAGCAGGTAACAGAAAATAGGAATGAGACAGAGACATGAGTCAGCACGGACCAAAGCAGTTTCTTGTGGTGGTTTGAAGCGGACACTGTTGTGAGGACATTCAATGACTCTTGTGATGGTGTTTCTTATGTTTATTCCTGCCGTTTTGCCTCATTTGTAGGTTTTTTCAATCATGGCATTAAACCTCTTTTTATAGCATTGAATGACTAAAAAAAAACAGATTTTTTTTTTTTTAGAAAAAAAAGCTCTTAAAATAGTGTAACAAGAATTAACTCTTATGACTAAAACTGTGTTAGATGAGGATATAATGGTGTTTTTTTGTATTTTGCTGTCAGCTTGTCTGAAAAGGATATTCAAATGTTTTAGTTTCACTTTCAGAGAGATGTTATGTCTCCTATCATTGATTTGAGTCCTTTGCTTTTGTGTCTTACAGACTTTTAAAATGCAGCTCTTGAAAATTTCCAGAAATTTTCAGTATAACATACTGACATTTTCCGAAGCTTATTGGTTTCACACTTTACAGTACAAAGTTTCCTCAGTCTGATTGTGAGGAAGGGGTAGGAAGCGAAGCAGAAAATTAAAAGGTCACTGCTGTGTAATGTCCATGGCATATTCAAGACAGTATTAAAGTCATGTCTGACTCTTTCATTTTTTGCCTCAAATACAGTCAATTATGTAACTTGCCCAAAAATCATTTCAGTTACTGGTGGATGCTATGAAAGTCGCTACAACTTTCTACTGACTTTTGCTGAACATTCACGACTTTTACCTGTTGCATTCTCAAATAAACTCAGCCTTACTTACTGTAGATATTTTACTGAAGGACTGGAGGGAGAAATTCCACATGTTAAAGTTGGGCTGGGCGATAAACCAGAAATTTACAGATACTGACATTTACGACAATTTTGCCCATATCGGGATATTCAATGTCAAAAAAATAAAAAATAAAAGTTGGTTTTGGATGTGTGTAGGTAGGCTATGGTCTCATGTCCCTTTAAGATGCTGTCTTAATCGCAGACGTGACTCCAACCCATCCAGTCCGTAACAAAGGGGGAAAGACAGGTGAGGAGATGGAGGAGGGTTTAAAAATCGTAGCGGCTGGAGCAGCGGCTGAAGTAGACGAAGTTAATGTGGGAGGGGGTGAGCAGCTTGTGGAGTAGTCATCATTTATCGTTATTGAGGTGAACTGCTTAACATATAGTGATATTGATTTGAGGCCATATCGCCCAGCCCTCTGTTAAAGGGTTACTGCTCACTGTTTGCAATTACACATGCAGCTCACCTAAAAATTTCAGGCAGTTTTAAGGAGTTTTGTGCAAAAGTGAGTAGGGCCAATGTAAGCAAAAAGGGAGTAGAACAACAACAATTCAAATAGTACAGGGGAAAAAAGTACAACAAAAAATATAATCTTGAATATTTACTGAAAAACATATAACTAATTCAGGTAAGTGTGAGTGCACAGAGAGAGGGAAGCTCACTGAGTGTGTCTGGTGGGCAGGTGTGAGTTTAGAAAAGAAAATGAGACTAAGAGGAGAGTTTGAGTCAGGATGGGGAGAAGGGGGAGATGGTGCAGTCTCCATGACAACATAAGACACCTACAGTACTGTCCTTTGGAAGTGGACCTGAACATTGCAGTTTATATCAGGGCCGTATATTGATTCCGCCTGGGAGACAAACTGTAGTTGGTGTACTTGAGTCTGCTGCACATCCTCTGACTTCACCTTTTACATAACTGACTTTACTGAACACCTCTCTGATAGAAACCCAGAGTCTATTCAATAAGGTAAAAGAATTTATTCCATGATTCAATACCTGGACTCTTATTTTTGGTTAAAAAATGCAACTTTAATTGCTCAGAGTTGTCTGTTCTGTTTTGCTGTATCTGTTTAGCTTTATTATTTCTTTTCCTTTTGCTTGTCTGAAAAGATTTCTGTTGTGTTTTCGATGCCTGACTTTGTCCCTTTTTAAAATGGGGCAGGGAAACACAAGCTCTGATCGATAGTGTTTGCGGGGCTGTCTTGTGTCGGGACAAACAGCCCCTCCAGCTGCACTTCTGTTACATCTTCTATCACCTGCAGCAGCTGAAGGTCAGCAGGGAAGAGCTTGGTTGTACTTATGCTGCGTAATCAAAAATTGCAACGGTTATTTCGGACTGCAGCCCACTACCGGGGACAGTAGCCTGTCAGAAAGTAGCTCTGTGTGCAGCCGGGCCCACAGGGAGGAACCATGCTGTACACGGTGGAGTGCACACGGCTCTCTATTCACCTGCTGTTGACCTGTGGGGCATTAGCTGTCCAGAGCCCCACGGCTTTTTACAGAGTGACTGCTACCAGATATGGCTTTGGACAGCCGATCATGTGACTGTCATTTTAAAATGTGGTGGGGGTCGCTCGTGGTTTTCTGTTTCAGTCTCTGCTCACCAGCTGTTTATGGAAAGAAAGACGTTGTAAATTCTGTAGGGGCAGCTTGAAAATTTTCAAGAGCAGCTTTCTAAGGAAGGTTGACACTTCCTGATGTAGAAAAAAAACATCAGACTAGTTAACTTTCCTCCTGTGTTAGCTTTCACTACGCACCCACTATGTTAAGGGTCAGTTTTGACCCGTGCCTAAATCAGCTGTAAATCACACTAAAAACAATTCTCTATCATTCAATTTGGTTCTCATCTCTAGGTTACCATGTTAGGCTTCATTATCCATGAAAATATTGCTTACAATATTATTTGTTGTGGTCCTCTGGGCCTTTCTTTGTCAGTATACCCCTCACACAGACATCTATACTGAATTGATCTCACATGTCTGGACATGCCCAATGTTGTTTTTTGTGCAGGGAAAAACATGGCAAAATGAGAATTTCCTAAATCTCACATGATTAGAAGAGGATCTGACTGTCAGTGTGGTGCCTAACAGTTCACTTATGATTTCAGTTTTTGCTCTGATTATTAGATATTAATTTAACCGGGTCAACAGCGACCCTAACACGACAAGTGCCATAATTTCAATAAGAGCATTTTATAATTTAGTCAGTTTAATTAATTATTTTTTATTTATTTATTTTTTAATAGAGGTTCCTGACAAAGTCAAAATGTCTTGATGCAAAAAAGTTTATTAAAGTGGTTCTTTTAAGCATTTAAAAACAAAAACGGGTCAGTGCAGACCCTAACACTGAAGGAGGGTTAAACAATTAAAGTCAACGTGGATGAAAATCTGTCTTAAAGACAGTTGAGGTGAAGGACAGAAAATTCAGTGAAACACCTTCTTAATCTATGTCCAAAACCCTAAATAAGGCTGAATTTTAATACACCAGATCTGCCCTAAAATAGCTAATCACATACAGTATGTACAACAAGCACTCTGAGAAATAGGCTGTTTGCCGCATCAGCAGATGCCACGATTTTACTCCCTGTAAGCATTAAACGAAAGGAAACACTCGACATTATTCAATAAGAGGCATTAGTTTTGAAAATCATGTATTCAGAAACCGTAGCATAGAGTGAGAGGCTGGTCTTTCAGTAAAGAGTGCAGGTTTTATTATCATACAAGCTGTTTTTGTGCTGTATTTGATAGATTGTGCTGCCTTTCAAATCCTGAGTTTTAGACCATCCTGAAAACATACTGACCACAGTGAAGATACAATAAAGCAACTGTTTTTTCATGTATTGATCCAGATATTGATTTTGGGAGATATTTCAAAAGGAGCTTACACAGGCCAGAAAAACTTGACAGAATACTGCATATGTGGGAAGTACAAAGCTTTTTGTAATTCCAGGTGGTAGCAACTGTACAAAATCTCTGACAAAAGCAGACTGATGAATCTCACTAAATCACAACTTTGATTTTGGCTGAAATCTACTTTGTAAATAGAAAAAGGGCTTGAAGACAGAAAGAAAGAATAGAGCTAAAAGGAAACCTGTTGTGATGCCTGCTTCCAAAATGCCTGGGAGCTGCATTACAAGGCTAAGCAGCTGCTGCTGTCAAAACAGTAACACCACCTCATCTCCAACCACACTGATAGATCTTTAGTTGCATTTTGAACAATGTTAGTGCAGTTATGGAAAAGGAAAAAGAATGCAGGGAAATGCTGTACTGATTTCAGGACTTGTACAAATGATATAAAAACTAAATGTAAAATCAGCTCGGCTTTCTAATTTTTCATTTCATTTTCTAATTTGTTTCGTCTGCCAGTAAAAGCTCTTGCCTCTTCAACTGAGTCCTTTTAGACTGCTAAGTGAAGCAAACTCTGAGAGGATATGTGTCAGGATAAAGTTTCTGACTATTGTTTGTTTTCTGGGGTGGGTGGTAATGGGCATGTTGACAGCGTACAATGCTGTGTACTCCAGCATCTGTCTCTTTTCATACCAGCAATGAGTTGTCAAAAGCCCTGGCATTTTCCATTTTTATTTGTCCTAAGTAATTTTTTAACATTGTTCAGTTCATTTTCGGCCTGTCTGCCAGCAGACAGTCCTGCTCAGGCATTCAGACAGTTAATTTCACTCAATGGCAGGTTGGCTAATGGAAATACTTGTCTGAGCCAGAGTAAAATGTAAATTAGAACATTTGTAGAGGTGAGGGACATTACAGGAGTTATTAAATCATCTGTTACAGGAAGTGGGATTTTAAAACTCTGCAACACAGTAAAAACTCCTCCAAATGACAAACGTCCTCTGCCCTCTCTGGTGTATTTGGGTGTCTTGGTACGTGGTAGCTTTGGTCTTTTTCTAATTTTGCATACTAGTCTACCTTGCTATTTTATTGACTAATTGTTCGATTTAGTGTAAAAGGAAACTTTAAAAACTTGATTGATGATGGAAGAGAGGAGTTTCCATGTTATATGTGTACCAAGAAAACGTGAGACCATTATGTACTTACTCTGGGAGCACGTGTTTCAAGTGATTTTTGTGACATAACCGCCAAATGTCAGAGGTTGGGGGCCCCCTGAACCGGTGACCTTTCAGTATGTTTTAGCACACTGTCGGCCCCCCTTACCACTCAATTATCATGCTGTCATGGAATATGTTTGCTGGAGTTACTTTCCATCCCACCGGTTGGTATTTCACTACGGGTTTAGAAAGAGATTACCACTCTGCTGCCAACATCCGTCCGCAGACTGAGGAGTAGAGCGAGAGAGAGAGAGCCTCTCCAAATTTGCCCCCTACACCCTCTCCATACGCACTTATACACTGTTGTGCGCTTTCATGGAGGGTCCACCACACTCAGCATTGTCCAAAACCCCTGAGTGTGTACAAATCTAGAACAGCACAATATGTTGAGTGATTTTTATGAATATACTAAAAGGCTATTTTTAAAACAAACAACTATCCAACATAATTATTTATATGTCATGCATCTTTAGTTACATAAAGTTCTTGCTTTAGGGTGAGTAAGTAGTGTTCGCCCTAAAGCTTGCTGCTGTATCTAATCCCAACATTTGATGCTGGCACTTCACTCAGCTGTGGGAGTGAATTCGAACGGAGTACACTCTGTAACAGAGTGGAGGTGAGGAGGGCAAGAGAGAAGAAATGAGCATGTCTGTGTCATATAAAACCCATAGGCAGGTCAGGGTAAGCTGCTCCTCTCATGAGCCTCACGCCCGTGAGACTGTGTGCAGAGGATGTGATGGACAGAATCATTGTGATGCACAAAATTGTAGCCCTCTGCTGTGCTGATTGACCTTGTCCTGCATTTACATAAAGACACCAGTGGCTGGATATAGTCAGCCTGTTTATTTTTATGTTGCTATTTCCTCCCTCAGTGCTGTAATTGTATTTGTTGATATTGCAGATCCTCAGACTGCATAAATGGACCATTTGAGTGCGTTCTTCAGGGTAATTTGCTCTTAAAGGCTGTTGAGAGGCTGTAGTCATTTTCTGTTTTCATGCATTTTAAAATTTCTCAGATGAAGTCTTATGAATAAGAAAGATTTTCAATTTTCCTGTTTTCATCTACAATGCATGAAGTAGCCCTGAAGTTGATACATAAAGTAGAGCAAAACAACCAGCAGATATAAAATGGGCTCACAGCTATTAAGGGACTTTTTATGTCTGCACAGGCATATGATTTTAAAAGCTGTCTGCTTACAAGGCTCAGTCGACCATTGTGAATCGACCGGCTTCAGCTGAATGCAGGTCTGATCTTTTGAGGATTATCTCGGAGCTTCGGCTCTAATTTCACTGCTGTGTCGGGTCAATTAGAGTTCGTAATTGTAATTTCACTCATTTAGAGTGTTTAATCACTGCTGCTGAAGCGGAATCCAGTTTAATTAATTTGTCTCACTGTCTTTTCTCTCTTTCTCTCCCTCTCATTCTTTCCTTTCCTCCTTCTCCTCTTCTCTCTTCAGGTGTCCAGCCCAGTGATTGAACCCCAGACAGGACGAAGCAGAAGATAGACAAAAGGCCATGGGGATGTGCCAGGGCCAAAATGTAGACTGGCTCCTGCCGTTCCTGCTCCTGCTACTGATGATTGCAGTATCACCCACACAGAGTCAAGGATGTCCTCAGCGCTGCGAGTGCATCACAAAACAGAAAACTGTGTCCTGCTATGGTAAACGTCTGTCTGCGATGCCAGACGGCATCCCTCTGGACACCAAGATCCTGGATCTCAGTGGGAACAAGCTTCGGTGGGTGGAGCATGGTGACTTGCTTCCCTATCAACGTCTGGAAAAGCTGGACCTGAGTGAGAACATGATCAGCGTACTGGAGCCGAACGCTTTCTCGAGCCTGCAGAACCTGCAGACACTTTCACTCAGAGGGAACCAGCTGAAACTCGTCCCAATGGCGGCTTTTTCTCGTCTCTCCAATCTAACTTCACTGGACTTAAGTGGGAATAAGATCGTAATTCTCTTGGATTTCACTTTCCAAGACCTAAGAAGTCTTAAGAACCTGGAAGTTGGGGACAATGATTTGGTTTATATTTCCAACAAGGCTTTTCTGGGCCTGGTTAGTTTGAAGGAGCTGACCATAGAGAGGTGCAACTTGACATCTGTGTCGAGTCAGTCTTTGTCTTACCTGCATAACCTGGCGACTCTACGGCTCCGCTACCTCAGCATCTCCACCTTAGAGGACCAGAACTTCCGCAAGCTGGGGAACTTGAGGGGCCTGGAGATCGATCACTGGCCCTTTTTAGAGTACATTTCCCCACACAGCCTGCAGGGTCTCAACTTGTCCTGGCTGTCGATTACGCACACCAACATCACCTCTGTGCCCACTTCCGCCCTGCGCAGCCTTGCTCACCTCACCAGCCTCAACCTTTCTCATAACCCTATTTCTGTGCTGGAGTCCTGGGCGCTGAGGGACCTTGTGAGGCTGAAAGAGCTGCATCTGGTCAACACTAACTTGGCAGTGGTGCAGCCATATGCCTTAGGTGGTCTGAGACAAATTCGCCTCCTTAACCTCTCCACTAACAGCCTGGTGACCCTGGAGGAGGGAGCCTTCCAGTCTGTGAATACTCTGGAGACGCTGCGTTTAGATGCCAACCCCCTGGCCTGTGACTGCCGCCTGCTGTGGATCCTACAACGCAGGAAGACTCTCAATTTTGACGGCGCTGCCCCAGTGTGTACGTCACCTGTGGAAGTGCAGGGACGGGCACTCAACGCTTTCTCTGACTCTGCTCTCTTTGATCACTTTACCTGCCAGAAGCCCAAAATCCGCAACAGGAAGCTGCAACAGATAACTGCACGCGAGGGGCAGGTGGTGTCGTTCATTTGTCGAGCAGAAGGCGAGCCGACACCTGTGATATTTTGGATCTCTCCCCAACGCCGCCGCATCACCACAAAAAGCAGCGGCCGACTGACTGTGCTACCAGAAGGTACTCTAGAAATCCGGTATGCACAGGTAACAGATAGTGGGACTTACATCTGCATAGCCAGCAATGCAGGTGGAAATGACACGTATTTCGCCACTCTCACGGTCAGTGGGCTGCCGCTGGATGCAGCCCTCATGGCGAACCGCACATACTATGCTGGAGACCTTAATGACACAAACCTAAATGACACCAGAGTGTTCTTGAAGTTCACTCTGGACCTAAAAACCATCCTCATATCCACAGCGATGGGTTGTATCATGTTCCTGGGGGTGGTGCTCTTCTGTTTCATCCTGCTGTTTGTGTGGAGTCGGGGAAGGGGGCAGCACAAGAACAATTTCTCTGTGGAGTATTCCTTCAGAAAGGTGGATGGACCTGCTGCCAGTGGAGGACAGGGTGGGGCACGCAAGTTCAACATGAAAATGATCTGATTATTGGGATATTTGGGTTTTTTCCTCTTGATGCGTTTGAAAGCAGACTTAAGCAAAAACAAAAGGAAAAAAACATCAACAACTATTTATAGGACATTTATTAAGACTAGCTCTTGTTTTTGAAAACTACTGTACACTGTATGTACGGAGAGAACAAAATCTGTTTGGATTTGATATGTTTCTATAACTATTTTGTGTGTGGTTGTATTGCTGTGCAGAGGAAATCTGGGTCGTAGTTAAAGATGTCTTAATCGTTGAAAAGACTGTTAAAGGAGGGCCAAGCAACAAAAGCACTCAGAGTCCTAGAAGTCTTTAACCTCGACAAAACTCTTGCCAACTCTGTCCTTCCTCCTACAAGGAACTCTGTCCTCTTCATGTTAAAAGGACTTCACCCCTGTGCTCCATCTGAGCTGATCCACACTCTCTGTTTCCAAACTCATGAATACATTATACATGGGTGGTGCTCAGTGAATGCCAAGGACTTGCCAATAAGTATTTGAATAGTTCCAGCTGTATACTGCAAATTTAGACTTCTTTATAGTCAAGACTTTAAAGTACTCTCATGACATAAATCAAGAGGCTCTGCTTTTTTGCTGATGCTAGATTTGTAAAGAATACATTAGATACTAAGAGACTACTCTTGCAACACTGCCAATTTGATCGTGAAGCACCATGTTGTATCAATGCAATGCCATTCTCACTTCTAATACTATGAAGAGATGGTCAATTTTTTTAGTGGGACTCTTCATTATAAACTACCCAGAACACGTTGTGTGTGAAAAAAAAAATACTAACTGCATATAAAGATGGATGACAAGTCCCCACATCCTCCTGTTCTACACAAGTGAAGCCAAAATTTAACTCCACGTAGGCATTGACATCAATCAATGCAATCAAAGCCAGAGTCTGGTATTGACAGGTGGAGCCACAGTATTAACATCCCGCCCCTTCTGCTATTAATACCACACATTTAACTTACAGGTAAAACAGCAAAGAAGCCTGTTATGTTGTGCTCACACCAAACTCAAGAAAGATTATTTGCACCAGTGAGTTTCATGGAAAGCTAATGCAACGACATGATTGGATGCAAGTTCTTGTTAGGAGGCTCAAATGATAAAAGTGAGGCAGCGCAAATGACGCAAACATGCAACACATTCAATGTGTTGCTCCCTTCAATTGAGGTGACTTGAATTGTGTGGATTACACATGCGATTGACATGAATTACGGATGCATTCAATGTGCATCTCCCTTTACTCTCATCATTTGCTGATTTGCAAGTGGAGCATTTTTTAATTTAAGATAATCTTTTGTGCCACAACTGCCAATCAGCATGGAGATTCCTTCATATGTCAGCAGCTGGCTCGTGGAGGTTTACTTATGTGGAAGATGGAGGATAAGCTGATTGTAAAGATTCACAGCTAACTGAGCTACAAGATACAACTTGTTTTTAATGTTAAGACAGGGATTTAAAAAAAAAGCCTGCCTCTAGGACAGTGAGAGAGGAGGTTGGATTGTGTGGTCATTGATTGTGTGGTGACAATGTGGTCAGCGTCAACTATGTTTGATGTAAACAGACCAACATGACATGTAGGAACCCCTCCTCTCATAATCCCTCGTGTGTTTGGGCACTCCAGCAGATGTGATAAGTACACACAAATGGAGCGAGTCTTTCACATGAATAAAGTGTGAACACACACTCAAACTCATCGAGTTGATACTTTCATTTGTGTTTGGTGTGAACACAACATTAGGTCGGCACTGCCTATGTTGCAGCCGCTTGCATTGGTGTGAAGCAGACATTAATGGTGTGGTAAAGTTCAATGACTGTTGTGTTAGTGTCGTTGTCATTTTGTTTCTTCTCATAGTTCCTCATCTTCTCTGCTAATCTTACTTACGTAGTGTGTACATTTAATAACAAAGCTGTCAGTCAAACCCCCTTTGAATAGCATCATATGTTTAATGAAAACTAAACCCGTTATAGAAGTGAACACTTGGTCATAAATTGGCATTTTAAGAAGAATTATGACAAAAACGAAGTTTGCAGAAAGCTTATTTGGCACGTACATTTATTTTAAAGTCTGGCACATGTTCCATCTGTTCACATGGAGGAGGTGGGCCGTATGAACTAGACTGCAGTCAGTCGGTCATCCGAATAGAAATTCAGATTCTGTTTTGGCTTCACTTTTGGGAGCTGCTTGGTTGTCTGTCTTCTTATAAAGTGTATGTGACAAAAACCAATGCATACTTGTAACAGCTGTTTTTTTTTTTTTTCATAGCTGTCTTTATGTAACGTGTTCTAACTCTGACCCTTTTGTCTGGAAAAATGTGGGTACATAAAAGATGAACACATACAAAGCAGACTTTCTTTAAACAATGTGTATAAGTTGTAAATTAAACATTGATCGGGGTTTATTTATCCCAGAGTTGAAGTGCTCATAATGTAAAAATAGGCTTTAAATCATATAAGATGCATTATACATTTTGTAAATATTGACAAACAAGTCTTTGTGGGTGTGATTGTACTGTCATGTGAGTTCTACTGTTGTTCTTCTCTCAAATTTTCCCTTCCAAGCAGTCCAGTCCATAGCTTCTTCACTCTCATCTTAAAATGCCATGAAATAGTTTTCGCTCTGAGACCCGTCTGCCCACTCTCTGACCTCACACACAAAATCATGCAGGCGTTAACTACGGTTTTTAGTTCACTTGAATATTTTTGGCTGCGAGCGACAGTGGGGAAGTTTGGCTGTCCAGCTGGGGAAAGGAGTTCAATTGGTTCTGAGCGGGACCTTGATGTGCTTTAGACACTCATGGAGGAAATGCTAATGTGATAAAGACCTTGCAGACTGGGACAAAGGTCAGATAACAGTGAGTCAGAAAAAAAGATGGAGGAAGAAATCCATAAAATGTAGTATTAGCCTCATAAGATAGCTGTTTGATATCCAGTGCGTATTCTGATAGGCAGATCATTCATGCAATAATAAAGTCTAAGATAAAATATATATCATGTCCTGAAATTGTGAGAGGTGTTTCTGTAATCAGTTCAAGTACAAGCAGAACTGTGTTTCTTAAATCTACAAAACAACTTTTGAATTGGCAGTTAGAGCAATTAAAAGCATCACAAAACAAACTTGACAGTTCTGGGCCATGAGCAGAATCTGAAGACCAGAAACCCATTCCCCCAAAACTTCAAACTTCACTTGGAGTAGGACTGAAAAGAAAGATATTTCTATAGCTTACTCATCTTTTGCTTGGTTGCTGAATTTGTGGGATTAAATATAGTTTGAGATAATAGTAATAATAACACCTGCTCAGAATCATCTCTCGCAAGGGTTCATCTTGAACCACTGCATCTCTAATAGTGATACCCTTCTGCCCTCTGTTGGCTGCGGTTGGTACTGCAACTCAATTGTTCACTGGGGATTTGACCTTCCCAGCCCTTTCACTTTATTATATACGATTTATTCCATTCTCAGAAATGAAATTGTGTTGATTTAACAGGAGTGGGTCCCATGTTACCTCATTTGATCTTCATAATCATTCACATATATATACTGCACATCAATTTTCACATTCATTTGAATAGATTATGACCTACAAATATGTACCCTGACTAACCCAACATCAGTGAAGCTTCCTTTCTGCATTTCAGGAAACTAAACAAACAATTCATTGTGATCTCATCAAACTTTGCTGAATCCATTTTGTAAATATGGAAGCCGTTCTGTCTAGAAATTGTGCAGGACTGTTTTGTATTGTGTTGTTTTATAACAAATGAAGCACACTGTTTATAAAGCATGCTGTATTATCTTCTATGATGATGATGTCTTGTCTCCTGTCCCATTTTTATAGCAGTTATTTGGTCACTGGAGCTTAAGGGTGACACTCTGAGGAGTTGATTGAGTTGACAATAAACCTGTGACCCTGTCACTGTGAAATTTTGTCTTGCATTTATTTTTACCTCTTTGCTGATAGATTTATTTGTTACTTTTCACTTTAAATTTTTCATACCACAGTAGGCTGATTCCTTGCCACTGTTAACCGCATAAGGCTTGTTTTAAGGTTTTTATCAAAACATAAAATATTCATGAATTGTCTGTCCTTGGCAGTCTTTTTCCTGACTTATTATGTGTTGAAATTGCTTTTTTTTTTTTTTTTTTTTATCAGAGGCAGTGAGCATCCCAAAGACCGTGGAGAAAGGAAGCAGTTCAGACTGAGACAAATTTCCACTCTGTTTCAGGGAACTAAGTGTGGAAAACAATCAGAGCACCAATCAAGTGCAGATGTGACAAACAGTCTGAGGTGGGATCAGAGGAACTTTTTTTGTTTTCAAAATTGAAATGACTGAAAGAAAAGGTAAATAAATGTCTGTGACCTTGTCATTTTGTAAGTTTTACTGGCCCTCTCCATCATCATTTTTGGCTGATATGGCAGAAAAACTTTAGTAATCATTGCTTTAAACTGATAAAAACCCTGGTATTTTAACTTTAAAGTCTTTCAAACTGAGCTGCTCTTGACCAAAGGGATGGTGTGTATTTACAATGTCCTACAACACTGGTACTTTACGATATGTCATTTACCTATTTTACCCATACCTTTAGCAGCCCCCCCCCCCCCCCCCCCCCCCCATCCTCCTCCCAGCCTTACCCCTAGCCCCTCCCCTGGGCACATCCATACACAAATTATGGGAATTTAAGATACTATATGTAAAATATAAGAAAAACTCTTCAATAAATCAGACTATTAACCAGAGACAAAGGGACACTAATAGCCCTCCATACATCTATGACCTGCTTACCCCTTGGAAACACAGTAAATCAGACAAAATATCACAAATGAACTATATTGGTATGGTCCGACGGTCACATGACCCCCCCAAAAGCGCGCCTTAACCTAACCCTGCGCTATTTATTGACGGGTTAGACAACATATCGGTTTGACTTGTGAGATGGCAGTAAGGAAGCACCTATATGTGTTTGTGGCGTGTAGTCGTCGTGTGTGCGCCCTCAAACGCCTACAGCGGAGAGAAAAGTCCGGATAAAAAGGGTAACAGTTTGACGGAGCTCGGCTCCGGAAAACGAGTGCGCTCTTTGCGCACTCCTGGCACCGGCACTCTCAGGCCACGAGGAGAGTCCAGCGCCAGTCGGGGAATGACGGAAAGTTTAGCGGCACTCCGTCACAAACACTGATAACATGCCGTTTACTATGGACACAGGTATACATCACCATGTATCGGGATGTATATGGAGGGAAATGCGAGTCAATGCACCGAAGGAAAAAGTGGAGTAACCTTAGTGCGAACTGGGGAGCGGGTTCCCAAGTTACCTGGTGGTACAAGTGGGTTAACTGCGAGCTGTTGCCCACAAACCGACGTTGCAACTCTGTCACGAGTGAGACTTAGAAAGAACTGTACATCCAGATCCCTGAGGACCAAAAATACAAGCTACCAGCAGTTCACAGCAAACTGCAATCTGCGACCTTCACCAATAACCAACCAACAACCCACTGCCAGGGGCCGAGGAAGTGCTGCAGGTTCTTCATGTGTTTCAACTTCCAGGATGAGAAAACCAGGAAAGCTGAGTGAAGGACATCTTCAAAGTAAGTGTTCAGGTTTTTATCTATTTAATTACATCTGACATTACCCACGGTCCACAGGACAATATAAGCTGCCAATGACTTTGCTAGATCGAGACCCGTTTACTGATCCTGCTGCATGCGTAAGAGCAGATCAGTGTGTTTCTCCCGAAAATAGTGCAAAAAAAATAAATAAAATAAGTTCTCTGATGGCAAAGTGCTGAAATAAAGTTTAGAGTCTATCGCACATATAAACTGAGATTAGTGTTTGGGTCCAAGTCTCTAAATGGTGGCAGTCTACCTGGCGTCTGTTTCTACCGCCATTTTCTCAGTTAAAGGACCAGATGAGTGACATTACCAAAAGTAAATGTGTGTACACATTTGAGCAACATAAAACCACAATTTATCTTTGACTTAAAGGAATATTTCTGTTTTTTAAGTCAGGGTTAGGATATCAACACTTACCAAGGATAATGGCCAAATAGGTGAGTGACACAGGCTACAAAGTAGAAAACATTAAGTAGTGTCGATTAGGGTGAAGCATTCTTGAATTCCAAATTCATAGCATCTTTTCATATGCTCATTATTTTCAGGCTTTTTGAGTTCTTTCTTGAGTTCAGAGGTCTTTAGTTAAGTCTTTGTAAGATTTTGGGACACTGTTGGCTTAATATCAATCAATATCAATGGCAATGATCAGTCCCTTCAGAAGGAATGGTTCTCTTTCTTTAAAATGATTACTCTTTGATTTGATAAAGAAATAATGTTTTGTATGTGGTCCAGCATCTCCAGTGACGGTGTGGTCACAATGAAGGCTGACACCATTCAGTTATAGCTTGTATCTTCCATGGTGGGTTTGTCTCTCTTAGCATGTTGACGTTGTTTCATCATGTGACTCTGATGATTACTCAGTGAATGACTTGCATATGGTTTTTCCCACTCAGGAGAAAAGTGACCATATCACAGACAGGAAAATGTCCTCAGAGTTTCACAGAGCCCCCTCACTGTGGGGGTCAAGTTGTCAGACTTAAATTGATCTTGGTGTTCACCATGTTTCCCCTCCTACGCACAAGTTTGACTCATCTGTGCCTTACATCTTTGACTTCATTTAACTATGAACAGCAGATTTCTTACTGCCGGGAAGCCAGAATAAGCTTTATATTTATTGGAATTCGGTGGTTTGCAGATGATTTGTACATAATCAAAAACAGTGCCAAGACAACATACCGATGGTGGAGGCTGAAAAAACGTGCGCATGAAAGATACTTTTGAAGTTTATTGCCTGCAGCACTTTTCAGAGAGTGGAGGCATGCTTTACAGTCATGTTAAATCTTTTATTTTAACAAAAATCTAAAAATGTTTGGGAACCAAGGAGACCAGATTCAAGAGTTTTGAAAGTTGCATATGTCATTTTTACCTGATACCGGTTTCATCTGCTTTACAGTTCAGCGTTTCCTCTGTCACTTTACTTGTTTAAAGATGCACTGAATGTTTTTATTTGGTGGCAAGTTGACACATCAGCCATCGTTGATTTTGATGTCTTGTCTCATGCTTTTTAATTTGATGACTGTGAAGCACTTTGTGACAACTGTTCTAGAAAGGTGCATTACAAATAAAGTTTAATAATATTATTATTTTCTTCTGCATTAGAGCCATGCTGTTGTAATTGTTCACCAGGCACGTGTTGTTTAGCACCTATAGTGCCTTACCAGATGCACAAAATACACATGCTGGGGGCACTTGTGAAACCTCAGTGGCTTTTGAGCTGTGTATTTATAACAAGCTGAGTCTCCTCTTTAGAGCAAAGAATACATGTCCATGATGTCCCAAAGGAATGTCAAATCTTGATTTGTGAGACCTGTCAGGTCAGTTTTCGACTTTGCCAGGGGTCTTCATAAATAAACTTAGGAGTTTCCTGGTTTTCTCGGTCATGTTTATATATGATTTCCTTTTTGCATGGTACAGCCCTTTTGTGCATTGATGAAGCAAAAAATTGTGTTCATAAAAGCAGATTTTGGAAGTGATTTTGAGCCCATGCAGGGATTTCCAGTACAGAGTCATGTTTTTTATTTTAATGCGGTGCTACCAGGGAGCCTGCAGATCACATCAGTATGAATTTGTATTTGGCCTTGGCCTTTTTTGGACAGAGATTTCTCCAGATTTGTCAATACTATAAACTATATACGATGCAATCCCCAAATAAACTTGTAGGCCGAGGAACATTATTTTAATGCTGTTGAACTATTTATTCAACTTTTCATGTGTTTTTGTTGTCTCTGTTCCAACTTTTTTGAAATATGTTTAGTGATAAAATTTTAAATGAGCATGCCATTTTCAGAAAAAATTGTACCTTTTTAACATTTGATATGTTGTCTTTGCAGTAACTTCCACTGAATGTAGGGTTAACTGATTTGCAAATCATCAGAACCTTTATTTTTTAATCAAAATTTACAATGTCTTAACTTTTTCGAATTGGATTTGAAATAACAAAGGTGCAAATGCAAAATGAAAAAACACTTTTGTCCTTCCGCATGAATGTGTAATATGATGTGAGAGCAGAAAACCTCACAGTACAGCTTATGAAACAAAAAGAGACAAATGGTCACATTGTTAAAAATATATTTTATCTCGAACTATTTGGTCCTAAGTTTATCTAATGATTGTGAATAAAACAATCTGACACCATCTCCTACTTTCTGACAAGTCGGTCCCTGCAGAGGTGGTGAGATTTCTGAGGAGATAACGTGTCACTGATGAACCATGAGTCATTAACCAAGTGTTTGACAGTGACATCAGACTGTGAAATTACAGCATCAAGCTCAGTCAGTTCTGCATTTCTCTGTGCGCATATTACTGTAATTTCTTGGAGTAGACGGTTGCTATGAGAATGCAATGATCTGAAACCATCCCCCTCCAGTATACCTGTTTGTGCTCAGGTCAGGAAATGGTGTCAGAAAAATCTTTACTGAGAGTTACTTTACTTCTGCATCACCAAATCTATTTCCAGCCCTACTATGGGAACACTGATCAGTGGTCGAGGTGATATAACGCAGTGCGTGTCTTACATCTGCAAATATGTGCAAGGTGTGTGTGTGTGGGTTATAATCACACATAGAGTGATAAATGATGCCACAAGTGGGTGGTCTTTGTGGTATTGTAGACTTACTGGTATGCACTTCAGCCCAGCAACACTGCGTTGTGTGCAGTGAAGTTCGAAAACTGCAGCATCTTCTTGGTCTGCTTTCAAAAATATATATGTAAATTAATAATGCTGTTCAAAGGCAGTTTCTGTTTTGTTTTTGATGTTCACCTTTTGGTAACACAGGCCGCTAAAGCTGTTCAAGCTTTCACCTCAAATGACTCCTTTTATATTAAGGGGTTGATGTTATGTCAGCTTGAAGTTGATGGCAAAGGGAGCCTTTGGTGTCCTTAATACTCAAAATGATATGTACGTTGTGCTTTTAATCATAATTCACCAACCAGACTTGTTTTGTTTTATAGATTTCTGTGTAATTGTGATGTAACATGTGATGAGATGTTGAACAGTGTGTATGGTATAAAAGACCAGGAAAAGAACAACTGACCATGTATCTGCAAGGCTGGATTGATTGTCTTACATTATAATAGCCAGAAAATGTTGAGATATTTAGTTACATATTCAAATCCCATGAAATGGTATGACTCTCAACAGAACAGCGAAAATGCTACTAGTGCTACATTGAGTAGGTTTTATGCAAAAACCCACAAGCAATAGCAGCGTGACTTCTGTATTTTGAAGCTCAACAGGTTCAAATATATTAAAACAGTAGAATATAACATCACTTGGCACCAGCCAGACAGTTTATAGACTTCACTGGTAAAAGGCCACCATTTAGATTTGCAACATGTATATCTGTTATGAACAAGTTTCTTTTTTTCTGGGAGGAAAACTGAGTTAAGGCCATCTCTTCACATTATTATCAGTGTACTAAAGATACTAGATTTACTGCTATAAAGTCACAATGTGTTGGTAAGTAATAGTTTTTGGTGTCAGAAACATGCTGGCTAGTTTTTTCTTGCGCTTTGGTTGTACACAAGAAAACCGTCTGTGTGGAGAGCATGATATCCGCCTGTTAAGCCGTGACGTAGCCGCGTTCTCTTTTTCCACTTCCGGGTCCAGTGGAGTTGTTGTTATAATGCCTCAGTACTATGTCCCTTGCTGCTTAAACTGATCAGAGACAAAAACAGCGACTAAACTATCATTCTACAGATTTCCTCCCAACAACAAAGACAACAAAATAACTTCATCATTTCTGTATTGTATCCATAGACTGTATACAGTCTATGATTGTATCACAAACACACGGCATCACATCCATTCATTCATTGAATTCAAAGCTTCGCGCACCAAAGCCTCGGGGCGTCTTTGGTTTATCGTTTTACATTTATTGTCCACTTGATGGCGCAATAGAGCAAATGAAGCACGATCATGAAGCTTCGGCCCAGGAGGCGAGTAATTGAATGGAAAGCTTCGATGCTTCATGAGGCTTCATCTCGCCATCACTAAAATTTACGTTAATAACTCTATCCGAGTTGAAAGCTTTAAGTCCCTTTTTAACTCTGAGTGGTTCCCTTCTGAAAAAGGAGGTTATTTTAAAGAGATTCACGGGTTCCGCCATTGTTGTTTTGAATGGAGAGTGAATGGAGGCTGATTCCCCATGGACCCGGAAGCCGCTCCGCTCACAAAATGACGTCACGCTTAACAGCCGGATTGTAGTGCCTCTTGACTTCCTTCTCTCCTGAAGGTTGTCAAGAGCAGTTGGTCTATTTGAAGAAAGCTTACATAAACCATACCATAATGTGGTTTTTGTGTGTGTGTGTGTGTGTGTGTGTGTGTGTGCATATATATGTATATGTGTGTATATCTATCTATCTATCTATCTATCTATCTATCTATCTATCTGTATGTATCTATAAATATAGATAGATATATATATCTATATATGTATCTGTGTATATATATATATATATATATATATATATATATATGTATATGTGTATGTGTAACCCAGTTTTTTTCGTACTTACGCTTAATTGTTGACAGCAAAAGACCTAGAAACTTCCATCTTGGTTATTTATGAAAACGGTGAAGCAGTACTGTGTCATCATCTTGAATAAAGGATTATGATTGGTCTGGTCTGATAGCAGCAGTTCCAGACTCGCATACCAGTGGAAAAAAATATGAGCTGGCTGCTGGGTCTGGTAACACCAGGCTAGTCCGTAAAATAATTTGCCCAAGAGTTCCTTATTATACAGATAAGAACGTACTATGAAACCCACTCGCTTTGTGAGACCTGTAGCTTTCCAGGGGCTTTTGTATCTCACTGAAAATATCAGTATATTTTAAGAGACCGTCAGTTCTGACTCCCTCAAAAAGAAGAGTTTTCGGTGGTGAATTGTGTGTTTGTTTTAGCATCACTTCTAACCGTAGCCTGTCATCTCTGTTTTGTTCAGCATTCGGCTTTCCCATCTAATCAGAGTTGTGAAGGTAAAATAACTCCTGATGAAATTGGTGCTGTTGATTCAGAAAACCTGTGAAAACCATTTTTTTCCAGTATTGAATTGATAAGGGCTCAATAAACCACTAGATCAATAAGCATCATTGATAAAGGCATGGGGATCTACATAATCTTATCATTTCCCATCCCCAGGAGCAGTGTTGTCATCCATCAGTCAAAAAAGCAACAACCTGCTGTCATCTTGAGCCCACGTGCTGCTGACTCACAAGTACACTGTGAGTAAATAATGTTTGCTGCTGTTTCTGTAACCTAACAGAAAAGTTTCACATTTAGTCCATGCCAATGGTATTATTTTTTTTACATATTATCCTTCATGCCAACAGTCTACCCAAGGATACAGCATTGTGGGTAATAGTCTTTGTGTTGGCTTTTTTTTTCTCCTCCTCTTTTGGGAAGTGTGCAACATGGTGCTTAAAGAAAAGGAAGGGTTCTTGTCTTTCATTTGTGAAAAAATGCATTGTGAGGAAATATAAACACAAAGACCTTCTTCATTGTTCTTAAACGGACTGTTTTAATATATATTTAGAAAAAAAAAATACAGTTTTTTAATCACATTGTCATTCCCTTGGTTTGCTGGAGTATCAAATTATAAAGAAAGAAAGTGATAGAAAGAAAGAAAAGGATAAACATCATTATAATTCTGTGGTTTCATTCTGAATAGTCTATTTCATAGTCTTAACAAGGTTTCTTTTCCAGCTGCACCAAATGAAGTAGAGAAATACCTTTGTTTGCTACTTATGTTTGAGGCTAAATGTTATTGCTTTACAGAAATATTCAAGCACCAAGTGATTTTATATCCTTCAACACAATACAAACGTAGACCTGGCTAGTTCTGTCACAGTATTTTTCCTATTAAAGAGATGGATAGCTAGCTGGCTTCTGAATTGAGAATATTCACACACAAAGTTGAGTCTGTTCTGAGCTTTAGAAGAAGGTACACACAGAGAAGAGCTGAAGTAGCCTGAGCGGCAGCCTTTCATATTTGACCGTCAGTTGGACACATACTGTCTCGGTGGAGAGTAGTTTTTGCCTTCCCTTGATGAGACTTTGCGAGATAGAGCGGGATAGTACAGGGACAACACTCTGGGGACCTGCTGCTCCTCTTCCTCATCAGAGGTTCCTCTGGTAGGAATGGGCTTCAGTAGAGGGGGTGCAGGACGGGCTGAGTGGATGGGCCGGACGTTTCGAGGAAGGACAAGAGGCGTGGGGAGGGCAGAGTCAGCAGCACTGGGTGTGTTCAAATATGGATATCCTCTCAGGGTTTGGAGAGTATATGCAGGAAAGAATAAAGGGGGAGACAAATGTTGGCCAGGGATAAGGGAAGAGTCTCTGCCAACCCAGTAGTAGTCCCTGTGTAAGGACGGGTGATGCGTGTTGGCGATTGGATGAGCACCGCTGTGAACATTGTGTTGTAATTGACTACTCTGGTGAGTGGCGTAGGCTGCAGGATGGCCCATGCCAAATTGAAGCTTGATTGCCAGTAACTCAGCACTCAGTCTTGTATTTTCTTCTTTCAGGGCCACAAGGTGAGACTCCAGCACGTAGTCATTCATCCGCCGCTTCTCTCTGGACCGTTTGGCCGCCTCGTTGTTTTTACGACGCTTCTCCCAGTAGAGGGCGTCCTTCTTCTCCTCAGGTATGAATTCTCGTTTGCGACGAAGTCCTTTACGCACCAGCTCATTTTCTCCCTGTAGGATGTGGCTGTCTTGGCCTTCATGTAAAGACAATGACAGATGCGACATGGTGGATGACACAGAGAAAGAAATCCTGAAATAAAAAGGAATTGAGATTATGAGTTGAAGAAATACAGGTCTTACTGTCTAAGTTTATGGTATCCTTGACCTGGACTTTTCTTGGATATGATTAAGATAAAAAACTGTGGTATTTCTTGCCACCGCAATGGTCGATATATGGTATCGCAGTGGTATGTGTATTAATTCACAAAAAGATGCCATTATGCTTTGAGCGTTAGTTTACTTAAAGCTGGGCTACAGCAGTGGTTCTCAAGTCCAGTCCTCGAGGCCCACTGTCTTGCATGTTTTGGATGTTTCCCTGCTCCAACACACCTGATTCAAATGATCAGCTCGTTATCAAGCTCACAGAGTTTGATAACGAGCTGATGATTTGAATCAGGTGTGTTCTCAATGTTTTTCATTAGAAATATGTGAAATAAGACAAATATGCTGAGATAGAAGAATAAATTTGAACAAGGTTTCCTTCAGCCTGAACGTTGCTCTTCTCTTCAGCGTTTGGTCAGGATATCACTTGAGCCTAATTTAATCCCGGGGATTCTTGAGTAAACCAAACGCCTTTTTTTTAAAAGAAGCAGATGAAGACAAATGCAGCTTTTGATAAAGTCTCTCTCATTTGTAGGGGTTTGTGGGCGGTTAGGGAAGCTGTGCAAGAGAGGATGAACACCATGCTGAAACCACAGTCAGCCCCTTGTACGTGCAATCGTACCCAGAATCACACACCGACCCACACACATACGCACACACAGATTGAGCTGCCACTAATGCGTTTTACCTCTTTGAAGCTTTCCTCACACTTCAGTCCTACAAACAACACATATGGTGTTCAGATCATGTCGCATGTTTCATGTGACACCTTTTTAGAAGAGCTGCAAAAGACACTCACTCAGGATTTCATACAAGAGGAACTCTCTGAAGCACAAACCACTTCATTTAGTCTAACCTCAAAAATTATAATGCTGTGTCCTGTTTAGATGCAGGTTCTCATTTTTATTTCTGTTATCCACACTTGTTGAAGCATCTTGTATTCTCATGGTCTTATTTTTGACATGCCAGTCAGCCTGAGTAAGAAGCATCAAAACAAAAGCTTCAAAAAAAAAAAGACATGCATCCTGAACGGCGGTGAGAGCACAACAGGTTAAAAATATTCAGGCCTGTGCCAAGCGAGAGCGTAGACCAGCGTGTGTGTTCGTGTGTGTGTGTGTGTCCTTCTAAGCGTGCACACCTGCGTGGTTGCGTGTGACACAAAGACGAGGCGTTTTACTCTCTGAGCTGTAGAAAGCCTCAAAACAGAAACAGCAGGAAGAGAGAGAACAATAATCACATAGGGAGACAGAAAGAGAGAGAAGAAGATAAAAAAGAGAAGGTTCCTGAGTGAAATCTCTTGAGGCCTGCTCACCATACTGCACTGCACATTTGCACCTGTTTCTTATTGGCTATTTATATCCAGGCTGCTTTTTAGTAAGGAACTCTCAAACTTCTTCTTTTTGCATCTATCCGTTTTCTTGCATGCTACCATCTGCTGTTGTGATGCAGAGTGCCCTGCTGTTAAAATAACTATCCAAAGGGGTTAGGGACTTGGTCAGTCCTTATTGTCTGGCTTTTTACCTCAGCATTTATGTCTCCTGTTAACTGCCATCATAGAAATAAAAGTCAATAAATGCTCACTGGAGAATTCATCGCTGTTCATGTCTTGAATTGTCCGTTAAGATCTGAGTTTTTGAACTGCAGGCCCAGTGTCTTAATGTTTCCCTGACTATTGGTATATCTTGAATGTAAAGCATGAGGAGAACATAAAAATTCACATTTTGTTTAACTTGTGTTTTTAACATTTTATCGATGACGTCTTCTAAAAAGGGAGGCAGATAAATTTATTCTCACAATTATTTAAGGTGTTGAGCAATGATATTATCATTCACAAATTAACAATCATATCAATCTTAAACTCTTTTAGATTTACTATTTCAGGTACATGAAACAGAAGTATAATTGTATATAATATTCATGGTAAAACATTTATTTTGTAAGGTGAGTTAATCGTTGTTAAAGCTGTCTTACGTTGATCAAATCTAGCTGTCTGTTACGCTATTTCGCTCAAAATGTGGAGATAAAATTTTAATCTGCTCCCTAATTCCTCATTGTAGTTCATCAACAGCGCTAAATTGAGCTTAATTTTAAAAGGATTTAACAATCAAATAATATCAGAAGTGTTGAAGGCTGAGATTAATTTAGACTAGTATCACATTAACACTCAAGATGTTTTTACACTTGTATTTTGTAACGTCTGTGAAATGTCACTTAACCCTCACCAGATACGAATGTTTTATTTCCTTTATGTTTATTTATATTTTTACAAACATGGAGCAAACGCACTGATGTTACACAAAAGGATTACAGCTCAGTTCGTTTAAAATGCCTGAGTTTCTATGTGCCTTTTAAAGCGAGAGACAACTCATCAAAAAGGTGGGGGAAAAACAACAGGATGTGACCATAACTATTAACGTACTGTAAAACACCAAACTGTTCGTGCTCCTCCATCATGAATAGATACTTTCGAATATGTTGCTGTAGATTCAGACTACAAGAAAATTAACTTTCAGGTCAGTTTATTCCAGTTCGGGCCCAAAATGATCTCAATTTATCAGTTCAAGCTTTTGTAATAGAAATACTGTCAAAACAAGGTCCTAAATTATCTCGCAGATATTAACAAGGTGGCAACACTTCCTCTTCCTCAAGTAGTTCTCGACAGATAACAATTTCAAGTTCTTCATTTCACAGTACATTGATTTTCTTTGGTGGTATAAATGAAAAATCTGATAAAGACAAGTGTAGTCTCTCATTCTTGTGTCTTGGCAGAGAAAAAAGTTGATTACCAAAGTTTACGGAGTCTCTCCCTTCTTTTCTTTTGCAGAATACAAATCATCCGTTTGTTTGGTGATGAACTCAATTGGTGGTATATTCTTTACGAAGCTTAGACCTACATCTATTTACACCAGAAGCACTTCATCCTCTGAATACAGACACTGTAACATGTATCACCCAAACCAATTAAAGTGTGAAATGAGCTTTAGGCCTTACCTTCAACTGCCGTGAGCAGAAAGTCCACTGCCGATGACCGTATTCACAGATATCGCACCCTCACTAATGAACAACTCCTTGGTGGTGGGGACCCTCCTCTGAGACTGCGGTGTGAGATTGATGCACACATTAACAGAGGGGGGCTGATAATGTCACGTTGCTTTATCTACACTCCTGCCTCCCTCCTCCTTTTCATGTCTTCGTGTGTCCACCTCTGATCTCACACCAAGTGTCTGGTGTTCACGGTTTTATGGTATTTGTGGGCTTGGCCACACAGAGATATTTAGTGCATTCTGCTGCTTTCATTTCAAAGCCATATCTAATTTTGACGTTCAGGTTCCCTAAGGATATGCTTTCAACATTATTTGGTAATGCTATGCTAGTATAACAACCGCCTTAATTTTCAATTATCAATTCCATTTGGTTTGTTGGTGCATTGCTTTTGTTGCACTACGTCCTGCAGCTGCTCTGGGTTATTCTGTGTGGTTTTCAATTGCATATTTAACCTACATAGACAGTGGAGTTTTTACTTGTTGTGCTGTAAGTAGTGCAGAGAAACCTATAGCACCAGTTACGTGATTAATGGGCTTTAAAGTTATCTCAGAGAAGTAATCTTCTGTAACTCAAGGTTCTCTGCTGAGGTGTTTCATAATCTTTGGTGCCTCAGATTCAGAAAAAAAAAACAAACACAAAGGGAAGTGTTTGTCCCATAATTGCTTAAAAGATTAAAGTTTCATTCATTTGTCAGTGCATTTGTTTCAAAAAACTCTTTCCCACCTCAGAGAAACTTTTGAGTGCAATAGAGGAGGAAAAAAAAATAATGTAGCTTATTTTTTTATAAATGCAAATTTAACCATAACTTCTATTTCTGAGTTTAGACACAGTGACGTCCAACCAAGTTAGATTTTTACTTCCCGTTGTGACGTGTTTGAGTTTGTTTAGTAAAAAAAAAAGTGCACCAGATGAGTATGCGGAAATGAAGATGCTTTGTTATTATCATATGACTTAAAATCTAACTCTAACTTTTTAAATTATTCACAACTCTTTTTTTTTCAAGTTTATATATTGAAACTACACAGTTTTTCATTTTTTATCAGTATAGTTTGGAGTTCTCTACTGTCTAAATGTCAGCTGTATCCACGGGATGTATGAAAACTGTTTTGCAAACATCAAAAAAACATATTAAAAAAGTAGAAGACATTTAGCTACGATACATTTTCTCATGTTATTAAACTCAGGGGGTCTGTTTGAGTATTTTATGGGCTATAACAAAGTTCCTTAAACAGGAAGCAAACAGAAAATGTTTCTGTCCTCGCCTGTTTGTACTCAGAGAAGAGTTCAAGGTGTGTTCTCCACAAATGCATAGGTAGGTAAGTCATTTCTGCAGTTATTCCAAACACTACAGTACTTTTTTTCTGTAAAAGGATCATCTTTATGTTGTTTCAGAGCCAGATTTAGGGCCTTTTATAGTTAGGGCTTCTAATTAAGCATCTTATTACATTAAAAAAAAAACTTATCAGTATAATAAAAACAAAAAAAAACTAAAGAGACACAAGTATTATTAACATATTTAGTTTTGTAAAGTTAAGAATTCAAAGGAGGGGAAGGCGAGCACTGATCTTTAAGAACAGGCAGGTTTGCACTCATCATCCTGAGCCTGTCAGATTAAAGTACACCAGTATTGTGTTATAGCTCCCTCTGCTGGTGGCCTCAACGCACATGCTGACAGACATGAGTGAGAGTTGTGAAGGCTTTTCTAAGGACGCTTTGTGCGCAGTTCAGCACAGGTTATATTTGAGTTAATATGACTAATGAAGCTATTCAGGAAACTTTGTAGTTTAGTTTTACTCTGTGCAGAATTAGCGATAACTTTTGCTGAATCAGCCTCTGGATAGCATGCAGATATAGATGGACATAAATCAGAGTTGGGAAATATTGAGATTTGGATTTTCACTGGACTTTTTTTTTTTTTTTTCTCTTTTTTTTTTTTTTTACCCTAATATTCCATCAAGTGCCACTACAGATAGCCTACCTTAAGAGGCTACTTGGCTGCAGCAGAAACATGTTGCAGAGTGATGACACTGATATTTTTATTTAGGTTGTTGGACGATTGGATCGCGCACTTTTTGGCTGTGCAAAATCCAGCTGAACTGTCTTATTGCATCAGTTTTATAATTATATTGATGATGTTGACCACAAAGTTTGCTCCAAGCAGGTTTGAGCAGCCGCACTGCAGGATTGTGTGTCATCGAGCCGTGGGCTTGAAATCAAACGGTTTAACGTTTGGTTTTGGAGTGCTGGGAAATCACGCAAAGGGGAGGAGACCGAGGGGAATACCAAGCCCACAAACACTCGGTTCTCAGGGTTCAACTACTTTTTTTTTAACCACAAATAAACGGAAAAATACCACTGACTTTATACTAAACTTAATCTGTTTGAGTTTAGCCTCCGGATCAAACATTAAAAAAAAATCAAGACAGAGAGAGCAGATTTACTCTACCGAGATTTCAGGAGTTAAAGGTAACTAAAAATCTGAACTTACATAAACAGTGAAATCACGCAGCTTTTTGTGCATTTGTTATATATATATATATATATATATATATATATATATATATATATATATATATATATATATAAGGGGCCATTTTTACTTTCACTTAATGAGAGTAATGCTCCCAACTTTTAACTCCGTCAGATTGACCACAGCCTGAAGACCTGATAATGTATGCACTGCCAAAAAATATCACCACGTGAATTTGTCTCCCTCCTTGTCAAAATAACTAATTACTCTCGATTTCACCTTCATTTTCATCTTATTGCGCGGTATTTTCCAACACTCATATTGAATCCTTTGTTGTTTCACTCTTTGAAAGTATCTCCAGTGATAATTGATGCGTAAATGTAGGGTCTTGTTTTGGACTGATTCAGAGCTGTATTAAATGCTCCGGGGGGGAATGTTGGTTGGTAAAAACGGGCCTAACTCGGTAATCTTAATTTTCTAGTTTTTATTACGCTCAGCCAAAGTGGAAGGCCAGGACACTGCATTAAGGCACATTTTACAGCTTCTTTTTTAGGGCGTTTTACTGTCAGTTTTAAAGATTTACATTTTTTTTTAAACTTTGAACTACAAATGACTGCAACACCTGCCTGAAGAAACATGTCAAACAGTTACGGTCCGTAAGGGTTGAGGTGCATCCCGGGCTGCTTCACACCTGCCGGCGCACTGCTGAGCAGGCTCCTGATCCCCCTCTGAAAGCCTGTCTCTACACTGAGTCCCTGTCCTGCTCTGTCCTGGACGTAGAGGGGAGGCAGGCCCGGGTACACAGCAGGTGCGGACAGGTAGGAAGCCCGCCAAGGCAGCAGAGTGTCATTACACACTGAGGGGTGACTGACAGTGGGGAGCAGCCATTTCTGAGGCAAAGTGGAGAGCTGGGGGACTGTGTTAGGGAATCCTCGGGCGAAGGAGGAGGGGATGGGGGCTTCACTGGAGCTGAGGATGTCATCGCTAGAAGAGACCTGGCGCTGAGGATCCATCTCGGCCTCCGCTGACCTCCTAACCCCTGAAACTGCTCCAGGAGAAATGAAACGCTGCCCAGAATAGGAGGAGATGCCTTGCTGTGCGCCGGGAGAAATTTCTAGACTGGAGGTGAAACAGGGGGTCTTTGCCTTAAATGGATGCATCGCTGCTTCTTGTTGCCCCATACCCAGCGCAGAAACTTGGTTGTTCCTGTTGCTCCACAGTCCCTGGAAGAGGGTAGGGGGATAGGGAGGTCTGGGTGGAAAGAGCCAAGCATAGTCTGGTGTTGCGCAGGCAGCACGGGGGTCACTTTTCTCCAGGTTGCAGTGGTACTGCAGACTGAGCAGCTGAGCGCGCAGCTGTGCGTTCTCATCCCTCAGAGCGAGCGCCTGACCCTCCAGCATCAGGTCTTGCAGCCTCCTCTTCTCCCTGGACCGCTTTGCCGCCTCGTTGTTTCTTTGGCGTTTGTCCCAGTACGTGGCGTCCTTCTTGTCGGTTGGGATCATCTCTCGCTTACGGCGCGTAGATGGAGGGCTGCTGTAGGTCCGCAAGCGCAGGAGACGTCGGGTCAGCAAGGGGGGCGGAACCACCGGGAGAAGGGTGCCAGGGTCCAAGTCGGGCCCCGTGCTGCCGCTGCTATCCACAGAAGAGGACGATGGGAGGCATGGAGAAGTAACTTCAGGAGCGTCAGGGCTTCTTCGGGCAGACATGGTGGTAGGTCTGATTCAAGAAAATATTGATCAAAAAAGTTTTTATGTTTGTCAAAACATGATAAACCCGTCCCAGTTAGAGTTTGCTTTTGAAATAGACTTGACAAACTTTTTGTTTCTCCTGTTCAGATGTTAAACCTCAAACAAATCGTGGACTAGTCCAGCTGACATTACTGAGAGATTTACATTTTGACAAGCTTATAAAAAAGTTTAACAGCTCCACAAAAAACAAAAGTAACATGTTGAACATCAACGCAGTATTTATAACTCACTCATGGATAATGCTTCAAACAAACTCGCAGAACAATAATGAATGAAGGGTTGTAAGAACAGCAATGCGCGCCCTGGTCTGCAACGCGCTCGGTAAACAATCAATAATCGATCCTGCGTTAATATCAAAACGAGTATGTATAGTCAGGATTTCATTATAATGAAAGCACGTGAGAGAGCTTATCAGTAATCAATTGTAGTCATGACTTTTCCCTAAATTTTCTGATCAAAACGTGGAACAATGTCAAACTTTACGCACTGACCTGGAAACAATCACGGCACTGTTAGAGGCTTTATCAACTCATATCAACTTTAGTAAAAAGTTAATTTAATTCTACACCCCATCGCCAACAACTTATTTGTTTCTTAGATAAACTAGATATTTTTCCGAGTTTGTGGATGTCAGAGCTGCGCTCACCTGTCAACTATAACCTGCGGTGCTGAAGAGAGCAGAGGCTGCCGGGCGGCGCACAGAAACGCTGTCAGCCCACAGCCAATCGCGTTATGTGCTCCTGCTGAAAGTGAGATGCTGTGGAAACTCAGCAGGCGACATCACTTGGAGAGCGGAAGACCAATACAACAGTGAGGCCACCAGTAAACCAATAAGAGGTACTGAAATGAATCATTTTGGATCAGCTGCCCTACTTACCGCTTAGTTTCGTTTATTGCATGATCGTTTGCACATAGTTTGCAGTGCTAAACTCTGATCAAGCCCTGCAGTGGATTTCGGGTCTTCCCATGAAGACGTGAATGACAATTAATGGGTAAAAATAACAGGAAACAGAGCATCTTTCAGAGGTTGGACATCACAAACTGTGACTACTAAAGGGATGGAACAAATAAAGCATGCATTCAAGCTTGTAAATATGATTGGGGTCATCTAAGGTAGTGCAGCTTTTTTTGTAGTGTGAAATATTGTGGGCAGCACCTCAGTACTATGGTCTTCACACGGAAAGTCTGGAAACACCAAAAACATATATATATTTCATATCTCTTTTCCTTCTCCCTCTAATGTAATAGTTTCTGTCAGTTCTGCTTGCCCAGACCACTCGTAATTATCTTTACAGGGTAAACTCTTAAAAGTGTTTGTCAGTTTACACAGTCAAAATAATAAGAGACCATGAATGGTAAAGTCAATCTGTGAGTCTAACCTCAAGCAATGTGTGCGCATGAAGTTGTCTAATTGTATTTTTGTCAACTTTGTGATGTGTTGCATCCTCGAGGGGATTGTTAAATAAAATTCCTCTCTCGGTGGAGACAAATTGAAAACTCCTGCTCTCATGGAAATATTATGGTTAGTCCAACTGGTCTCTTTCCTCAGATTGTCTATGAATCATTTTGTCCAAAAATCAAAGAGAGTTTAAAGGATATTACGGCGTAAAATTAATTTAGGGTCAAAGACACCATAACACCGAGTTAGACACCACCTTGAGAGATGAATGTTGTCGACCGCTTTCTTCTCTAGTTAAACCAACTTTAGTAACAACCGCATGATAGCAATACACAGTGGTCTATGGAACCACACACGAATCATTGCTTTATCATTTCCTTGAAGTAATAATCACCATATGAATCATTTTGCACTGCAGACGTGATAGTTCTTCTGCCTTAGCGTCTCTGTCTGATTGCATTTCCATGAAGAAATGATCATAAATGTTCTTCCTTGAGCTGCGTCACCCCGCTGTAGTCCGTAATGGACTGGCCTGAGGTCTCGCTACAAAGAAGCGGCTGCTGGAAGAGAGTAGGTGAGTTGTGTTTAGTCTCTTTGCTAAAGAAATTAGTCAAAGGTTAGAGATGTTTGGTGGCTAGTACTGTGGCTAGAATCCTATATGTACTCTTGATGAAGTTAGCTGCTGTTCTGAGCATTATTTATGGCTATAGAGTGGCGTTTTGGTTTAGGTTTGTTTATGGCTCCTCAGACCGCTGTGTGTTGCTATCGTGTGGTCGTTACTAAAGTTGGTATAACTAGAGAAGCAAGCGGTCGGCAACATTCATCTCTGGAGGGGGTGTCTAACTCAGTGTTACAGTGTGTTTGACCCTAAATTAATTTTACGCCGGAATATCCCTTTGACGTTGACTGTAATTTTCACGATCAGCCACTTAAAATATGCTCTTATGTTCGAGTGAAGGTTAGTTTGTCAAGTGGGCTCATAACAAAGTTACTGTTGGACACTTTTGCCTTTGTTTGATAGGATGTGCATCCAAAGAGAGATGGAAAGGAAGACCTGAAGCTGAGAGTCATGCCAGCAACATGTACACCAAGGACTAGAGCCTCTATTTAGGAGACACATGCTTTGAACACTGAGCCAAACAGGTGCCCCAAAAGATGCTCATGTTGACATGTTTCCTAATTTCTGTTGATTCAGTATGTCTCCAAAAGTTGCTCATGAGTGTCCTTTGTTTATGCAAGAAAGTTACAACTATTTTCTTATCCAGAAGATGAAGACACCAGGAATCACTGAGAAGTTTCAATTTCATAGCTTTTTATGCTTGCCACTTTACTGATGACTCCTTCATAAACAGAGGCCAGTACAATGCTGGGTTTGCATCTTAATTGTAAGGGAAACCTGGAGTTGTTCCATCTATACAAACCCTCCATGAAGTCTCATAATCACACGCTGCGAGTCGATACAAGAAGGCAATAAAACAATAGCTGATAAATCGTCACCCTATTAAAATAATGGCATTAGTCATTTTTTGACGAAAATGCGTTTTTGGCCTAAATCATCTCTAAATCATTTCAAGAAATGATTCAGAGATGATTTAGGCCAAAAACTCATTTTCGTCAAAAAATGGCTTAGGCAATTATTTTAATAGGGTAACGATATGCGAAAAAGTGCTGAACAGAGAGCTAATATGCCAATAGACTAGCCTTTGACATTTTCAGGAAAGGCATTACTGTCAGGTCGTTTTATGACCACAAAGCTGTGTGAAAACTAACACCCAAAAGCTATGTGAAGTTTTATATTACTTTGGGAAAAAAGCCTTTAAAGCGTTTCAGGTAAAGACTTAATACTACTTAAATGGGGGTTTTCAGACTGATAAGATTTTTGAGCTGTAAATCATGCAAAATAATGATAGGTGTCAAAGACTGACACACTGAAATGTGAAAATGAGCATAGTAGGTCTCTTTGATTAGAACTTGACAAATAGTCAAATGTGCTTTTTGCTTTTTTTTTTTTAACTCAGCTGTTGCAGCTGATGTTTTGCTAGAAAGTCTTGAACAACTCAGATATAATCTCCACGTGCAATGCAACTGTGTTATACTATAGCATCATAATCAGTCATCTTTTTCATCCTTGTTATATTTCTGTCATGTTTCTCATATTAGTTCATTTGAAATTTGAGAACTGATGTAAGGGGTGTAAACACCTGTTCTAAACAGCACAACCACAATAAACATTGCCACCAGAATGGAAAACCACACAACAATGTACATCACTAATCTGAAGGTATCATTGTGGTGTGCTGCATGTGGGGGCAGTCCAGATGAGGAGGGGGATGTCCACCGAGCAATCAGTCTTGTTTTTTTGAAACTCCAACACACTTTTCTTTCTGACTCATGGGAACCACAGAGGCCGCAGTCAGACATGATCCAACAGTCACTTTAGTTTTTCTAAAGAAGTTGGTCTCAAAACTTTCAGAGAATTTCTGCTCTCACAGGTCAGAATGTGTTGATTTAAAACACAAAAACCACAAAACCCATGATTTGACATTTGTTCATATGAATGTAACTCTTGCTGCGCAATAGACGCAGAAATGTTGTCTGAGGAGATTTTGAGCATTGATTGGTAATGCAAAGTCACCCTGATTGGTTCTGCCCCTTTTTGAGGATGACTAATTCATAGTTATCACCTCTTGCCCCCCTCAGACTGTGTGGCAACCACCACATCCTGACTGCGTATGCTTCATTTTGAGCTGAACAATTCCCATCAGTTTTAGATTTACAGAGCTACAAGTTTGGCCAAAGACTTCTTTCGAAGAGAATCAGACAACTTACCACAGTCCTCCCAGAGCCATTTATATATATTTGTCTTTAATTAACACCTTGTTACTTTAAACTTTGCTTGTTATCCAAACTTTGGACGCAGTGGGCTCCTGTTGCCATATTATGTCTCCCATCAGCCCTTCTAAGTAGTCACTGTAAAGGGTTAGTGCATGTGGGGTCAAAACAGCACTAAACTTAATGCTAAAACTTAATTATTTTTTTTTTGCAGCTGCTAAAATATTATTTTATCATAGACCTACTTCGATACAGGCATTCAGTTGACACCAAATAGCTATAAAAATCAGATAATGTACACTTTAAAAAAGCATATTTGCTCAACATACCAAAGAGAGAAGAAAACAATACATCATAACATTGTTCATCCTCCATATATGATGTCAACAGAACCACATAATCTCAATCTCACACAACGTTTCTGAACCACGGTTTTATCTTAACTCACACGTTTTCACACCTGTCATCCCACTCACTTCAGGTGTAAGTTACCAACAACGAGCTGACTCATCCTCGGTGACAGGCTAGTAGTCACTTGCAACCCCAGCTTCTGAAATGCACAGACATGCAGTCCCACCCAAACCCTCTTTGTGTTCTACTTTCACTAAGCTGCTGCAAATCAAACATGTCCACAGAGATGGAAAATAACACTGCTTTGCTTTTTCTTTATGTTAACCTATTTAACACCTTTTTGTATGTCACGTCAAGCTCTCTTGCAAACCTTTGAAGGAGGCCAGTTGTGTGAATGTTAGGGTTTGTGTCTGCTGGCCTGATTCCTGCTCTTTAACTCACCGCAGTTTACCACTTTCTACAGGAAGTCAAGCCTCAGCAAACATGGAGGTACTTGCCTCTTCACAGTAAAATACAGTGTGACTTTTCTGCCACATGAAAACCCTGAAAGAGGTGATGTAGGTCTCTGAGAAACAGAGCATTGAGAAGCGTCCCTCAACTGAAGGCTTTCTCACACTCACTGTACTGAAGTCAGCATGCTCTGAGGGGTCATGTCCTTCTCACATCACATGACACAAAATAGGATGAGAACAAAGAGGCCGCAATATGTTTTTTCCTGTGTTTTGATAGTGTGATGTAGGAAACTGAATGAATGAGCTTTTTTTCAGGTCATTCTTGACAATTGTCTTCTCTATTTTAGAATTACAGACTTCTCTAAATTGATCAGAAAAAGTCATCTTGAACAGTAATACCCTGAACAAAGTTTCTCACATATATGGGCCTCTAACCTAGAAGCATTTTGTAAGAAAGTTAAATTTTTTCTATCATTTAAAGAAGTAAAAATTGATTAAAATTCATCACACATAACCTGAAATGTTTCAAGCATTGTTTTCTGTTTTAGTTTTTGATGAATATGGCCCACAGCAATCTCTGAATCTTCATCCATTCAGCTATCTATCCATCAACTTCTTCCTCTTATCCTGGATCATATCATGGTGAAAGCAGTCTTAGCAAGTCAACTTAGACATACCCTTAACAAGCTCTGGATTTGCCTCAAGACCTCCCCTCATTTGGCGGTACTTGGAAGGAATCCATGAGGCATTCCTATCAAATGCCCTGATCACCTCAGCTGGCTTCTTTGAGTGTGAAGGAGCGACGGCTCTACCCCCATGCTCCTGCTGCTTGATCTCAAAGTTTCTTTTAGCTGCTTGTGTCCTCAATCTCACCCTTTTTATCACAAACAAGGATCGATTTATGAATCTTCGACTTTGACTTCCAGCTTGGCTCCCTGTTCACCATGACAGTCTGTTGAGAAGAGAGTGAAGGGTAAATAGTTGATCCACTGTTCCACAGCCAGGACAAAAATCCACATTGTTCCTCCTGTATCTGAGGTTCAGAGATGAACAGATCTCTTAGCACAGTTGTGAGTAGCATGATAGCCTGATTTGAGACCCCTATCTGGTAATGCTTTTTAGGTCGTCTGCCTCTTGACCGAGACCCTCCATGTGACCCTGAAGAAGTGTTTCAGCCCAGGACAACCCAACAATGTCAAGAGATGTAAACCTCGTAGCGTTAAACTTAAACACCTTACCACTGAGAAGCTTTTTGACTGTCCTCAGGATGTGGCTGAGCTACTAGTTTTGGATTTGTTCTGAGCCGTCGATGGTTTGCTAGAACTTCCTTGACTGTTAGTCCTTCTCCAAAACCTCCCTAAACTCCTCTCATATCAGGGATTCTGCTCTGCAACCACTGGCACTGCAGCCACCCCCTTGGTATGAAAGAAATACTCTCAAGGGTGAGAACTGAAGACATGGCGGTGAGGGAGCTGCTCTAAATGACTTTGAGTAAATAATATATTCTAGCTGTAATAATACAGTTTATCTTTTGGTCCACTTCAGATAACACAACCACAATCATGGGGAAGACTGCAGACTTGAAAATTGTCTGGAAGATGATCATCGTCTCTTTCGCAGGTCATAACTGAAATGGCTGACTGTTTGCAGAGTACTGTGGGAAGTATACTAACTGGAAGTTGACTAAAAGGGAAAACTGTCGGAGGAAAAAGTGTGCTAGCAACAGTAGTGACAGCAGCCTTAGAGGAAAGTGGATTTAAGAGCTCGAGAGAGCTTCACGAAGCGTTGACAGAGGCTTGAGTTGGTACATCCGGAGGTTAGACTTTTCTTGATACAGGCTAAAGTAAACAGAGATAAAGTCTACTTATAATATTGTCATCAGCATAACCATAAACATTTTGTAAAGTTTCAGCTTAGTGACATCTGTGATAAGTGCAAATATCTATTTTTTTATACCACTCAGTATGAAAAAAAATAAGCATGCCCAGTGCATTAATGTCAAATGCAGAATGTCTTGTAGGCCGGATCTTTTTTCTTTAAAGTTTATTTTTGGTGCTTGTATGCCTTTGTTCAAATGAAGAGATTGTAGAGTGGATAGACCAGGAAATCATGTAGACTGATGGAGAGTGATACACAACAAAGAACCTGAGGTCAGAATTGGGCCTTGTAGCTTCTGAGCACGTGGTGTGCAGTTTAACCACTGAGCTAAACCAGCGTTATAGCCAGGTCTCATTCGACACTATGCAAGCTAGCTTGTTCTGGCTTTGTTTTCTAAGCAGCTTTCTCCTGCATCGCTAAATATAGGTCAAATTGAAGGAACTGTGAAAACACTCAAATATGCTGTTGACCGCAACCAGTACAGCATGTGTCAGGGTTCAAGGAATCACAGTATGTCCCAGTTGTATACTAACTGTATGAACAGTGTATAGGTGTAGTGCAGCTGCAATTCAAAAATAGAAATGGTGAAAAGGTTTTCAGTTTTCAGCATGGGTGATTTAGCAAGGCATGAACCACGCTTATATTTACTTTAAAAAAAAAAAAAGAAAAAAAAAACAGTTTGGACATGCAAACAACAAGAAAATAGAAATAGGTATCACAGATGTTTGCAATGTTTGATGTTTTGTGAAAAACTGACAGTATGTTTGAATTGTCTTAGCCCACTATTCTGCTTAAGTTAAAGATTAGAGTATTTTCCAATTATGAGTCCTCAGATAATATTTTTTTATTGAATTTACTTTTGCTTAAAGGATTAGTTCACTATTTTCAAGCTTTTTTAAATTATTATTATTATTATTTTTTTTTTTTTTTACAAAAATTGGTATATCCCACATTGCGTCTTGCAGTATCAAACATTTTTAAAAACAAAGTTCACAAGAAACATTTCATGAAGTGCAATAACAATGTAAAACTGACGCAAATAAGATTGACAGGCAATATGTCAGATATGGAAGTACAGCTAAGTCCAAGCTTCATATTAGACTCTCCAACACATACCACCAAGCTTTAGCAAACTGAGTTAGTTAAAATGTACACCTGCACAGATTTTAGTCTATTTTTTGTGTCGCTGGACAAAGTTTCCCTTGTCAGTGACAGAGATCTGTGTAAATGAAGAGTATGACTTCTGTTATAAAAAACTGTAAAATACGTTTTTGGGTATGGTCATGAACATCATCTGGATTTCTGTGAATTTTATTGTCACTATGGTGAAGGAATGTCTAATATTACAGCAAATTTTCTAGTATTTATGAAACATTGGTGCAGATCAGGCCACGAGTACCTTTAAAGACTCTCAATATTCGAACCTGCTCCCTCAATGTTACATTTATCCTGCAGCTCATTGCTTCATTTTTGGTCCTCAATGTGTTCATCAAGCTTGCAACTTTTAATGGGAATTTATAATTTACTTTCTACATTTTGAAGAAAGAAATTTCTTTTTGACCTAAATTTTTCATCGTGTGGATTAAAAATGATATTTAATCCAGAAATACAGACTATTAATGCAACTTGGACAAAAGCTGACACTCAAAGTAGGCATTGTTCTTTTGCTGATGGTTGTGGTGCTTCGCAGTTCTGATGGGCAACCGTTGAACTGTGGTGGAAAAGTCTGTCCTATTGGCTGTCATTCTTTGTTCAGGCCTTGGGGTTCTTGTGCCATTCCCCCAGCACCTAACACTAACCACTCTGCTGCACAGCCCAGCTGTAAAAATAGATAGGAGAGATCGCCCCAGATATGCACAGGCTCTCACACAGACACACGTAAGTAACGTACAATACACACACTTTCAGCTGTTGATATGTGGCATTTGTGGGGGTAACCTCACTAACATAGGAAAGAGACAAAAAAACAGAGGAGGTGAAACCACAAATAGTACATTTAACTGACACTGAGTGAGTATCAACCCTGTGACCTGCCTTTTTCAGAGAACTATTGTTGTCAAATTGACTTTTTTCTGACCTTCATCTGATGTTAAGGCTGCAGTGGGGGCTTACCTCCACCAGGTGGCATTAGATTCATAAAGGTTGTAGGGTGGACAGCTAAAACTATAATAATGAAGGGTTTCACTTTCCTTCAGATTTAAATTTTACAGGATTAGAATTGAACATAGACAACTTTATCGTATTATTTTCCTTTGTTACACTTCTTTTTAGACGCAAGGTTCAAGTGTTTTCCATGAAACAACCGTACAACAAGAGAAACAAAGCAAACAATAAGATTGAACAATAGCAATACCTTAAAAAATAACAACCATGAGGGACACAAATGACTCAATCAGATTTAATTGATCAGGCTTATTCTATAGAAACCAGACAGGTTTACTCTGTCTTGTCTGTACTTAGAAATGTTTTTTTTTTATTCTATCTTATTTTTATTTCAGATGAAATATAAAAACAAGGATTAGATGTGAAATGAGGAATAGAGTTTGGTGTCGGCCATTTATGTCAGCTTTGAATGCAAAGGTTTCCTGCTCTCACAGTCCTGTAAACGGATACCCTCATTAATTCATGGTCTAAAAGCAACAAAAAGACTTTCTGCAACTAAGTGGTGCAGAAAGGCCGGTTAAAAACCTCACCTGTTGATGTTAATGTTTTAAAGTTTTCACATCCTAACAGCTGCATGACTTCAGTTGAATAAAACAGTGATTTGATATACTCCACAGGCCTTGTTGCACCTCCTCCTCCTCTCCTCGGGGAAGCAGCATGGGGAGTACTGTCTGCGATACCTGAGCCCACTCCTGGGAGTGAGCTGGGCGGGGTTCAGATCTCACTAGGTAAAGAAAAGAAGAGAGGGTAGGGGGATGGACGAAACAGGTGTGTGTGTGTGTTATGAAAAGCAGCTAAAGATTGGTTATGAAAACAGCCGTGTTTGTCTCTACGTGTGGTCAATAGGGCTTTGTGATTGATGGCTCGGCTATTTCGCCTGGCAGCTGGTGCTGTGCGATGCCCGAGAACAGCACGAGGAAACAATGCAGGTAGGTGCTATACTCTTTATGAGGTGTGCGGTTCATGAAGAACTGCTTATTCCTATTATAAACAAAAAAGCTGCAATTAAAGGGGAGCAGACTGTATTATATTTAGTGTTGGTGCCATTTTCCTTATACACTCTAATGTGTCACTGGTTACATTTCTATATCTCCTGTCTCATTAGTTTGCTGTGAATGTTTTGACCTCTGTTCTAGTTTCCCTCCAGGACTGCTCAAACGGCTTTCAACGGAGCTTCAGCCAGACGTGTTGGTATATATTTCTCAGAGCTTCATCATATAGAAAATAAGCCAAATGTAGCCCTCACCTCACTTTGTAACTATAACTTATGGTCCTGTGATAAATACAGGATATGTAGTATAGATAAAACTGGCAGAGGAGTTTCTTTAGATTAGCAGCAGTGATTTATAACCCCTTGTCTGTTGTGCTATGGTTAAGGTGAGCATGGTGACACAGTTAATGAGTTACAAAATGGATACATGTACCTTAGTTGACACCGCTGTTTCCTTCCTGTAGCATAACCAGAGTGTACCGACGACTGAGTCCCATCAGCATCATGGCCAAGAAAAGTGTTGAGTCTGGTATGTTTCATTTTACCTCCATCTTCGATTTTCCTCCCTCCTCTTAAAATGCAGCCTGCGTTTTCCTGCTTTGTGTTTAGTACTTTGTGTTTTTTTCTATTTGTTTATTATAAAACTTGATATAACTGTCATTCTTAGCTTAACTTTTAAGTATCATATTTAAAGCTTTAAGAATGTGATCTTCAATCTGGATGGAAATGTTCTGTAGAGGATCATGTTTTTTTTATCAGATGTCAAAAGTCATATTCGTGCCTTTTCATGTCTTTTATTAAAATCCCTTTGTGATATGGTTTACGGCAGCACTCTTCCATTTCACTAAAGGACGCGCACACTTCCACAGTTTTCACTAATGTAAATGATGCATAAAGAAATAGTTTGAAAATGGGTATCTAAGCGCTCCTGTGTGTCTGACAGGCCTCACATGGGAGGTGAGGGCAAACAGACGCCACCACCACAAACACAAACAGAAGAAATCCTTCCTGTGCTTCCGCTGGGGGCGATACGCAGTGAGTCAGCCACACGTGTCCCTCTTTCCCCGCACATGGAGCTCAGACACCTGTTGGCATGTTGATGCATAGAGAAACAGGTGAATGTGTTGATACATTTATCTCCCTTGTGCTTCTCCCTCTCTCTCGCTCTCTCGTCTTGTTGGTTGCTAGGACAATGTGCTGCGCAGCCATAAGTACTCCCCCCTGACTTTCCTACCCCTGACGCTGTTCGAGCAGTTCCAGCGAGTGGCCAATCTCTACTTCCTCCTCATGATGGTGTTGCAGGTCAGATAAAGACTCTGGTATCCTCTCACACAGACACCAGTGAGTCTCGGTCCACATTTCTACAACAGGCTCAGCTTTCACCTCATTATTCTGTTGGGTAGACATATTCAAGTCCGTAAGACAGAAATGTCCTTAAATGTCCTTAAATGTCCTTAAACATGCACACAATCTTACCCTGTATTTTTATGTGTTTTTTTTTTCTCTTGTGACCTACTAGTCCAATTCTTTTTTATTAGATCCATTTAAACTCAGGGTGTGTCGTGAGTTATAAGTCCACACATAGTCCGTAAAGATTACAGCAGTCAAATGTTTTTTTCTGCAAAGAATGGTAGCCTGGAAGGAAAAAAATCCCTCACTTCTCTAACTGTGGTCATTTCTTAGCTTTTGCTTTTAGACAATTATTTATCTTTCTTAGTATCAGATCTGCCTTGTTCAACCAAATAACCTAAAAAAACTTGATATATGTATTCCCAGTGTATCTAATAATGAACATTTTAAGCAAAATTATTTTTACTTTTGAACAGACTGCATGAAAATGAGTGTGATCTTGTTGAGCCGCTGGTTTCAGACAAAATGATGGTGTCTTTACAGGAAATGCTAAGTCAAACTAACTCTCAGCATAGAGGTGAAGTTGAGGTCATGACCGAGCTACCTGTTAAATATCTACGAGGAGTCAGTCAAATTATCCACATATTTAATGCATAGTTATGCTTTTTATTATATCACCGAGGGAACTGCAGGTTTCTGTAACACCTTCATTTTTCAACACTGGAGTTTGACGTACCGCTGTGTCTCTCTTCCTCCTGTTCATGTGTCCATGTTGTCTCCAGTGTGTCCCTGCCATCTCATCCATCCCCTGGTACATCACCATCATCCCGCTGCTCACCGTACTCTCCGTGAGAGGCATGAAAGACCTTGCCACAGACATGGTGAGGCCAGCATTACGCAGTCCCCCCTCTCTCTCTCTCTCTCTCTCTCTCTTTCTCTCTCTGTCAGGAAGGAAATCATCCCTCATCAATGAAAACACCCGCTAAGACACAAATGCATGATCTTAAACATGAATATACGACCGGTTCAGGATGCATTTATGCACCTGGCACTTAAGCATCTCCGCTCTCTTTTTTCCCCTTCATTGTCCTCATTGACTCCTTGTCCTCTCCTCGCTGACAGAACCAGTCATCCCAGTAGCATTAATTTCCCCCTCTATCATTAAAGCTTTTCCTTTTAAATGCAGGCGGGATGTTTTGCATGGTGAATTCTCTGGTTAAGTGCATCACTGAGTTACGGTCGTTAACAGCTCTGGGTGAAACGCTTGCTTGACCCCTCTCTATTGACTAATCATTTAGTGGAGGGTGTAAATCTCCCAGCTGGTGTCACTGTAGAGCCCTGTAATGGTGTTTCTCCTTTCTCCTTTCTCCAGTTCAACCTTTCATGGCCAGCCTCACTCCCTCTCACACACTGCTTGTCCATCACTCTTTTCCCACATCCTTGTCCTGCTTCTCTATCTTTCCTTTTCCCTCTTCGTTTTTTTTCTCCATCGTGCCTCATTTCTCCGTCCCCGATTCAGGCGAGAAGACGCAGTGACTCAGAGGTCAACTCCCGACCCTGTGACGTACTCATCTCCCAGAGGTGAGGAACAAAGACAGTGGGTTATTCTCTTAAGATTCAGCACAGTTCCAGGTTGAAACAGCCCTCTAATGAAGCTCTAATGAAGTGTGAATGAGTGAATCCCTGGATGATCCCTTTGTGCATTAGAGCAGGGCAATAATACACACAGACACACACACACACAGAGCATTTTTTCATGACAAGAACTAACGCCAACCTCATCGCCACACCTTCTGAACTCTGTTTCCCCTGAAATACTTTTCTTTTGACTTCCCATGATCTGAACACTACTCTCCAATTTTTTACACAAAAATGCATCAAAGAAAATTAACAATTTAGTAAAGGTTTTTTAATAAAAAAAGAAATAATTCAGTCTCATTTTTGAAAGGATTAAAAATTATTTGTTTCTGACATTTAAATGTAAGCCTGCTCTATTTTAGTTATAACAAATTATAACAAATCTGTCTTAGCATTAGAAAAATGTATATTTTGGCTGTAGTTCTAGTGTAAATCTGTGTATTAAAATAATATTATTTGAATATATTTGAATTTTTTTATGCAAATTTTAATGCTGTGTGTCTGTAAACGGCAGCTTTGCATATGGGAGAGATTTGCCACCAGGTTTTATGATGTTTCTACTCATGGAAGTCAGTAGTTGTTGTTTTTTTCCACAGTATCGTCTCTTTTCTGTCTTCAGGTTCAGTGCAGCCCAGTGGAAAGATGTGTGTGTCGGAGACGTGCTACGAATCCACAAAGACCAAGTCATCCCTGTGAGAATTTTAACATATGATCACACAAGTTGACATTAAAATAGAGAAAATGAAGCATCTATTTTATCCATAAAGTGGAAGTAAAACTATTTCAACATCATACTTTCAAGTAGTTTTATAGAATAGAAAACTCCAGCAAAGCAGCATTCTATAGCTCAAGTTTTATATGTTTGTTCCGTGCCTCTCTCGCCCTGTTTGCATTTTTGACAGTCACTCTCTAGTCTCGTCTTTCGCTTTTTTCATCTTTTTAAGCTTTCTTCTTTTCCAGGCTGACCTTCTCCTCCTGTGTAGTTCGGAGCCTCATAGTCTGTGTTACGTGGAGACAGCAGATATTGATGGGTAAGAAACACAGCCAGTCTTTTCTGTTTAATCATTATTAGATTGTACTCAGCAAACAAACTTCATTCAGTCATTCTGTGTGTATTTTACATTTTGTGCCAGAGGCAGGGTTGGTAGCAATGTTTCTTTTTTAATATCCAATTCAATCTAATCCAAATTTATTTATATCACATTTAAAAACAACAAAATTCTGACCAAAGTGCTGTACAGTAAAAATTTTTTAAAAAACAATAAAAACAGACAATTAAAAAAAACAATAAAACAAAGACACAGGACCACATTTATAAAACAGGGGGACATAGATGACAAAATATACGTAGATTAAAATAAAAACAGAAAAAAAATTGTGCAACATAATCAATATGAGTATAATGTAAATAAGTGTTGTGGTTAAACTATCTCTGGGTCAGAAATTTGAAGATACGGTTTTTAATGCTAATTTTTTTGCACGTCTGATTCTTTGAAGGCTCAAAAGTGTAAAAGTTGTGACTTTTGGGTTTTAGAAGTTTAAACCAGCTAAAAACTGACCAGTCCTAGATGTGAAAACTCTGTTATTTAACTTTTTGATCAGTCTATATTTAAAGCTTTCCACAAAAAAAAAAAAAAAAAAAAAAAAACTATTATGTTCCTCCATATCTGAACTCTGTAAAGTCACACAAACTGCATGCAGCGTTGTCCTTTCAATTTTTCTTCTTTACAAACTGGTTATTTGTACAGTGTCATTACAGCTTATGTCGTCTTTTCTCAATACAGAGAAACCAACCTCAAGTACCGTCAGGCGCTCAGTGCTACACACAACGAGCTGACCTCTCACCCCTCAGAGGAGGCCCTTTCTGCCTTTGATGGTGAATAAACGTCCTCTGTTAAGAATACAAATTTAGATAAAGAAGTGTCTTCTTTACTGAATGAAACACTTGTCCAAAGCAACAGCAAATAAATGACCTCTGATCTTACAGGCGAGGTGCTTTGTGAAGAGCCCAACAATCGCCTGTACACCTTCAGAGGCCAGCTGCACTGGCGAGGAGAGTGTCTACTGCTGGACAATGAGCACATCCTCCTGAGGGGAACAGTCCTACGCAATACAGAGTTTGCCTACGGCTTGACTATATATACCGGTACATGTCAAAGGATTCATTCAGTTTAGTAAAAAAATATGCTAAATTTAGAGCAGTGTTATTGAGCTGTGTGATGGTGCGTCTTTTCTGCATGTTATGGGTATGAAACAGGTCTGCTAAGTTGAAAATTGGGAGAATCAGGTAAAAGCAAAGGATGAACACAGAAAGGAGAGACTAACATTCATGGCAGAAGCTCATAAAGGTAAATGAATAGTAAAGGATAAAACTACCACAACCACTTAGCCTCATTTCACCTTCTCCTGAGGCTGATTCAATGACAAATTTTACTATGTGGAATGCATTATACTGCTAATTATGAACATTACTTATCTCTTAAATATGCCTCTGTTAACGCTGGGCAGATTAAAGCCTCCTCCTGTCTTTTAAGTGATCATTGATCGGATATTACCATACCGGACCAGGCAGAGGTGTCATAGATTTCACTGCTCTGGCCCTCTCAGTTCTGGTAAAAACCAATCAATACATCAAATTCTCCCACAGATGAGTTTTTATATCATTCATCTGAGACTGCCTATTGGTGTGACCCTAATTCACCCTGATTATAACTATTCCCACGAAGACTCAAATTCACAGCCTACTTTGAGTTATGTGTGATCAAATTGGACATGCTGTTTTTGTCGGAGGGTGAAGTTGTCTGTATCTTTGGACGGTTTTAGGAATTAGACATATCCTTAGTGTTTGTCATGAAGCTATCAGCAGTCTAAGAGAGACTGAGACATCATCACTGGAAAACATAATGTGATGCTTTATTGATCCCTGCAATGGAAGTACTCTCTTCCCTCTGACCTCTTGGCAGCAGGGTCAGACACCCCCGGAACTGGTGGGGATTCAGCATCTTGCTCAAGGGCACATCAGCAGATACTTACTGACACAAGGGCTTGAACTTTCACTGTACAGCTGCATGGATGGTTTCCCAACTTGCTGGGCCAAGCTACTGACACAAACACGCTTAACACTTGTCTGTTTTGTTCCAGGCACGGACACCAAGATCCTGAGGAACTGCGGGAAACTGAGAGTGAAGAGGACCAGAACGGAGAAAGTTTTCAACAAAGTTGTGTTGGGGGTGAGTGGGTAAAGGGCAGGGGGAACAAGAATGAGGCGACTTGTGTGGCTGATACAAACTTTTGTGTTTCTGTGTTCTGAACCTCTAGATAGTCCTGTCCATCCTTCTGGCGGCTCTGCTCCTTGCTATCGGCAGTGGCGTATTTTCCAGCTGGGTCATGAGCCAGACTGCAGTTTCGTCTGCTCTGGTGGTGAACGGAAATCCTGTCTACACAGGGTTTCTCATCTTCTGGAGCTACATCATTCTGCTCAGCCCTGCCATGCCTATAGCTCTCTACATCACGTTAGTTTTTTATGTACAATGCTTCAAAGAAGAAGGTGGAAATACACCTGAGTGAATCTTTCATACTATCTAACGGTGTGTATGACCTCCACATGTGTGTGTCCACAGGTTTGAGGTCATCCACACAGTCCACAGTAAGTTTATCGCCTGGGATATGGAGATGTATTGGCAGCAGGCGGATAGACCAGCCCAGGCGAGGAATACCTCCCTGAGTGAAGAGCTTGGCCAAGTGGGATACCTGCTGAGTGACAAAACTGGAACACTCACCCAGAACCGTCTCCTCTTCAGACAATGCTGCATAGCTGGAGAGATCTATGGTAACTGGAAAACCATTCACCGAATTTATTACAAAATATAGTAAATGTCCATGAGAAACTATAGCCATCCTTCTCAGAACAAAAATAACCACAAGTCTCCTGATAAACCTCCTAAGAAAGTATTATTTTGCAGAACTAGCAAGAACAAATCACAGACTTTTCTGATCCAGCTCAGCTACAAATTGAATCGCTCTTTTCTCTAGTTTTGTATTTGAACTTAGCACTCGTTTTCCACAGGATTTATTGCACATCAAATTAGGAATTCAACACAGCCTTAAAATGCATCCTTGCAAAAACCTGAAACAATTTTCATTTGAGTGGAAGTCTGAGGAAGTAGATAAGTTGATCATACAGTTGATGGAAAATATATTTTTGGACGTCAAAGTAAAGAGAAATCATTTTCATTTCTTTAATTTTAAAAACTACTTTCCTTATGAGACAGACGACAAGAGAGTTCATAGAGCAGCCACTAAATTCAAACAAAGTTACAATCACGTCACTTATATGTAATGTTGTCTGAGCCCCTTACTTGTTAAGCCAATGTCTGTTTACTCATTTTCTTCTTATTTTAATGCACTTTTACTGTGTTTATCATGCTTTTTTAAACATGTCATGTGATAAAATAATACGTCATCTTTTCAAGGTGATGCATCAGTCAGAGCAGAGGACACTAAGGTACCATGTACACTCTGTAAAATCTGCCTTCTCAAACTCTTCCTTGTGTTATCTTTTCCTCGTCTTTCAGAGCAAGTCCTCTATGGTCTAAAGTTTTGTGTCGTTGTCATCGGCCTCATTTTACGTACTGTATACTTACAATGCCTAGTAACATATACCCTGTGCACCATCTTCTTCTCTTTGCATGTCCAGCCCATGGACTTAAGGTGGAATTCCTTTTCCTGTGGTGGTCTGTATATGTCGGCTCCAGGTCTGGTGGAGAAGCTCCGAGGACAGCAGTGTGTGATCAGTCGTCAGTTTCTCACAGCGCTGTCTTTGTGTCACACCGTCATGGCAGAGTGGAAAGAAGGTTGTGTCTGAGGGCTGGTTTTAAGGGTCTTAATTTGTACTGTGGCTCAGATAAAAGCAGATCTGGTTGGGTTGTTATTTTCCATCCTAAATCTCATGTCTGAATCTAGTGTCCCATATAAAATTTCAGTTTGTCACAGTGGACGTTTTAGGAGGACAACATGTTATCCTCAAGCTTTTGTGCTGACTGCATTCTTCCAGAGGCTCCAGTTTACCAGGCTGCGTCCCCAGATGAGGAGGCTCTTGTTGGTGCTGCCAGGGAGCTGGGCTGGGTCTTTCTCTCCAGGACAAGAGACTTTATTGTTGTCTCTGAGCTGGGTGTCACACGGCAGTATCAGTTGCTGGCACTGCTGGACTTTACCAGCACAAGAAGACGCATGTCTGTACTGGGTGAGCGTAGCTCCTCTAAATACACACAACAATTTGTCGGTTCAGCTATTTCTTGGCGCCCTTTTAAGACCCACTCCGTTGAAAATCATGTTTTTCTTGTTTTTTATACATTCATATGGCATTTTTCTGATGCTACAGGACATATCCAGAGAATTTTTAAATGCGAAATTACTTTTCTACAGTACTTCTACATTCAAATTGCTGTGAATATCTGGCAGACTCAAACAGCAGGTTCAGAAACAGTGAGATTTCATATGTAACCAATCCAAGCTCCGCCCCCGGAACCCCGCTATGCAGGCCACACTACATATAGAAGAGAAATACAGAGGATGATCGCGGAACAAGCGTGCGCCTTAGCGGGTTGCAATGCTTATAAGAAAGCTAATTATGATATTAGCTTTCATTGTGTCCCTGTCTCCGCCCTTGATTCAGAGGCGAATAACTAATGATCTACTGGAGCTCTGCAGAATGTAACCTGATTTTTGGTAAAAACGATATAATCACAATTTAAATACTACTGAGATAACTTAAAATAGTAAAAAAATAAAAGAAAATAAAAAAGAAGACTGTAGTGGGACTTTGATTGTTATTTAGGAGCTCAGTGAAGCAGACTTTTCCTCCTGATAAGTTTTCTTTGGTGCTTGTGTGTTTTATTTCAGTGCGTGAGCCGGAGGGTGGGTTAAAGCTGTACTGTAAAGGGGCGGATATTGTGATCTTGGAAAGACTGCAGAAGGATTGTCCACATCAGGAAAGAACTGAAAGCGCTCTAGAGGTGAATAGTTGTTCTGTTGAACTATAAACATGTGTTGTTATTAAACCTATCATTACTTTGTAGATTTTGGATTCCAGATCCAGCATCAACAAGTTAAAAATCAATTCAGTGATGTGAACATGAAGAAATCCTGTCTTAAGACGGAGCGCTTGGAGATAAAAACATCATAACAGTATGCTCAAAGCAGCCTCACAGGTGTAAATCTGTCTGAATCACCGTGCTCATTTAGTGTGTTGGCATTTTTCAGTGAGTATGAATAGTAAAACCTGAGTGTAGAGAAAATGCAGACACTACTCCTACATTTGATCACTCTCAAAAGTATGAAAGTCGGTATAAATGTGATACCCAGGATCAAAGATAACGCACTACCTCTATAAGACACTACACATACAAACTCCCTCAAACCATCACAACATTTACTGACAAATACAATCGTCGCTCTCACAGTGGATCGACAGTAGAGGGCTCTCTAAAAGGGGGTCAAACGGGTCATTGTACAGGGGAATGTGGTTTTCCAAACAATATCATCCCATTAGTTATTAAGACATTTCTCTGTGGATCAAAGTGGTGGGCCCACTGACCAACAGCCTGTTGTTGTTGTTCTCCCCACACCAATATTAATATATCCAAGTTTTGTTTTTAATTGTCTAATCATCACAACTTTAACACACTGAATCAAGCATCTCAAAGTTGTAGAAATCAACGAGAGAATTCTTCATTAACCATCAGAGTAGTTTATAAGAAAAGTGAACCCGTTGAACCTCCCGCCCATTCAAGACTTACACATGACCCAAGTCAGGAAACTGGCAGTAACATCAGTCCTGACCCATCATCGGCCTAGACTCAACTTGCTCAAACTTCGCTCCTCTGGTACGCGCTACAGAAAAGTGTACGCCTAAACAACCAGACGCGATATTCTATTCCCGCAGGCCGTTGCTCTTATGAACAGTTAACACCAGTTATACAGTGTCAGTCACCCTGTGACACCAAGACATCCACTTGTTTCCATTATAGATTTTTTTCAGTTTAAAATGCACTTTTTAACATGAACATATCATCATGCTCTGCCAGTATACCTTCTCCTGTAATTACATTGAGAGTAATGAAAAAAACAAGCAAATCCTTGTACTGCATGTTCACATACTTCTCCCGCAAAACCAAGTAAGATTACCTTGAGTATGTCCGAGTCAAACTGTGAAAGATAACTTACTCAAAAATGCGCAGCTCATCAAATAATAATCCACTTTTCTTCTGCCAGTTGTTTGCTGAGGCCTGTCTGAGGACCTTGTGTGTTGCGGTTCGATCTGTTCCCGAGGCATCATGGGAGCAATGGAGTAAAACCCTGGCTGAGTCTGCTGCCATGACAACGTGTGACCGTGACGCACTGCTGGAAAAGCTATATGATGAGATGGAGACAGAGCTGCAGGTGGGCTCGAGCTAAATGAGGCTTAAAGATGTTTACTGTGCTTCATGTGGTAAAGCCGATCCTTTTCACTGCACAATGAACGATGTTCAGAGCCGACGTCTCCTCATTTTTAATCATCGCCTTTGGTAGATTTTCTGCTCGATGGCAGAGATCACTTTCATCTCTGCATGTCAGCATGTTGGTAATCAGTTATCCAAATATCAGGAAATAGTTTGAAAACTTATTTAAACTTGTTTTGTAGCTTCTAGGAGTGACAGCGATAGAGGACCGGCTTCAGGAGGGTGTTCCTGAAACTATAGCTCTGCTTCAACAGGCTGGAATTAAAGTATGGGTACTGACAGGGGACAAAAAAGGTATTGTCACACACTGTTTGTACAAAGCAACATTTGAATGCCTCGTTTTAGTTTCGGTATCACTGTGCTTTCTGTCTCTCTTACTCTCTCTCTCTCTTTGGGCTTGTCCTCCTCTTAGAGACTGCAGTGAATATTGGATATTCTTGCAAACTCCTGCATCCTGATACCAGATTACTGGAATGGCAGGAGCTGAGGTTAGCAGTGATAAAAATACACAAAGACACACACATGCATGATCTCAACCCATGTCATTGATCTTTGCGTATTTGTCCCTGCAGACAGATACTTCAGTCCCCAGACCCTGGGGTCAGTTTCTTTAAGGTCAGGCAGACGGAGCTGTGGGCTGTAGACACAGAGACGACACGAGCTAAGACTGCTGTAGTCCTCACTGGACCTGAGCTGGTAAACATCCGACATACAGGAAATAGGTCACTCATGTAGGTTTTAAATTTCCGTATAGTCGGTGCTGTTCAGGTTGCTCATGACCCAGTATCATTATGCACTGTGCTGTTCATGATCAGCACAGGAAATGAAACAGATTCATTTCTAAGTCATTTCTAGTCAGTTATTTTTGCTTTTGGTGTGTACAAAAATGATGTGTCATATCATTAGCTGCTGAATACTCCTTTTTTATTTTGAACTAGTTACTTACTGTGTATAAACAGTGCTGAGCAGGTGGTTTATAGTGGGTTTTCATTGTTTTAACTTACACACAGCTGTAAAATAATTCAGAATTGATAACAATGATAGTCAAGGACTGAACAGACTAGCAGAAAAAAACAAAGATATCTGCAGACTGGACACTTCAGTCACAAATTGTATTTTGTTTGTCTCTGCATATGACCCTCTTTACATAAATTTTGAACAACTGTAATGATAGAAAAAACACACACACAGAGGCCTGAAGAAGATACTTTCAGACCTAAAATAGGCTCAAAGCAAAAGCAGAGGCAGAGATTCAGATCATTTTATATGAATACACTTAGGTGTTTTGATGGCGTTGTTCTGCAGGCAGAGTTTGACCAGAGACCAGAATGGGGATCAATGTTCATGAGGTTAGCAGAACAGTGTGAGTCTGTGTTATGCTGTCGTGTAACACCTGGACAGAAAGCTGACGTCGTCACGTTGGTCAAGAAACACACAAACTCTGTCACCATGTCCATCGGGGATGGAGCCAATGATGTCAATATGATCAAGAGTAAGTTAGATCTGATAGATGTATGTGTGTGAGAAATTTTTTTTCAACTCTAAATTACAAAACCATACTGACCACTCAACTCTGTTTTTCTCCTACAACAGCTGCTCATGTCGGTGTGGGGATAGCAGGAGTGGAAGGGGGCCAGGCAGTGCAGAATGCAGACTTTGCATTTTCCCAGTTCAGATTCCTGCAGAGACTGCTGCTTGTCCACGGCCGCTGGTCCTACAGGCGCATCTCCCTCTTCCTACGTTACTTCCTCTTTAAGACTTGCAGCTTCGCTCTAGTGCACATATGGTTTGGTTGCTTCAATGGCTTCAGCGCTCAGGTTAGACACAAAAGACATTTGGTGACACAGAAACTAGACATGACGTAGTTAACCTTAATATCCTGCATTCACCCCTTTTTTTCCTCCTCTTGCAGTCTTTATATGAAACATGGTTCATCGCTTTGTACACTGTCTTCTACACATCCACCCCGGTCCTGTGTGTGGCCTTCTTTGAACAGGTGAGACGATTATTAGGGTTTGTGTTGTAATTAAAGCTTAGTGTTGCTCTTGGCTCCTCCTTCAAAGCGGTGTGTCTTATCTTGTTGATGATCCTGCCCTTTATTGTAAATGCTCAGGAAGCGTTTTCTGACTTTTGTATCAGTCAAAGGTATCACTGAGTACAGATGCATCTCAATAAATTGGAATATTATGAATAAGTTCCATGTTTTCCATCAGTTTCCTAATATGTAGTAAGAAGCCCCAAGCAAGTACTGAGAGTGCGTATGAATGTCCTCTTCCAGAGTTGGGCATTTCTGTGTTTTAGATTGTTTCCATGCTCTAATGATTCTGACTTTCAGATTTCTGATTTTCATTAATGACAGGCAATAATTTAGGATATTTAAACAAAAACAGCTCTACAAATGAAATGTGATGAAAACACAAAACATAAAAGTTTACTGTCATATAATAAATTATTAAGATAAATGGGCCACAGAATAAGTCAGAACAGTCAGTCTTACTCCTGTTGTAGTCTAAGTTGTTTTTGTAGCTCATATAGATTCATTAGTGTTTCATAATCAGCCGTAACTCATTTTATTATCTAGTATAATTCCTCACGTAAAACACCATCCTTCCTTGTTTTGTTCTAGGACGTGAGCGCAGAGAGTAGTTTGAAATGGCCGGAGCTGTACAAAACTGGACAGAAACAGGAGCTGTCCAGTCCTCTCAAGCTCTTCTTGTCCCTTCTGTACGCTGTGTATGCGTCTCTTGTTCTCTTCTTCATCCCGTTTGGAGTATTTTACAACACGGCCTATGACTACCAGACCATGGCCGTGACTGTCAGCATGGCTGCCTTGTATACTGCCAACATTGAGGTCAGATCAAATTTTTCACTCATACAAAGAACCCACAGAAATGTGTGATGAGTCAAAAATGTAAGATAAAAACATGGGAGGAGGGTCAGAGATGTAGTTGCATGTCAAGGAATATTTCCTCTTACATGAATTGACAGTATTATTTAAGCATTTATCTTTTACTTTAACAGAGTGACTCTTGATTCATCTAAATGTGAAAAAAGGTTTATTTACTTTTATGAGCTTAATTGAAAAATTGCAACGTAGTTATAAAGTGAATATTTCATTGTTGAAATTGAAACGCTGTTTAAAAACACTGAAATTAACTGTCCATTATGTGTAGGTTTTTTGTTGATTTATATTTATAAAATAAATGAAATAAATCCCCCCTCGATACTCTAAAAAGTAAGAGAACCATAATATTGACCGGGTGGCGGCGCTCTCTGTAGCCTAAAAGGTCTCACAGTGCTGGGCAGGAGCTCTGGCGAATGCCTAGTCCACCGCAAAATTAATTTGTGATCGATCACGAGAGAACTATGTTGTGATCTCGTAAGAAAATAGGGGTAAAAAAAAATTTTGTTAACTATCAATTATTTACCTCACCTTCTTGTGAACATTTCTTTCGTCATACACTGATTCTGCTTTTCCCTCAGATGGTTCTGGTGACCAGATTCTGGACAAAGTTCAATATCGCGACTGTGGTTGGCTCTGTTGTGTTTTTCTACATCTGTACCAAGATCACTCACAGCAGTCGTCTGTTTCTGCGATCACCCAAAGACTATTACTTTCTTGGTACACTTCCGCTCATCTCATCTTCTCTGTGTCACCAAAACAAAAAGCATAAAAATAGTCAATTTTTGATCAATTTATGTTTGACTAGTGTGTGTGTGTGTCTTTTCCGTCAGGTGCGGCTGATAAGGCCTTCATTGATCCTGTTGTGTGGCTCACAGCTCTGCTCACTGCCTGGACGGCTGTTCTGCCCTCAGTGACCGCACTGGCTCTCAACGCAGTCCTTACAGCCTGTGACAAACACAAGGTGAGACAAAGAAAGAGAAAAATGAGTGGAGGATTAGCAAAACAGAAACACCAGTGTTTAAATTCATGTGAAAATGAGGAGAGAAAAATAAAATGGGTGAGACATCCAAGAAAACAAAAACTAACGTTCTTTAAATTGATCGCTGCCGTTTACAAACTGTGGAGGTTTTCATGGCTCTATGAAACGTCTTGCAACAGCCCTCCTCTTTCTTACTCTTCTTTCTTACTCCAGTGTTTTGTTGAAAATTCAGGTATTTATTCAGTATTTTCTCAGTCACTTCTTTGAGTTTTCTGCATCCCTCTCTGACAGAAACAGGGTGCTTCAGACAAGTCCAAAATGATATATAAAAAAAACCAAAAAACTGTAACGATAGACATGTAATGTTATGTACTTTTATTCTAAATGGTTAGAAAGCTCACACTGTGACTGGTTTGTTTTAATGGGTTCCTATTCACCAAGTTAAATCAAATTTGAAACACTTTACTTGACGCCTATCTCTATAACGCATTATAAATATGTGTATAATGCATTATAATCACGTTATAGCTCTGCATAATTATAGTTATGAACACTCATAAATGATCATATTGCTTTATAGCAATAATCATAACACATTATAAAGCATTTTATCATGACTTACAAGGTCAGGTATTATAATGTGTTATGCTTATTGTTATAAAGCCTTATGATAATTAATGGGTGTTTATAATGATAGTTATACAAGCTTATAAGCAAATTACAGCACATCATAAATATATGTATAATGCATTATCTATGTGGACATTGTCAGTGAGTTGTAAACAGTTATAACACATTATAATACCTGACCGCATTACACATATATTTATAATGTGTTATAATCACAAATAGGCGTCAAATAAAGTGTCACTAAAAGGTTAAAAAAAAAAAAAACACCAACAATCGTCCACTAACTCTCACCTGGCTGTGACGCAGGTCCACAATGTGACACAGCAGCCAGTGGAGCTGAGGTCAAAGTTCAGACGAGAAATGTCTCTACGCCGTTCCTCCTACGCCCTCTCTCAGGGGGCGGGGCCTGGACGCCTCATCACCTCAGGGACATGCATCCGCAGCACGGTGCCAACGGTGGATGAGAAGGTGGCTGTAAATCAAAACCCCACTCACTCACACAGCGAAATCCACATGACAGACAATGTGTTACACTGATGCATCAAATAACTCCTGGACACTTTCTGATAGATTTCAGGTCTCGACATGTGAGAATATAGATTGTTACCGCGGCGCAGAATTGATTACAAGATACACTCTATGTCTGTATACTTTTAAAGATGTTTGTTGTAGTGTCTGCACTCATCTTTATCTAGAAAAAAATAAATAAATTATGCATAATAAATCCATGTTATTATCTTCATATAGACAGTTTACCTCTGCAGGCATAGCTGTGATCTTTGTTGTTTCACACTGTTGTGGTAAAAAATCAAATTTCCATCTCCTGCAGTCACGGGAACTTCCTTTGAAGATCAAACTAAACACAATAAACTGACAGCAATGCTTTGTTTTACAATTGTTTTATTTGTTAATTTATTTCAAAACACGCAATTTTACCCATATTATCCTTTTAAGTTTTTATTTTTCTGTAACAGTTATTACTCAGATTTTTTTCCTTCTCAAAAGTCTCAACTAGAGTGAAACTAAAAGTCCTCCACAGGCTCTCCGGCTTCTGCAGTGGGAGGAGGGAAAAGAGGCTTTCTGACCAGACATTGCGAACGTGGTATATCCCTTGTTTTTGTATGTATGTGTGTGTGTGTGTGTGCGAGTGAGGATTCACACCAGAGGGTGCGCGTGTATATTTATGTATGTGTGTGTGTGTGTGTGTGTGTTTGTGTTCAAGTGCAATTGGTGGAATGTCCACATGGCCGGTAAAATCACAGGACCCGTAGAGCAGCCCAGAGAGCTGAACATTGTCTTCTAGGTTTGGTAGCCAGATTGTCATACCTCTGATTTCATCTTTGGTTTTCAGCAAACACTCTCAAAAGGCAGACTCACCCTCTCCAGCATGTGCCTGTGTCTGTTTGTGTGTCTGTCTGTCTGTCCGAGTGCAATATAAGCCACCATCTCCAGACGACTTTGTAAACTTGAGTAAGTACAATGTGGGTGTCTTTGCATTGATTGTGGCCCTTCCTTGGCGCTGGGGGACAAAGACAGCCCAACATTGTAGAACAATGGAGCCATGAGCGGGGAGGATCGGCTTGCAAACAACAACATGGACTCCATTTTGATGTCAGTGGCAGTTTGGGGCATATATATTCGTGTAAAGCTTGTACGACATCAGTCTGGTGAATCATGGGGGTGCTGTAGTGCGCATCACTCCCTCAGCCACTCTCTACTGTACCCAGAGTGACTGGAGGGGCTTCTCTGCCCGCTCTGGGCTCAGGGGAGGGGAGGGAATGGGAACATGTTATGGAGGGTCAAACTGTGAGCAGGGATGTCTAAATGTTTGGGTGAGGGAGGACAGGGGGGAGAGAGAGGGTGGGGTTGAGGGTTGTACACTCTGACCCAGCAGCAACGATTAAGATTGGGGGGGTCAGGTGTTTGCATAGTTCTCTGTGCAAAAGCCACCAACCGGAGCCATTTTTATTCCTCGCGGCTGGTTACATCATCATTAGATTAGCAGGAAATTGTGGTGGGTGAAGGGAAATATGATCTCTGCACCACAGGTTGCATTTCTTTCTCCTGCAGTGCACTACATTGTGGCAGTAGGAGTGCAAGAGGGTGAAAAGAGACGGGGTAATGGGAGGAAAATGAATTGAAAATGTCTTATGAGTTTGGAGTGTGTGAGTGAGTGTGTGTGTGTGTAACTGAGTCACATGGAGTCAGATCAGCCTGCTAAAGGTTGATAGATAGATGGAGGGTGGATGGGGTAGCTGGGCAGTCGTTTGGCAGCCTGGCACTACAGCTGGACACTGTTCAGAGAGCCTCTTTTCCCTTGATTTTGTTCCTCCATCCTTCCCTTCCTCCTCCCCACTGGCCTGCCCTCTCTCTACCTTTTTTCTTGTTTTGAAACTGATTGTCTTCTACCATCACAAAGACACTTGGTTCTGATTGATTAACAGGTAACAGAAGAGGGAGAGCACAGTGTGACTGGGGGTGTCTACATCAGTCCCACAGGCAACCTTTGATCCCACACTGAAATGCCACACACGTATGCTGTTTGACAGTAAATGCTGACAACATTTCAGCTCGAGTTTTACCGGTTGCCGTGCGGTACTGCGGTTTGTTGGTCGTCAGTCAGTAAGAAATGGTTTCAAATCTTTGCATGACAAATATTGCAACCCATAATAAAGGAACATAAAAAAGAAATACTTTGTCTTCCACATAGGTACAAATGAACACACATACACAGATTGAAGAAAAGCATGTAGACAGACATACAGGTATATTCAAGGCCGCTCGCGCCTGTGTGTGTCCCTCTGATTAACTCCAAGTAAACAGCCCGTCTTTGGAAAAGCAAGACACACATTTCAGGACCCGAGTGAGGACCGCAAGCTGAGGAATGAAGATTGAATGCTATTGATTGGGAGGAGAGGAGTTTGACCTCCCCCAGCACACACTGCCCCCTACTGTCTGGATTTATATACATCAAAGAAACATGGGGAAAGGGGAAGGGTTGCAACAACACATGCACACAACCAGTGAATCCAACAGTGACGGAAATTCTAAAAACAAGGACCCCTCCAACGCCTAAAACCCGAATCCTCCCACCCCCTTTTTTTATGTTTTGATAACCAAAATATCCCCCACCCCTTCTCCACCCTTTTCCCAAGTCTTTCCATCCTCCTCCTCTCCCCACAAAATCACAGGTCATTCCTGTTGGTTTCTATACAGTTATACAATATCCATGCACAAAAAAAAAAACAAAAAAGAAAGAGCGCACCTTCTTTTCAATAGGAGGTGCTGGTCTTTAGTATTCTAAGAACATCAGGAGCACTTGAACACACCCAGGAACCTTCAAAAGTAACTGTGAAATTGTTTTTTTTTTCTTTTTTTTTCAGAGAAAAGACAACTTAAAGGCAGAAGAAAGCTTACAATGAGTAAAAGGTTTTTCCTCCTTTGGTATAACATCAAATTTTTGGTTTAGGATTCAGCCCAAATCTTATTTTGTGTTTTTTTTTTTTCTTGTTTTTATCTTTTTTTTTTTTTTCCTTTAAGTGAACCCGCCTTGAAGAGAGAGCTTTGAACTAGGCATGTGAAGTGAGTAGCTCCTGCCTCTCTCTTTCTGGACTCTAGCCTTCTCTTCTGTCTCTTCTTTTCTCATGTAACCCTCCACAGAAACATTCACAATGTCTTTTCCTTTATGAAAACAGTAAGTACATGCCGTAGCAAAAACAAACGAGAGAAACGTACAAGAAAAATGAGCAAACAAATAAAAGGAATTTAACAGTATAAAGCTTCAAGTCACAAGTTCCAAAACTAACTATCATAGTATCATAGTTTCATAATCATTGTTATCATTAGCAGTATTATTTTCAGTCTAAATTACATAAAGTTTACATGAAAGGTTTTTGAGGTATTTCAGAATTAATTGTCAACACACGCCTACCGAGTCTTAGCACTAGCCAGGGGGAGAGGTTGACTAGACAGACGAGGTGGAGGGAGGAGAGAAATTGTGTCTATAAACTGTTGGTGAGTCTTCCACACTTCTCTAGTGCAGCCTCTGTGCTTGCACGCAGTGGAGATAAAAAAAAAATAAAGAAAAGAAAATAGACATTGAGGTTTTACATCTACAGCCCTCTAAGCGCTCAGAGCCTCAGCCTTTTTACCCCCCTCTTTCTCTGTTTCACAAAAATATCTCTGATGCGAGCGAGGTAAAGTGGCTGAGAGTCTGAGCACACCGGGGCGGAGAGAGAGAAAAAAAAAAAAAAAAAAAAAGGTAAAAGCTCCAAAAGCTATGAGCTACAAGAAGATTAACAATACGGTAACAAAGACTGACAGATTAAAGGAGTAACATATAATTTTGTTTCAAATAAATAGTGTATAGAAAATGTTTTATAGACTTTCTACATGATAAAGTGCTTGTATTCTAGTGTATCAAGATGGAAAGTCAATATGGGAGAAAATGCTGACACAGCCCCCACTCTGTGTCCCTCTCTTTGGCCCCCCTTTCTGTCCATCCAATTATGGGTGCATTGTCTCGATGTAAGTGTATGTTTGTGAACGGATGTACTGCTATATATGCGTGTGTGTGTGTTTGTGTGTTTGTGTGTGTTATGTGTGTGTGTTACCAGTGCAGTCCCACCCGTGGTTGAAGGGAAAAGGCACTCAACTCTATCTGCATGTAACCACCTCCTCCTATGTGGTACGATGCAGTCTGACTGCTCTGTTTGTACAATTGTGTGTGTTTTATATGTGTGTGTGTTTGTGTGTAATATTATCAGTGTGCATGTAACAGTGTTGGGCAAAGAGGGGGGAGATTTTTTTTTCTTTTTTCCCTTTTTTTTTCTTTTTTGGTTTGTGTGTCCCCCTAGGCAGTTTGGGACCGGTAGGCTGCAGTATCTTTGGTATTAGTGGCGGTTTCACAAACCACTCAGCTTAGTGAGGTAGCCACATTGGTTCTCACTACAAACAAATGTCATTTTGTCAGCCTAATACCTAGCGCTGAGTCTAGCTATTTACCTATGCTCACTGAACTGTATACCACAAATCGATTTTTAGCTCATCATCCTTTGGCGACATTAACTCACTGCTTACAGCAATGTGAAGTTAGTCAGTACCTCTCTCAGTCGACTCCTCTACAATGACCACTGCTTATCTAATCTGCACCGCTAATCTGACTACATTGTTGGAAATGCTACAGTTGCATTTTTAAGACCATACAGATAACTATTGAGTCCCAAGCTTTGACCCCACCCACCCTGCAACAAAACACACTGAATCAGCCAGGACGTCTGGAGGTCGTGTTTTCTCCCCCTCTGTTTTACCCCATTTCTTTGGGGCTGGGCTTAAAGGGGGCTGAGAGTACCACAGTTCTGACATGAGATGCCAAAAGAGAGAGAGCGTCCGTCGTTTATTCTTCTCTTCAGCAGCTCCCTGTTTTCTTTTCTCTCTCTCTCTCTCTCTCTCACATGGTAAAATGTCTCGTTTGAGTCTTTATTCACATAGAATGCAAAAAAGAAAAAAAAAAGAGAAAAAAATACATCCTTCATTGGCCTTGATCCTTGCATCCCTCTTTTTTTTCCTTTTAAAAAGTTCTTCCTTTTTTTGTTTTTGATTTATCAACAAGGTGCCTTACTTATGCACAACAGAGCACAATAGTAACAAGAAATAGAAACTTTGTGTCTATGGTACTAATTAAATACCCGCATCAATATAGAGAGGAAGAGAGAAAGAGGGAGGGGGGCAATGGGGGTTAGAGGGACAGAGGAGGTAGAGAACCAAAGATAGAATGACAGATTTTTTCTTCTGCTTCAAAATGTGTCCGTTATGTGACCAGACATTTTCCTTTTGTATTTGTAACACATACCGTGTCTGTCTGTCTGTCTCTGTCTGTCTGTGTGGTATCTTTGTCATTTGAGGTTCGGTTATTGTATGCCTTAAAATCTGATTCTTTTTTCCTTTTTACTACAAAAGTATATCTTAATTCAGTTAAAAGCTGATTGTTGGTTGCTATGACACACACCGCCCCGCCATCAGTAGGGCGCACCGTAGCTGTGTGTGAACCCTAGTACCATTTTCTTTGATTCGCATTAAGGCAGTAAGCATTGGCACTAATTACTGTAGCATTTTGACAGCTGAGTGTAGTGGTTAGCTTTGGGTTAGCTACTGATAACCCTTGTGTGGGAATAACCAGGAGATTTGGTTTGGATCACATCTGTTGAGAACCCTTTTTTTTTTTTTTGCAAACAGATGAGACAGAAAGATGGAGAAATAAATAAAAGAGGAAATATGAAGCCTCCCAAAAGAATGTAAATCAGACCTCCACTGCACCTCAGATGTGTCTGTGTCAGCACTGGTGTATACGTCTTCCTCTGTTGTACTTTTCTATCCCCTCTCTGCGTATTCTCTCTACCTGTATTTGGTGGATTCTTTAAGATTTGGATTGGCTTAATATATCCCTGCCTTTGCTAAATCCCTGCGTTTTTCAGTGTTCACTTAAACCATCCCCCCTCCTCTGGCTTCACCAGTGCTGGTTGGATGAGGAACAACAATAGGATAATGGTTAGCTATTGATCTGCCTTCAAAGAGCTGCGAGGGCCTGAATGTGTTGTGCCATGACTTCTCCTCAGCATCTAGTGGCTCTTCCCTCCCCTCTCCTCCTCTCCTCTCCAAGCCCCCATCACTCTGCCGGGTTCGGGTCTCTGCTCTCGACAGCAGGGGGCACTGTTGCTCTGCCAGGGGAGGGAGAGGTGTGCTGCTGCTGCTGCTGCTGCTGTTATGAGGCCTTTGTGTCCCCATCTCCAGTGGGTTCCATGTGCTCCTCTTACATTCTGCTTTTCATATGCAGCTGTAATGTAGTTGGCTGGGTGCCCGATCGTGTTGTTGTCGCTTGGTTCTCGGTTATTGATCAGAGGAAGAGCTCCCAGCAGAACAAAGAGCGTGTCCAGACATCTAGCCCTGCCTCTTCGGGTTGGTCAGAGAAACACAGACTCTAGGCTCAGGCCAGGAGTAACAGTGACACGTCTCCCTGCAGGCCCCCCCAACATCTGTGCAAAAAATATAGACCTGGGCCTGGAAGACCTGAGTATCTACTGCTGAGCGTCTTGAGTTTCACCTTCAGGAGGGGTCAAGGCCTCGCTCTCTCTGTCTGCATCGATTCATTTTTCAATTCATTAGTTTGCCGTATGATCAGGCCGAGCTGCGTTCTGAAATGGCTGGCCATTAGGGAATACCTTTGGTCAAGGAATGAAGGAGACTACAGGAGAGGGGGGAGGTAGAGGCAGAGAATAAGAAAGCCTCGTTGTTTATTTTTCAGAGGCTGCGTTTGTTTTCTTTATGACGGCCTTGTGTGTGTGTGTGTGTGTGTGTGTGTTTGTGTGTGTGTGCAGGATGGGGCTCGGATAATAAGGCTATGTGCTGTTCTGTTGTCAGATTTATTGCCGTTCTTTTCGCCCTTGTTGCTTCCATGTGCCGGCGTGGAGAGAGGATGAGAGAGGCGAGAGAGGCAGACACAAAGGAGGTGAGTTGGGAGAAGAAGCAGAATCAGTGGCTACTTTGGTGGTGGTGGTGGTGGTGGATGAGGTCGGCATGTGTCTGGTACCGTCCAACAAAAACGTCAAATCTTTGGTGTTTCTTTACTTTCTCAGATGCCACAAGAATGATTTTTCTTTCAAAAAAGACAGAATCAATGATTGTCCTTGTGTGAGTAATGCAGAGTGAACCTGACTTCACATTTCACCTTTTTCGATTATGCTTGTTTCAGGTGAGAGCTTGAAATTCTGACTGACAATAAAGATGATTGCATGGCACAAAGGATTTTTCAGGCAGAGGACGCATTCAGACGGTCCAGAACCAGGTTTTCACAGCAAGTTTCCCATGATGCCTGTTTTTTCAGCCTGGTCCTCTGGCCTTCTGAAGGTCCTCTCCTTCTCTCAGGCCTTGGAGAAGGTGGTAGCAGATGTGCCTGGCTGCCCCGGGCTGGCACCGTGGTCATCGTGCCAGCGGTCCACGCAGCGGCGGCGTGCGTTCATGAAGAAGTTGCTGACGGTGCTGAGCTCCAAGCCGAGCTGCTGGGAGATGGTGATCTGCATTTCCTTGGATGGACGCTTGTTCTCCTTGAAGATGGCGATGAGGGTGCGGCGCTGCAGGTCGGTGAAGACCAGACGCTGTTTCTTGGGCGCCGTGTTGCGGTCCTTGTGTTGCTCCTGTTCTTTGCGCTTGCAGGCTTGGTGTGGATGGCAGCGGTGGGAGGGATGGGAATGAGAGTGGGAGGCAAAGAGGGGAAAGAGAACACAAAGCCAGGTAAATATACAAAAGTGATTATTTTCCTGATTAAATCACAAAAATAGACAGTGAAGGGAAGCAAAGCTGCTAAATGTATCATTAGCCAATACTTAAACACATAAAAACAAGTTTATACAGCAGCAGAGATTCTACAGCTCCATCTCTATCGCCATATTAAAGTTGATTTAAAGCTAATCCATGCCTCCTGCCCAGTGGGAATATTCCTTCCATCCTGCAGAGTGCAGACAGGGAGCCAGCCTGCGGTGAGAGAAAGATGGGGTGAGGAGGGAGGGAGGGAGGGAAGGAGGGGTGAGACTGGCTGTTGCCTGCTAGCTGGAGACACTGCTGTTTGATTCAATATTAATGCAGTTTGAGTCGCAATGGGGGACTGAGTGACTGTTGCACAAAAGTAAGCATTTTGTGTGTGTGGAAATGAGAGATAGAGGAGGGGCCAACACGGGGAAAGAAAAGGTTGGAGAGAAAAGAACAGAAGAGGTGCAGGAGCGAGGCTGTGTGTGTGCGCGAGAGAGAGTGTGTGTGTGTGTGTGTGTGTGTGTGTGTGTGTGTGTGTGTGTGTGTGTGTGTGTGTGTGTGTGTGTGTGTGTGAGAGCCAAAGCAAGGAGCCGAGAAGGAGAGGGAGGGGTGGCGAGTGAAGGAGAAAGAGAGATATTGACTGACTTTGCTGTAGGAATTGGGGGGTTCTCTGTAGGGACTGAGGTCAGAATCCCCCCCAGCAGGTCTACAGTCTGCTACTTCAAACGGAGCCCACTGGAGCCCACTCTATTGAGCTCTGAGAGGGTATTTATAACCCACTCAACCCACCCCCCCCCACCCCCCCTCCCCAAACACAAACACTCGAGAGGTGCATGCACTGGCTGCTACGAGCACCTTCCCATACACAGAGCAATTTTCAAAAGAAAACACACCGAGTGTACTCTTTCAGGTTAGGGGAGGGGGGGTCTGAGGTGGTGGAGGGGTTGTAGGCACTGAACACAGAAATTAATAGTTAATAGAGTGTTGTATTGTGGGTAAGTGTGTTGTAAGTCGAAGTATTTGTGGGAGATGAGTGGAAAGCCGCAGACGGGTTCAGAGTAAAAGGCTCAAACGGTGTCCAGAGATGATGTAGTGGGAGTTGTGTGTGTGTATGTGTGTAGAAGTTGTGTGTGTGTGTGTGGAAGGTTAAGGCTCCACCTCTGCGGCCACATGTTCCCCTGCTGACTGAGAATCGAATCCTGCCAGAACGGACTGTGTGTCCCTCTCAGCCTCCCTACTGTCTCCACAGAACAAGAGCAAATTGGAGAGAGAGAGAGGGAGAGAGAGATGCCATCCCTGTGGGGTCTCCACCTGCCGCCGTTGGTATTGTCTGATACTTTCATACTCGCCTTCAATAATGTCTCACTCCCACACTGTGGTTGTATGTATGTGTGTGTGTGTGTGTGTGTGTGAATCTTGATGCATTTAAGGACAGATTTTTTTCTTTTATGTTCTGTTTGTTTGTGTGTGTGCGCGTATGTGTGTGTGTGTGTAAGTCTGCGAGTGCGTGTTTAGGGGGAAGGTTGTGATTATGCTGAAGTGGCTGGAGCCAAGCCGTGGCGCTGTGTGTCTAATTACAGTGGAACAGAGCCCATTGATCAGCCATTGCAGTCCAATCTGTTTACTACAGATGTCTAACCTGCACACAGGCCCATCCATCATATTCATATTTCACATCAACACTGCAGCTCTCTATATATATCACCCAAACACACACTCTAATATGCTACACACAAAATTGTCTAAATGCAGGCTTGTATGTACAGTATGTATATCATCGTGTGCACTGCTGTGATTTATCGTAGGGTTAAAAGTGGTCAAGACCACGAAGAAAAAAGCTGAGGAGGACTGAGTTTTTCTATTATTTTGATTCTAATCTGAATTATTCCAGCTGTCAGACTTGGTCAGACGCCACGTCAGGAATAAAACAGACTTGTTATGTTTATATAACAACTGCTTCACAATCCTTAATCATCTTTGAGCGAGACTATCTTCCAACTACAAGAGAAAACATTTCTCAGCATTTTCAAGGAAGAGTTGGACAAATTCAGAATGGTAAATCTGTCACTTATATGGTTTGGTTTGTTTTTTGGAGGCAGACGTTGCTTTGTTTTTGTAAAGATTTCACCTCACTGTACTGGCTGTAAGTAAGCAAACCAAGTTTTACTGACAATATACTAAAAATTATATCCCTTCAAAGTTTAAAGGCTAAAGGAAAAAAATGTAACCACAGTTTGACTTCAAACTGATTATACTTATGTGGTAACATCTCTGAAATCATCTTGAGTCTACAGTAAGGAGTTTGTCAAGCAAATGTCAATCTAGATAAAGAAGGTGTGTAAAATACTAACGCTTTCACCTTTTATCACTTGGTCCGGTTTTCTCAACATTGAACCTACATTTACAGTCGTTTGTATTGTTTGATTTTCAATCTTTTTATCAACCAGACACTTACTCCATTTATAAAAAATATATATTTCTATTCTATATATGATTTTGCGTTTGACGATTTGATAAATGTTTAATGATGTTTTACAGGAAAGCCTCCCTGTGCCAGAAGAGATTAAATAAACCAAAAAATAGACACAAATGAAGTCAAATTGGTTAAATTTTTGTCCTTTAGCTCTTAAACTTAAAGGGGATATAATTTTCAGTATTTTATTTATAAGTAGAACTCATACTCACATGACATAGACTTGGTTTGCTTACTTACAGCCAATACAGTGAGGTGAAATCTTTACAAAAACAGAGCAACATCTGCCTCCAAGAAACAAACCCAGCTGAGCGAATGATTTAGTTCATAGAGATGGTCAGGTAATGTTTGAGAGTGCAGCCGTAATGAGTAAAAATGTAGTTCAAACAATTCCTTCTATAATGAATTAAGTCTGACATTTATCATTTACTAGCTAATAGCATGATGTCAGACAGGAGAAATATGTTGTTTACAAATTGCTGTTTTTATGCTATAGTTGCAGAGAAGCAGCTTCTGTGAGCAAACAAGATTTTCCCAACCTGCGAGCGCTCTACTTGATCTTTGATTTGGGACTTTGGACTGCATCAGCTCCCCACTGACTGTGGAGAGGCTTCTACCAGCACTCAGCTAAGAGGTACAATCCTATCCTGCTTGGACTTTTATGAAGAGGATTCACATCTCAGCAGGACAAAGATCCTGAACATGCAGTGCAGCTCTGAAGAGGTGCTGGTGAAGACTGCGCAAGAGCAGTGAGTACAGAGCTGATGTGTGCAGAGAACACCTAGAACTATAATAATACTGTGGGATTTTGACTCTGCACACAGTTTTTCTTGTGTTTTTGTATGTACAGGAAATAATGCAGCAACATTTTTATGTTAGGCATAGCTTTTAAAGTAACCTCCCCTGTTTTTTCTTTCTGGAAATTTTACATTATCAGTATGGCAATGTTTAGGTTCAGCTTCTGGTGCATTGCCCTCTGTTTCCCATGATTTTTCCAGGTAGCCCAGTGTTTTACACACACAGGTGATGTATCTTAAATGTGGAGTGCTAAATCTGCAGTATGTTTTCCTTAATTTTAGCAGACTTAGTTTCTCTTTAAGCGAAAAAAACCAGACTGTTTTCCCCCCTAGAATGCAATGTTTAATCTTTTTTGTCAGCTTACTAATTACAGAAACGTGTAAATTTCACAAAAAGCCTGTATGCCACTGTGTACTCCCAGATAGTATAAATTCAACATGGATCTGTGTACAGCCAAAAACACAACAGAGGATTGTTTGAAACTTTATTAATGGATCTGACAACAAATCTGTGAGGTCAACTCTGGGTTAACTATCGTTTTTATTGTCGGTTTTTTACTCTCTTTAAAATCCCTGAGATTTAAAATTTTATCGGAAAAGAAAAAGTAAGAAATGTATCTACACAAGTAAGAAAAAAATGTAGCCTAAGGAGGAGTGTTAGCCTCCACAACGAGCTCAGACAGTCCCAGCTCCACTCTCCACCTCTCACCACGATACAGTCACGTCCTGCACACCCACCCTCACCCCCCACTCACCCACCCACCCACCGCGTGCTTTGTGCCGAGTCGGTCTGCAGGTGTCGCTCTCGCCGTGGACCCGGCTGCACGGGGCGCCATAGTGCGCTGCATTTGCTACAGGCGCTGGATTTAGTAATCAATATCGATCGATCGGTGAGGAAGGGGGCCCTGATTACTGAACCAAGCTCAGCGTAGAAAAGAAAAAAAATCGATCATTGCAGCTTTTAGAGCTACAGTAGGCACCGAGCAGAGAGACGGACAGAAACTCATGCACAAAGAGCCACCGGACAGGAGCAGAAATCCTGGTTTGGTGTTGAGAGTGTGTGTTATTTTTATTATTAATATTATTCTGAGGTACATCCTGCTGATCGCCATGCATGTACAGACAGAAATGTGATTTTTATTACTCAGTATGCACAACCATGAGAAGAGATGACCTACTTTGAATGCATCCCTCAAGTTTAGATTGACAATCAGACATTTTTCTACTTCTACATTTTCATTTTCACTTTAAATAAACCCCAACAACCCCAAAGCCCCTTCATGTCAGCTTCTTATATCAGACTATCTCTCCTTTTAACTCTCAAAATTCATCAATGACTAATTCCTCTATTTCTTTCCTCTGCTTTGTTAAAAAGGAGGCATAACTCGGGCCTATTTCTCTTCCGCTGATGACATTAATATTCTTTGCTTCACGACAAACCAAGCGAGGTTAAGAGAAAGGCCCTGGGTGTTCAATATCGATCGATAGATTCGTGAATAATTCGTGTGTGAAATTCAGTTCGTCCAATTAATTATGCCTCGGAGGAGGAGGAGGAGGGGGTGAGGAGGAGAGGAGGAAGAAGGAAAGGGGGGGAGTGCAGAAGGCCTGGAGAGGAGATTCATGAAGGGGTGGAGAGGAAGGAAGCCTGATGATCCGGATTTTCTTAGAGGACTTTAAAAAAAAAAAATCACAGGATGAAAATAAGCATCTGATCATCACCTGTTCGAGGTGTGAGTGTATGTGTGCGCGTGTGAGGCGGGCTCGTGAGCGCGCGCCCACAGCTGTCTCTGGCCTTCTCTGTCCCTACAGATGTGCGTCCACCTTGAGCATTAATCATTTATTGATCATCGCTGCCCTTCCTGCTCATAATGAGAAAGTCAAACGCCTAATATTGTGCCTGTAGTGTTTTATGAAAGCATGATTATACATTTGCATCTGAAATCACCCCCACAGCCTTTTTTTCCTCTTTTTTTTTTTTTTTTTTACTTTGGATGTTAAAACCTCTCCACCCACTCCTCTGGCCCTGTTTGTAAAGCACGCGGGGTCATCGTCTGCTGATTTAATTAATTTACCAATAAACATGTTTACCGGTCACGGTTCGGCGCATTGATACACACATACACACACACCTCTACACACTGCAGCTCTGTTTTTGTCCTTTCTACTAATCTACGCCGTTTGCTTGTAGTTGCACTCTTCTTCTTCTTCTTCTTCTTCTCCTTCCATTTTGATGTTGAAGCTTCACTCCATTTATTAAGTAATGTCTGCGCTGCCTCACATGGACCGTTGCCCTAAAGATTGATAGCAGAGTGTGTGTATCCGCCTATGTATATATGCGGTGGCATTTATTTCTCCTGGCTGCAGGGCAATGCCAATCTCTCTCTCTCTCTCCTTTTCGCCCCCTCTCTCTCTCTTTCTCTCGCACGAGGCCAAAACACTTCCAGCTCAATACTCCTTAATGTAATGAGTGAGAATTGGTGTTAATATACTGATAAAGCGACACAATTTGTTTGTTTGCCTTCTCCCGCGACTCGGCTGCGAGGCATTTCTTCTCCAGCACTTCAATAACACTCAACCTGAACTCAGTTACACCTTCGCCCACATCAAACTCTCAGTCCTCTGCAGCTCGGCTGGCTGCAAACATTTCAATTTTGTTTCCAACATTCGCTGCATCATGGATAAGAATCTCCAACAAACAAAAAAGAAGAAATCTCCAACCAGGTGTTACAGCTAAGAAATCACAAATCAATGATGAGTTAAAGCTTCAGCCTGTGATGATCACACTCCTTATGAGGTTTGAGATAATTAAACGCACTGAGCCATTGAGGGAAGCGCAGAAATGAGTGGATTTGAACCTGCATCATTTGGTGCCACGTTAATAATAGCAGCCTTGGTCTCTTGCATGCATGTGCCACTTATTTGAATGAGCGGCTCCATTGTTGAAGTGATACTCTTTTCTGCGATTATCATTGATTTCATTCATAATTGCTTTGACCAGTTATGCGTGATGGCGGTAATGATCATGATGCTTTATTTTGAAAGGGGGACAGGCGGGCCTCTGACAACAGGTGTGGGCCCGCACCGTGTTTTTTACACATTTTAATACGTGCCAAATGTAATCTTAAGATAAAGGAAGAAAAATATTTTTAAAACAGAATTTTACATACACTAAAACACATATTATAAGTGGTGAAAGGTGCTTCAAATTACATCCACTTCATGAAAAACAGTTACGCACGGATGTGAATCTGCTGCTCTCTTAAGAAGTTAGATTTTTGCTTGGTCTAATTCAAGATAAAACACAAAATGTGACAATAAAAGAAGTGTTAAATGAAGCTACACCAGGATTTAGAGGTAAATATTAGTCATCTGTGTTTTCATTCCCACCCTACTTAGACCACCGAAGTCGAGATGTTTGCACCGGATTCATCTTTTCATCCAAAACCAGTTTAATATTCCTCACATATGATCTGTCACTCCTCTGCTCATTTCTTCTTCGTCGCAGGAGAATCATCAAAGTGATCTGCAGCCTGATGATTCTGTTTACCCTCCACAGGGAGACAGACAGCTTTTCAATATGCATGAATTTTACAGATTCAATTCAATACAGTTCTCACTCAATTATATGACGAGGGGAGTCGACAGAGAGAGGTCTGAATCAGCTCTTATTGCGCTGTAGAGAAGCACTTATTTGCTTTTTTTCGATAATAAACAAAGTATTTTAGAATACAATTAATTAAGTACATTTTATTCTAAAGGAGATTTGTCCCTGATATGTAGTAGCTAATTTTCCAGGAGGGTGTATCGTGTAAAACACACCTTTACATTCTCGTTTTTCCCTCAACAGCTCAATTCATGTTGTCTCAAATTGCAAAAGAATGGTCTAAATTTGCGTGGATTGGGTGTCTCAATTTCTTTAATAGATAAATGCATTTAGGGGCAGCCCCAAATAATTTGAATAATTATTTTGAACTTATTAGTTGTGACTGTAAATATAATGACTATAGTATGACGAAGAAAACGGTGTATTCAACGTTTGAGTAATAATTTTCTATTTTTTTTTTTTTTTTTTTTTTGGGTGGTGTGAAATGCGTAATTGTGGGAAGAAAAAAACTCCAATCCATACGCATAATACCAACACACACACACACACACACACACACACACACACACACACACACACACACACACACACACACACACACTTCTCTAGTCGTATAAAAAAGCCACTTCACAACAGTCATCATTTCAACATCGGGCTTCGTAAAGCAGCAAATTAAAAGCAAATATTCATATTTGGGATCGGATCACCTGCAGCCAGTTCGTTATATTTAATAACATATTGTGTCGAGGCGGTATGCGCTCATATCGATTCATTCATCAATTGATTTCACAGCCGTTTTGTTCCTTTGTTGATCTGTGTGGGGTTGCCCAACCGGAGTTTCGGGTTGCTTGTGAGTGTGTGTGTACGTGTATGTGTGTGTGTGTGTGTGTGCGTGTGTTTGTGGTTATGTTGTGATCGACCCCATGCAAAGACTTACACCGGTTTCGTACAAACCATCTGTAGGATCTCATTTTAAATTAAAAAAAAAAGGCCGGAGAGGAGGAGATGTGATTTGCTCTATGACATTTATTTCCTGATTTTTTTTTATCCCTGTTTATTTTATCTAAAAGGAAACAAAACACTTTTTTATGCTCTTTTTACTAAATGTGTCCAAAAATTTTAGGTTAAAAAATACATTTTTTTTCTTGAACAAGTGAAACATCTTCAAATTGGATAATATGTATATATATATTTTCTTATTTGAAATATATTTTTAGGACTCGTGTGCATTCTTCTCCCAACCCAAATTAAAAGTCAGTGATTTATATAAATACTGTGCACCCACCTCTCTCTGTGTATTTCAGAGCCTTCATGTTTTAGCACCTAACACGAGATTAAAGCTCTTGATAGTGGTGAATCGTGAGTGCCCTCTCCTCTCTTTAATTGGACGGACATTGTCCTTGCTTTGTGTTCTTCGACTGCGCATTAAACAAGCCATTATGGGCCCTTTAATGAACGATAGCGTGTCAGATAAACAGCCAATGTGTACAAGACACAGATTTATAAGTATAGTGTCCAAAAGTGTGATCTGGTTCTTTCTATTTATTGAGATGTAAAACTCCAAACTTTGGAGGAAGGTGAATATCTGACACTCGGTGACATCTTGTCATGCTGCTCAGTAAAATAAATTGTGAATGAGAGGGAGAAAGCAGGATAAAGTTGCCGGGAACACAGAGGCGGATCTACTGTGGATGCGTAAAGGTGCAAAGACAGCACGATGCACCCGCCCCTGATTTTTTTAGGGTGGGGGGGCATCCCTGTGTTACATAACAGCTGTGCAGTTGATCTGGTCAACATCTTTAATTGCACAACAAGTCTGCTCTTTGGACTCGTCGCCTGCATCTGCTCTTGTGCAAACCTCTGCCGATAGTGGAGGGGTCAAAAGCCACGGAATGATTTGTTGTTTTTGAGCATCTTCACACGCGAACACACAAAGACACAGTTCACATATCACACATCACAGTTCAGCTCCTTTCTAAGAGGCTAATTCAGCAAAGAGCGAGGACCGATGATGACATTTAATTGCCATAATGTCAGGTGTGCTTGTTGCGTTTTTTTGTCTTGAAATGGGGCACGCACGCACGCATGCACGCAGCGCCGTTAACCCTTTGGTGCTAGCCGCGTGCATTCAGTCGACTCTGCCAGCAATTTGATTTAAAGGTCATTCTCTCCTATCGATCCGGTTTGGCGAGGGGGCGACGGAGAAGCGTAGGAATTGATCATCTAAAATAGAAGAGACGGTATTCGAGACTGTACAGAGTCCAGACCTCTGCTGCATTTATAATTGCTAAGCACGCCCCCCGTGTGAATTGGAAACGGCGTGTGTGTGTGTGTGTGGATGTGTGTGCAGCTAAAAAGAGAAATGGGCGAGGAAGTGGGAGACAGCGGGCTCTTGCTTCTGTCGCTGATCTGATTTCTATTAAAATTACATTATTTAGAATAATAAGGTCGGCTGGTCAGAGCAGTGTGTGCAGGACGGAACAGAGTGGGTGGGATGTATAATGAGCAGAAAGAGGTTAACTGTCTGTGAACTGTAAGCCGTCTCGTGTTTCTAATCCTCTGGTATCACAGAGGAGGAGATCAGCCTCAAAACCTCTTAAAAATCTCAAGTCAGCAATTGACCGTTTGGACCGGGGAGCACGCGGCGAAATGTGCAGCACAGCAGCACGAGAGCATGCTTAGTTTATTAGTCATTGTGCTGTGCGTTTGAAGGGTGAGCTGTTAATGGGAGAAATGGTGTTGCATGGTTGAGATGGAGGGGGTTGCATGGCTGCATGGCGCAGCTCCAGAGATGGAAAGCAGAGGCCGGGGAATGGAAATCGATACAGATTCAGGGCTCGCCAGATCGGCCTTAACAATGTGGCGCAGACGCACTCTACATCCCGATCACATACACACAGGAGAGGAGGAGAGGGGAGGCGACACGTATGCAGGCGCTGATATGCTCCTGTGTTATGCAGTGGCGAAAAGGAAAATCTCACAAGAAGATGTTTGCATCTTCTTTAATGGTGCATGTGCGGTTTTTCTCAAAAGTCCCCATCCTTATGTAACTTACACGATGTGTTCAATAATGAATGTGAGCCTGCAACATGAAGATTTATGCAAATGTAACGATGAATTAATCAGTTTCACCTTCCAACATTGAAGCCAGCATATACTGCTTGGTTGCAGATAATGATGCAAGGCGTGAGATGTCATTTCATCTGGTCTGAGCCGCACTGAACCCGGGATTAAACCCAAATAGCCTCGAGGTATAACCTCCAGAAAATGACTGTTGCTCTCCCACCAGAGGATTTCAAAGGCGATGCTTGTACACGCGTGTCTCACTACTTACAGCACACGATGCTGTGCTTAACGAACAACGAGGCTCTGAAACCGCAGCTGCACTGTTTACCCCCCCTATCTTCCCCTCACACATCAATTATTAAAGTCCCAATCGATCATTTCGCAGGCTAACATCAAGCCACATCTTCATGAGAAAAAAAACCCTGATTTAGATTAACCCACATCAATCACATAGTAATGCCCCATCCAATTAAACCCATTATCCTATCTTAAATGACCTTAAAGAAGCACCATCCTCAACTGATATTTCTGTAGGTACCCCAAAATAAGAAAAAATAACCTCCAGTTTGTGTTTCTTCAGCTCCAAGAAGGAATCAGATGAGATTTAAATGTAGAACCCGGTTGGATTGGAAAGTAGGGTGCTGGGTGGTGTGATTGACGCGATTGTGGATTGTAATATTGATCGATGGGTGGGAGCTGTTGGATGAAATAATGGTGTTTAGGGCCTACCAGAGTGCTATTAACTATGTATTGGTAAAACTCCAGTTCACCACCTTGAACTGTCCTCCAAACTGGGAGAAGGTGCTGTATGGACACTGGGACGTTTCAGCACTCTGGACAGCGCCCTGGGGTGCTTAGATGCATAAAGTATGGACAAACAGCAGGGTGTTCACCTTCTTTTTGGGTAGCATGCACATCAAAATAAATCTATATCATTAAAAAATAACACATGTAAACCATTATATAACAAATTTAGCCATATATTCACAATTATTTCATATATATTCAGGCGTTTACCAGATTAATGCTAAAATATCCTTCAGGAAGTAAAATGATCAATTTGATTAAATTATATCAATCAAAGGCAGTGAATGGGGGTGATTGCAGCTGTGCACGTGTCGAGGGTAAAGAGTGCAGTGTGACGGAGGGTGGCAGTGCAGGGGAGGAGTATTGCTCCGGGATTAGGCCTGTGTAAACTGCGTGTAGTCCATTGAAACATGAATAGAGGCCTCTCACCCTCATTCTCTTCAATGTTTTCCCTGCGTGTCCTGTGGGTCCTGACCTGCGCCCCCTGGCACGTGCTCCGGCCATTCAAATGGTAATAAACCAACTGCGCTTTTTTTTTTTTCCTCCCCTTTTTTTTGGAGAGGAGATGCCATGACACCTCATCACTGTCACGGGAGAGAATAGAGGCGTGATGGAGGATATTTGGGAGATATTAGTGATGCAAAATACATCTCATGTTATCATTTTTTTTATGAGAGGGGGTGGGGGAGATAATAAAATATTTCCTGCAACATCTGCCCGGAAAAGTCGTGAATGTTAGTTTGTATCCCAAATCCCACAGGGAAAACGTGTGAGGGTGCATTACACACAACAAATGGAACATGATTACAGAAAAGGAAAAAAAAAAGGTGTTGCAAAAGCATTTTTTTTTTTTCAACAGCTGTCCTATATTCCCACTTTTCCGGCCCCCGCCTCCCCCCTCTGCTCCGGGGGAGAGACCAATGGGAGAGAGTGCTGAGGCGGGATAATTGATAGATGCACTGGCTATCCTTATCGATCAGGGCCGTATTGACCCGACCAAATACATTGAGATGGAGTGTGGAATTCAACACAGATGCAAAGACGAATTGTTTTCATCGTTAATGCGATCTTTAAATGCCTCGCAAAGCTCACTTTGCGGACGTCTTTCTTACTCGTGCAGCTTTACAATGAAGCTGCCTGCTTATTTATACAGAAGTGTTTGTGTACGAGTGCTTTAAGATACTCAGAAAGGCACCTAAAGGTTAAAGCTTTTAGCTGCACGGGCCTGGCTCTGCATATAAGAACGCACTAGGTGGGGAAGCCTTGTGGGTCTTTGCCCTCGTTGGATTGGGAGATGTTGAGCGTGAAGGACGCCCCCCACCCCCCACTCACCCCCCCAACGGGCCTATCTCTGCTCTGTTTTTCGTTTCAGGGCTGGATTGTCGTGTGTCTATGTGTGTGTGTGTGTGTGTGTGTGTGTGTGTGTGCGTGTGTGTGTGTAGACACTGGCATTTTCACATTAGCTAAGCAGGGCAGCGGCATTGATTTGTGTGACTGTGATGAATTTGGAATAGTAATTTGAATTTATTGATTGATGTGGCCGAGCGAGTATGGCCCAGCCTCACTTTCAGCATCGCAAACCCCCCCCAACTCCCACTCCCAGCCCACATGCGCACCGAGGATAATGGTGATTTTAAATGCACTAAGTAAAATGTTGCACCGCGCATTTACATACTAGTCATTTGTCATTTAGCCATCCTGAACTTTCTGTCAGACCTGGTGTGGCAGCAGGTTAATGCACAATACACAAGAGCGACGAAAATCTGTTCATTCTAAAAATTAGGCTACATCTTAAGTTGATTGTTTGCTATTATATTGTTACTAAAGGATCAACCAAATATAAAGCCACTGGATTAAAAAACACAAGTGCAGTCCTGATACTACAATCATAGAGCCAGGCTGCCCTGAGCCTGACCGCATAAGGTTATGCAGGAGGTGCACGCTGCTCAGGACTGTGCCACTCCAACATGTCAATTGGATTGGGTGTGAGTGTGTGTGTGTGTGTGTGTGTGTGTGTGTTGGGGGGGGTATCCTGGTGCCGAGTGTGGAAGATATAAAACCCCACAGCCCAATTAGCTTTAACAGCAGTGGCACTTAAAGAGACAATTGTGGAGTGTTTAAATCTTTATTTACCAGAACCCCACTAAATGCGCAAAGGAACAATTTACATGCCATTAAGTGCTTTTCAATAGGGCATTGACTGGAACTAAAATATGCCACTATATCTGCTTAATTGAACTGTTCTCTGAAATACGACACAGAGGAGCTGATTGACGTTTGGAGGCGCTGCACGTCTAAACGGGGCCTTTACACAAACATCAATGCGAGGGGACCTCTCACTCACATCTCTGTTTTAACCCCTCCACGATGTCTGCCGTTTTCATTTGCGGCCTGTTAATCAGGTGTTAGAGGTTTAAAGAGAGAGGAGCTGGTTTCTAATCCCTGCGTTTATGTGCGGATCTTGGCGTAATAAAAGCCACAACGATGGCTGGAGCATTCAATGAGACAAGGGAAGAGAGAAAGCAAAGGTTTGAGTCCCCATTCTGAGCACAAAGGATATCCAGCTATTTCTGTTATCATGCCCCAATGATGCCAGGTCTAAACCATCACAAACCACAATAAACATAATCCCTAAACAGACCCCCAAAACCAACTTTGGAGAGGGCAGAGGATACAACACAGGCCACAGAAAGACGCATCTGTTTGTGTCTCTGTCTTTCAGATCCCAATCGATCGTTTATCAGCACGCTGCTCTGAAAGGGGACGCCTGGACCTGAAATATTGATCCATAGGAGGTCATGCTCCCCAGACTCTTTGGCCAGGCCTCAGACGATCCTTGTTTGCGCCTTATTTGACAGGATGAGTATTACATCAAGTGTATTTGATACAAAAGAGTCCAAAGTAAAACTTGGTGTTTGCTCTGATCTCAGAGAGAAGATTTGGTTAAGCTTTAAAGTAATTGCGAGATGTAATCAATTTTAGTCACATCCTGCTTTGATTTTCTTTGTTTGGCCCCCTTCTCTCTCTCTCTCTGTGATTTTGTTTGTTGTGTATTTGAGAGGGACTGACATGGAGAAACAGAGTGAAGCAGACTGGGAGGATTGTATTTAACTGTGTTCTGTCCGTGCGTAAACTGTGCGTAAAAAAAACATGTACGCGCAGGCTGCGTTCACACCTTGTCTGCTTTTGAAAGTCACTTCCTCCACTTTGTTTGAAACACCTCCAGTGTTGTACAGCATCTGTTTATACTCTCATGGATTGTAGCATCAATCAAAATATAGATTTCCCCCAACATTTAACACCCCAACTGTCATGATGAAGTTTTACTCGATATAATCGACTAATAACTTCTAGTAATGTCTGTTTGAGCAGCTATTGACAGTCTCGCCACATTGACTTCTAATTGATCCCTTCACATCACTCAGGTTGGGAGCTGTCTCCTCACTCACCTGCAAGCCTGAGCGCCGACATCCGCTGGAACTCGGGCTCCTGGAGCCACTTCCACATCCTCCTGAACGTCTCCCGGCCTGACTTGAGTTTACTCCACGGTTTAGGATTCCGCAGCAGGTCGGACAGAGTTCCCTGGGACCGGCACAAGATCCTCTGAGCAAAGATGGCCTGTGGGATGCTGTAGCGCTTGAGCTCTGCCGTTATTCGCTGTGCCACCTCTTTGGTGTTTATCTCCTCTACCTGCCCCGACCCGCCGCCCTGCCCGCCTCCCACCACCGTCTGCCTGTCCCGCTCAGACAGCATGGACCCGTTTGCCTGAGAGTGTGGATGGCTGTGATGGTGGATGCCGTTCAAGGAGGTCATGAGCCCGGCCCCGTGGCCCCCAAGACCCCGGGCCAGGTGCTCCTCGCCCCTGGACAACATGGCGTGGGACTCGAAGCCCCCCGAGGAGATCATCTTGTCGTTGGAGAGGTGAGCACCGGGGCCGTAGGCGCTGAGAGTCTGCTGGGAGCTGTGCAAAGAGCCCAGTCCGTTGGAGAGGGGAGACAGAGGCTGCCCCATACCGGACATATCTTTGGGGTAGTGGCCGTATAGGTTACTCATGGAGGCGAGGCTGCGGTCGTCCCTCATCAGGGTGAAGCTGCCGCTGACGTTCCCAGCTGCGAGTCGCTGGTGCGCCGGATGATGGTGAGCATGTGGGTGCGGATGGTGAAATTTCTCCGACACGGTGGATATGGGGGGCAAGTGCTGCAGCGGCGTCAGCGTGGTGTAGGTGCTACTCAGGCTCATCCCGGAGTCGCACGACATGGTCATGGCCGGATGCAGGGGCCCAGACAGCGCGTGGTCTGTGCGGTAGTCCCCCGCTCCCTCCAGTATCGAGGCCATGCTGGACACCATGGCTGAGCGTCCGTGCGACACCAAGTTCCGATGCGACGCCGACGACTGGCGCGCGTGCGGGGAGTTCATTAAGTCGCTCGTTTGATGGGAGTGAGAAACACCGTGCAGATTTCCAATGTTTTCCATTGTAAGCTCCATCGTTGAAAGGATCTTTATTTCCACCCCTCTCGCCACTCTCTCGCTCTCTCCCTCGCTGCTCTCCCTCTCTCACTGTCGCTCTGTCTCACACTCCTTTCCAATAAATTTTCAACGATTTCAAAGCCAAGCCATTGATTGTAGTTGCCTCTCTGCAGTCAATCCAGCATGGTTTTAAAAGATCGGGTCCTGGCCGCCACAAACCTCAGCTCAGCGTGTGAAGGCGCAGCCTGCCTGGATTTCTCTCGCTGTGGAGCACCTTCTACTATACCCAAAGCGCTGCTCTGCTTTCTGTGTGTATATTGACGCGCCCGCGCTCATGTTAGGATGAGACCGAGCCTGTGCGCATGTGCGCGCCCCCGTGGTCCATCCTCGCACTCGCACGCTCTGTCTGGGGCCAATCTGACGTCACTGGCCCCTATGCCATGGGTTGCTCATGTTGTACACTGAACCTTAAATTCCTCAAAAAAAGATTGCGTTGGACTCCGAGATAAAACACAGACCTTCAGTCCTTTGCAGAGTGTGCAACATTTACACTCAGATGGATAAGATGAGCTCGCTCCTTGTTTTCTGATAAAAGCGTTTGACGTGGCGCCAGCAGTCCATGTGATGCATCTGCTCAAAGTTAAAGATTAATTGACATGTGTCACATCAGGCCACGAGTTTAATTAGAAAAGCAAGTTCTCTTCAGAGGAGGTCACAGCCTTCGTCTCCATTATTCATAAATTTAAGCTGCCTTATGTGGCCTCTTAATAAATATTTGAATTTAAATCAAAACAACAATTTATTTTAAAGTTAAAAATGTGAGGATCTGAACGTCAGACTGCAAATGACCTTTGACTCCTTAAATGAAATCACATCCGTGTCTCTCATCCACAATGTGCAAAGGAAACGCTCCAGCAGTACAAGTCTATAGTGTTACCCTGTTTAGTTTTCACCCATAACTTTTTTTCACACAACTTTTTTCTTCAGTAAATCTTACTGAACAAGTCTATGGAGTTTCATTTCATCATAGCCTCTAGGCTTTGACCCTTTCTCGCATCCTTGCTCCTCGGATAGAGTCCAAGAAACCCCAACTCCCTCACACCAACTTTTCACATAATGTTCCTCACAAAACTTCTGTATGAAACTTCTCGCTGCTCGCTGACGTCAATTCAGGTCAGCAATCCATCAATGTCAAAGTATGTATGGATCAGGCGATGCATCGATAAGTTGGTGCCCGTATGCAGGAACCCGCAATATGGATGCTGTAGGCCCATAGCTGCACGTCGAGATAGAAGGATTGCAGTTTACAAGTAAGTCACTCATTTTCGACGGAAGCTGAGTTTCTACTCCCCTTAACAGCTTTCAAAAATATCTTCCGAGTTACAACACGGGGGGAGATATTGTTTGACTTGTGCTTTTAATACGGGCTACATTGAATGTCATGCGTACCTGCAGAATCCATGCGCCTTTACCAATTTTCAACTTTTTACGCACGCTTGTAATGTTGCAATAAAGAGCTTCTTGTAAATTTTACTGTTTTTTTTAAATTGATGACAGTACCTGAAATTTGAGCTTTGTTTATATATTTTTCTTTATGCCCCAAAAGTGGCCACTAATGTGCACCAAAGCCGTAGAAAAATCTGACTTTGAAGGTACAATATACTATATAATACGGTAGCTATTTCTAATACAACACAATCTGTGGAGCTGCTTTTGCTGCCTGCGTGTGTGAGTGTGTGCTGCTGCTGCTGTCTGTAGGGTGAGATGTGCAGAGAGGAATGACACATAATATGTTGTAAAGATCACGACATCAACACCTCTGTGACATGTACTGACACTCAGGGGGTGTGTTGGTGAGTGTGTGTGTATGTGTCTTCCTCAGGAGGCCTTCATTGCCCTGTGAACTATGTGTACACTGGTACAAAGTGAGAAGCTTGGCATTTACACCGATGTTATGTAAAATGAGGCCATTAGGATTTCGACCCGGACTTTGAGAGAAAAAATAGTCTAACAATCCAGGAAGTGGCATCACTAATCATTTGCAAATTGCATAAAATAATTTCCCTGACCAGTGTTTACCAACAGTTAGGTCAGGACCATCCATAACTGCTCTGATGAATAGTGAGATCAGCGGCCTTGGCACACTGCTCCTCTCCCCCAAATAATGAGCGTAAAAAAAGTGTGTCTTTGCTGATTGCCAACAGGGGGATGGTGGCTTTTGGCTTGTGCCATCAGGAGAACAGCAGTGTCCGCTTGGGTTAATGTCCCTGTATTGATCCCAGCAACCACTGCTATCGAAAATGAATTACCGAAGCCCGCACAGCAGCGAATCCGTCATCTGTGCTCAGCCAGCCGGCCAGAGCAGCTTATTGGTCGCGGTGGTGATGGATGTTAACTTTCATTGCTGGCTACTCGCTCCTAATTCACCAGGGTTTACAACCCAAAACAACGCGCTGAAAAGTTTCACACTCTCACAACAACTTCTTAACTTCATAGTCCTTCCTCTGTTATTTTTCTTCTGCCATTATATTTAGAGCTCTTCTGCTCAACGCCACGCTATCAGAAAAATACAGCAGGGTCAACAGGGCGTGGGGAACTAATCAACGCACTTTCCCATTTTCAATCAATTGTGTTTTCTTCTATTTTACGCACTTTGGTCAAATCATCCTTACAGCAAGCCCAAATGAATTTTGATGCAAAGTAAACACACTCCAAGAAATCCATGCATCCCCAAAGCTGAGTTTTAATTTGTATTTTTAATGCACTGTTTTGGGATACTCAAATAAGCATATCCTATGGCAAACACAGTATGAAATATTAACTGTGTCGATATCTGCGGTGTGACTGGGGCGACGCCGCAGAGGGTCTCTCATTTATTTTATATTAATAACTGCGCGCGAGGACGTGGCCTCAGCACCACGTTGGCATCGACTTACTTCACACATTAACATATACACACATACACACACACATACACAAAGTAAAAAAGAGAGGAAGGAGTGATTGTGCAGTTTTCATTTTCTAATTTTATATATTAAATGAAATCTATTTATTTTTAAGTTCCTATATTTTCTAATATGTTATATGTATATATACAGTGATATACAGTTGCAGGGTAATTTAGTGCAGCCGGTTCGAGGCTGACCATTCCAGCCTTTTATGAGGCCCAGAGCAGTTTGTTTTTATCTTTAAGCACTGCTGTCGTTTGCTGATCAACTAATCAATGCTGAACCCGGAGCTCCGCTCGATGCATTTCTGAAGGATCAATAGTGCCAAAGATGCATTCTGCTAAAATGGTTTAACTTGGGTCTATCCTGTTATGTGTTTGACCCGTGTCAACAGGCAGTTTCATTACAGAAAGAGAGAACATACACACACACTCACACACTCACACACACACACACACAGAGCAGCAAGTGTGAAAGTTTGAGCTTTTCATTTGGTTGAGTGCCGAGTGCTGCTCTGTGGGAAAAAAATACAAAACATAAAATATAAATTTCACAATCACTGCTATTTTCAGTGTTACAATTTATAGATTGTTAAAAGTAATATTATATAAATTAAACATAACAAACACTAACATATATCCACACACAGACAGTATAGTCTGTGTGTGTGTAAGATTTCCTCCAATTTGTACATGAATGTAGATTTCTAATATCACTAGAGTTTATTTTTTATTCCACATTATGAAGAGGGAACACTGTGTTTTCTTTTTCCTGAGAGGTATTTGTAGTGAGCCAACTCTCCGTGCGCTTGTCTATTTTCCCAGGAATCACTCGATAGAGACAGACTAATCTTTTCATGACTTCTTGAATGACTCCGCGCCTGATGCATCACGCTTAATGTATTCTAAAGTATATTTACTTGAATCTGGCTATTGGCAAAAGTTAAGTAGCAGTGTTTAGTAATGTCGCATTGATCAGGCCTCTGAGCAAGTCAGCGGGACGAGGTGCTGCTTCTTCTTCTCTCTTTCACTCTCACACTCTCTCTCTCTCTCTCTCTCACACACACACACACACACACACACATAAACACACTCCCTCACTAACACACTAATATGGCCTTGTTTGGAACCTCAACATTTGCCTTGTTTGCCCGTGGCACTACTTTAAGTAACTGTGTGTGTGTGTGTGTGTGTGTGTGTGTGTGTGTGTGTGTGTGTGTGTGTGTGTGTGTGTGTGTGTGTGTGTGTGTGTCCAAAATTGGCACATAAATTCCAACCTATAGGCGTGCACACGGTATTTGCTATTTTTTGCCAACCCATTTATTATTCTTAACTTTCTTTAACTGATTACTTTTGTTTGAAATTTTATTCCACCATGTTTCAACAGGCTACACGCCAAATCAATGTTAACCTGAATTTTGAATTTCACCTGTTTGTCCAGTGAAATCTTTAAACGGCGGCCCTCTGTGTGTTCCACATTAAAAAATAATTACGATTATAAAAAAGGAAAGGAAATCGCTTGCGCATTGAATCTGCTTGTTTGTAAAGCGTTTGCCTGCAGTTTGTTAAGGAATTAGTGTGTTGCCAAAGATTATTATTTAGGTGCATTTGCATTTGAAAGCGCACAGCAATAGAGGACTGTGGTGATCAATAGCCCTGGTGCCATATCGATCCATCCGCACTCTGATCGATTGGCAGGAAGAATTGGGTGCACATCCCTTTCTCTGCTTTTGGTTTCACTCAGAATAAAAGTAATCTCACACAGGATTAAATGTTATGTATTTGTTTATTTATTTTTCAATCGGGAGGCCTATAAAATATCTGGGACAACAGGTGCCGAACAAATCTGTTATCAATCATTTACGCGCTCAGCTGCTGTTCCATTTCTGCAACAATTCATCTTTGCAGCCTTAATATTTTAAATTTTTTAATAAATTTTACCCAAGGAGTTAATACAACCCCTAAAATGTCTGTAATTGAAAACGGAAGTAAAAAAAATAGACGAAAACTTTTATTAAATTACTTGTTTTTCTTTTTTTCTTTTTCTTACGCTGTTAAACACAACAACCTGTTTTTCTGATCTGCATCATTCATAGAGCCATTTTGGAAAACTATCCACGAGCTTCTGCATGAGTTCATATAAATTCAAGAGAAAGAGAACTAAAGAATTTAAAATGTTCAGAAAAAAATATAGAAAAAAATATATCAGGCCTCGCTAATTTAATTTTTAGAGAGAATCATTTAAGTTCTAAAGATTAATTTCGACTGTGACAAGCTGTTAGCGAAATAACCATCACTCAGGTGTGTTCACATGATGTCCCTGAGATCAATACAGCTACTAATCACAAACACATTCAATAAAGCATCGATCCGATTGGGCCAGATTACAAAATGTTGGACGGATTTTCTCACCCTTTTTTTCTCATTTCGGACACTTCCAACTTTGGCTCATGAGGCCTCAAAGTCTTCACTGGATGTTTGGATGTGAAACTGAATGTCTGGAGGAAAAACGATAAACTCTAAAATAAGTCAGAAGTTTGAGGCCTTTTAAACTGGAAGATTCTGACACACTCAAAAATAAAATAAAATAATGAAGAATGACATAATGCTAAGATATTTAACTGTGTGCAGCGTTTTTAAATACTGAGGTATTATTTATTATTATTTATTTTTGCAGCTTTTAAACACAAACTTCTGAGTGAAAAACCTTAAATTAATTACTGGCTGGTTTACACAATACACTTCACCCTGAACTAATTTATCTATCTATATATCTCTATCTCTAGTTCTATCTCTATCTCTCTATCTCTTTATCTATCTGTCTATAGATATAGATATAGATATAGATATCTATATATATACACACAACTATATATAAATACATACACAACTATATATATATATATATATATATATATATATATGTTATACAACTATATATATAAATTTAGATTGTACAACTCTGATCTTTCTCTGTGTGTGTGTGTGCGTGTGTGTGTGTGTGTGTGTGTTTGTGTTTCCTCTCTCACTGCAAACCTCATGGTTGAAAATGTTATAATTTTCTAGTTCTATTTTTGTAATCTGTGTTGCTTTTAAAGTTTTCATCATAAGCAGAAATTTGCACAGTCTGTATATAGCCTACATGGTTGTTTACCTGTATGGTTTGTGTGCGTCAGTATGACAGATTAACAGTTGGATAGTTTATATATTTTAGATATTTAATAATTTTTACTTTTCAGATGTCATTGTGAGATGTGCATAAACATAATTTTTTTGAGAACTTATTTCTTATGTTTAATAGTTTTAGTTCACACCTAATCAACTAACTGCATGTGTTGTATAATGGCAGTAATCCATATAGTGTGTATGCGTGTGTGTGTGCGAGAGTGTGAGTGTATGTGAATGTGCATCTGCAGGATCGTCATTCACACACCTAAGTTAAGCAATCACATATTAAAATAATAATAATAATAATAATAATAATAAAGTCATGTTGTTGTTTTATGTTGTTATATAACTTATCGGATCAAGATATATATAAAACATGTCTTTAAAATATTTCTAATGTTTGGATTCTATTCACACACACAAACACAGAGACACACACACACTTGTGCTTTGCTGTCTGACAGTGATCATGTGTTATTATGTGTATGTATACGAGTCCAGTGTTACTGTGAGATCCCTCACATACGTTTCCTCTTCCGCATAGATTGCAGATTAGAATGATTATAGATTGTAATGTGCATGTATTATCTCACAAGCTGCTTAAGAGCATTATTCATTGTTCTTCTCCCTCTGCCCTCCCTGTTTTAAACCACACAGCTTTTTCCCTTCTTAAGCACTGCTAACGCTGGATTTATTAGGCTTAAAGAATAGCCTACACATCTTCCTCAAAGGGGATCAGACATTAAGTGTAGATCAAAAGGATAAGGTCTTAAAAACAGAACAATGTGTCTTGCACGATGCTCAGTCTTATTCCCCTACGCTTGTTAATTCAAGGATTGTATATAGATCACTTTTAACAGCTTTTTTGTTGCAAATTATATTCATGCTCTAGTGCATGATAGTTATTCTCATGGCCACAGGGGTTTATCACACACCCCCTTCCCTCCCCCACCATTTTATTGAATTAATTTTGCACCAAAACAAAGTACTAGTTTTCATTTTGTGCTTCACAAAAGTGTTTATTGTAAATCTGCATCTTTACATTCCGGTATTAATGCACTCGGGAGGTGCGCAGGAAAAAGTTCTGCTTTTATAAGCCAAAATAGCCTTGATTTGTTTTCTTTTTGTAGTTCTTTTTCAGCGTTTTGGAGACAGAAAAAAGGAGGTGTAGATATTTTTAAAGTGCAGCCTCACACCGGTGTGCTTTTGTATTTTTCACAGAGACGGCTCACTGTATGAAACAGTGACACAGCTTCAGGGAAAGTGATGGACTGCTCACATTCTCACACACACCAAACAGAACCACTGACCTACTACTAGTCATCCCTGGCGCCCATATCAAACACTTTTTGGTGTGCTACATCTGCAGCACATGTTTTTCTGGAGCTAGAATAAATGTTGCAGGGTTTTTGTGTTGGTTATTTTTTGTTTGTTTGTTTTTTGCCAGCATCATTTTGTTATCGTGTAAATCTTTATTTTTTTATATTCATCAGCCAGGCAGTAAAAGCTCACACACAGAGCGTGAAAGGGAAACATGTATCAGTTAAAATAAATGTGGAATCAACTACAATTGGCTTTTGCTTTAACCCCCCACTACCACCACCACCACCTCCACCAACAGCATCACCCACACACCCATGCATGCCCCCCTCCTCCCCTGTTCTCCCCCTCTTCCTCCAACCCACCCCTCCGTAAGTGAAACTCCCACCCTCCACACCCGATAGAGCACCCGTTGCTAAGCGACAGAGGGAGAGATGGATTGAGGAGACATAGTCGATCAATTCTACAGAGAGAGAGGGAGAGAGAAAAAAGGAGGCAGGGGGAAGTAGAAGAAGGAAGGATAGGAGGGAAGGAGTGAAAAAGGTAGGAGGTAGAATAGAGAGGAGGAAGAGAGGAGGAGAGGATAGTCTGCGGGATGGTTGCAGTCGTTTTGAGGCTCCAGTTGGGGCTGAAGACGCTCTTTTGAAACATCTATCTTTGTTAACTGTATCGTGCCTCTGAAAATAAATCCATGGATGCAGCTGTCCACCCTTCCATCTTTGTCTGAGCACCTTACTTTAATACTTTTATCACTACAAATTACAGTCTACACAAGCAGCCTGTGTTTAATATTCCCCTGCTCAAAAGAGACTTAATTGTATATTGTATGCACTCTTTCTCTCTCTGGGCTCCCTCTCCCTCTACTTTAGTCACTGCTGAGAACACACACACATGTACACACAAACATGCAGATGCCCGGCAATACCACATGCCCCTCCGTGTGTGTGTGTGTGTGTGTGTGTGTGTGTGTGTGTGTGCAGAGCTGGGTGTTGAGCGCATCGACTGAGTATCGATCCCACCACTCACCTCCCTGCAGTCAGCTCTTGTCCTACATAGCATGCCCTGTCTGATTTCTCCCTTAATGGCTTTTATCCAGCTCCAATCTTTATTTAAACTGAAAAGTAGGAATTAGCACCCACTTCTATCCCGGTCTCTCTTACCTTTTCTTTTCACTGTCATCTCAGAGTGAGAATCGGCAAGTATCAGTCCATTGACCCCTCTCTCTTCCTCTTCTGACTATGATTGCTGCCCCGCTCACAAATGTGCTATACATTGTCTTACTTGTATTTACGCAGGCTTGAGAGTTAAGAGCTAACTGAGACACTGCACATCACATCTATAATTTAATACTATGTCCAAATATTAGTCAGTCACAGTAGAAACTGAAAATGCCTTCCTAGGTTACGTTTTCACCTCAAATGTAACCTTTTTCTCATTAGGGGTTTGCCGATACGATATTGATATTTGATATTGGTCCGATATCAGCAAAAATAACAAATATCGGATTATATCGGCCTGCATCTAAAATCTCCGACATCAGCTCTCCAACACAAGCAGTCCATTCCATACTCCGCTCCGGCACCTCTATCTAGCAGCGCCCTGATCCAGGAAGCTGAGCTCACAAAATCACAACAACTGTGTGTACTAAGGTACTAACAAAGTAGCAAAGAGTAAGAGTGATGTCGACCTTGTGGCAGTATTTTTCCAGTCAGTCCGAAAAAGACATTGCAGCTGAGTAAAAAACTTGTCATGCACAATTCTGTGCCAATATCAGATCAACATCGGTAATGACCAATACTGAAGGATATAATATCGGTATTGTATCAGAAGCCAAAAAGTTGTATTGGGACAGATATTTTTCATATATACAATCAAATCCTGTCCATAGTACAATCATACCAAAGGAAAAAGAAGTTATATCAAGTGACTAGAAGCACTTTCTTCAGCTTTATTCCTAAATTACATACAGGTTTTACTTAAAGTAAATGTCTCATCTTTAAAGGACAGGCTCACCCTATTTTCAACTTATATTATAACATGACCAACATAAGTTATTAGTGCTAAAGACAATTGCTGAAAAATACTCAAAAATAGCCATCAGAACTTTGGTTGAGCTTACGTTGTTTTACGTTGTTTTTGTTGTTTTTATGCCAGGAGCATTCGCAGTAAAAACAAGGAAAAGTGGATAATCCTTACTGGCTATCTTGCTTAAAGGTCACTTGAATCTCGCCAAATTTGGGGTGCAGGTTTGATTTAGTGATCAGGTAGTGTTCTCTGTATACAAAAGCTACACTCCTACACACTTGCAGGAGTCACTTGTTCTCTCCACTACCCTAATTTCTTGTCTCTCCTCAGTTTTCCTGTCTACAAGAGACAAAAATGTCCCAAAACAACT